ACCTCAAATATATATATTTTTTTTTTTTAAACTACATACAGCCCAGCAGTGCTAAGGTGTACGATGCTGTGTCTCTTGCATTCCTGGAATACCTCCACGCTTGTCTGGCATTTACAACAGGCATGCTGGAAATGCCTAGTATAAGAAAACAGACCCTTTCAACACAACAGTACCGGCTTAAGGAAATGTCTGACCTGTACCATTGTCCAAGATTCATCATCGGCTAATTATTAATGGTCAATGGATATCTATAGTCCTATTCAAAATGAAAGAGAGCTTATTTTTTAGATGGCCAAAATGATGAAGCACATACTGTAAATATGTACACTGATCTCTTTATCGAATGGGGGGAGGGGGGGCATATGTTCGATGACAAATTGACAAGTAATTCTTTCACACTTGAACAAATGTGAGTTTGTAAGATGTTGTTCCCGAGAGTCGTGAGGTATAAACGTCTGACTTACAGAATACATCATGACACACTCATAAATTGTGTACTCAGACTCCCCCTTCTCGTGCAACGCACAATCTCTGCACACGCTGAAATACATAAGGGAGCTAAGCTTACATGATGCTGCCTATATTTGGTGTAATTAGGTTGACAGGCATAACATACAGCTAGGGGGAGGGGATGCAAACTTGAAAACATGATATGACCCAAGTTGAACATTTTGAAATTGGATAGATAGCACTGATATGCTCATCAAGGATATCGTTCCAATTTGCTGTTTTGTAAAATTATAAGCTACATGAACAGTGTTCAACTGTTACATAGTGCATGTGTACAAGTATCATGTAAGAACATGTATTGTGACTTCAGGATTAGCTCCAGCCAGACATATCATATTTGACCTTTCAGTAAAAAAGGGGATATTTTAATCAGTGTGCAAGATTTGACTGCACAGGAAAAGGGTATAGAGTAAATCATGTGACATGAATGATAGTTTACATGAGCATACATTCATGTCAGCTTTTGTTTTCAAGAATGATTCTTTATGACACCATTGTGACAACATAAAAATGGATGTGTGCCAATTACATGTACATGTACATGTAGGAAAAGAAATGTCTAACCCCATACTATAAAGCATGATATACATGTAAATGGATATTACACAATAATGATTGTTACTATTAAAGGTAAAAAAAAACATGTTTAGCATCCTGCCTTATTGAAAAATAGGGAGGAGGCCCTTTTTCCCATTTCCCCCCCCCCTTTTTTTTCTTCAAAATGGCCACTCGATACATTTTCCCTGACAGTCGGGCTTTTTTTTTTAAATAAAAAAATAAAAAATTAAACAACAAAAAAATTAAAAAAGGAAGACTTTAAAAACATGTACAGTATATTTTTTTAAAGGCCTAAGGTATTTTTGTTTTTATCAACATCATCATCGTCATTAAAAAAAAATTGTTTTTTTAATAATGAAAAAATAAATAAAAATAAAAATGACAATAAAAATAATTCAGAAATACTGTACATGAACAGTACTGTACATGTTGTACAATATGGTAATCTTTTCCTTACCTTCTTCATAATTTTAACTTTATGAAGAGTACATGTATTTCCCAGATCATAGGCCAACTACAATGTACACTGAACATGAAACAGACCCAGTAGTACAACTTTACCTCCAAATGACCAAATCTGTTCTTTTTGCCGATTTATACATGAAACAAATTAGCAAGCCAACAATAGGAAATCATCAGGTTTTTTTAAATTTGCAAACTGGTGAAGATATTTCTTCAAAACATAAGAAGTAATGCATTTATAATGCCTACACTGTACATGTACACTATACAAACACATGTACTGTATGTGTATTGTGTACATGTTTAGCCACAATCAGACATAATTAATAGCCAAACTGATCCCGAATCAATCCTAATCCTATTAAACTTGCTGCAAATAGCCAGGTCAATTCTAATTAGAGACATTCCACTTGTACATGTAGAAAACATTTCAAGACTCCAAAAGATACATTTAAATAGAAATGTTGTTTTATAATTTAATTGTTTATGTCAGAAAGAGAGATGGAGAGGGAGAGAGAAGATAGGGAGGGAGGGAAGGAGTGAGAGAGAGAGACAGGGAGGCAGAGACAGGGAGGCAGAGACAGGGAGGCAGAGCCAGAGACAGAGAGACAGAGCGAGAGACAGAGCGAGAGAGAGAGGGCGAGAGACAGGGAGGAAGAGAGAGAGAGATGAATAATGTAAAAGGCTGCATTAAAAAATCAAACCAGTCTTGAATGTGGAACTCCAAATATGAGTGGATGTATACATGTCCATGTAGTGTATAAATGCAGGTCTGCTGTGTACAGTATGACATTCTATCATCGACTGTAAAACATATTCTTGTTGGATTTTTTCCCTCTTTTTTTAATGTACGGAAATATAAAGTCTATGGTACATGTACAGTATGTGATTGTGACCGAGCGAGAAAACTCCATCCGGTCATAAAATAATAACATACACACACAGCCAAATGTAATGTAGATTGCTCTCATGAGGAGATATGATTTGGCTTTTCACTCCTTGTGTGTATGCTTTTTTTAGCCTGTCTTTCAGACTTTAAAGTGGATTTTCTCTGTCCTTAAAATCAAATCTATAAGGAGTACATGTTAGGCATGGAGTCATGCAATGCTAAGAATGCACAAAGCTGAGAGCAAGTTTGTCATACAGGCAGAGATGCCAACCTCTGACACTAAAAATACAGACCGAGTATCCTAAAAAATCAGATTTTGGAGAGAAATTTTTTTCTCGACCCTACCATCGTCGGCCGGGCCAGTAAAATTTCAGAAAAATGTTTGCTTTTTCATTAAAATTTAATGAGAAAATTGAAAAGCAAACTTTTTGTTGGGTTTGCGGTGTTTACTTGTACATGTTTCTATGCGATTCCGCTGTTTTTATGGTTTTAAAAAAATTATTAAAAAATATATTTTTTTTTTTTATTGAAAAATAATGCCTCCGGCTACTTCGTAACGGAGGCATAAAAAGATGAAAACCGTATTTTAAGACTTTAAGATCGTAATTCACTCTTATTATCGTACTTAATACGATTTAATCGTACTGGTTGGCATCTTTGTACAGGCCTCTAAATAATGCTGAATTTAGACACTGAATATCTTGTGGATATAATTATTTCAAAGTGATTTTTTATTTGTCATTGTCTAATCATACCAGGGGTCAACACTAGTACTAGGGGATCAGTGCACAATAAGGTCCTTAGTAAGATACATTGTACATGTTGTAAGAAAAGATACATGTATACATGGTTGTAACTATTTTACCTTTGCATGTTTTTAGAAAATGGCAAGTTGGAGATGGAAAGAAAATCAGAGGAGTGTGCAACTCACAAGTATACTCACTCATTGTTGTGTTCAAAATGTAAAAGATACAGTGCAAGAAAGTAAAGCCCACTTCGGTTTAATACATTTGTAAATTACGGACAGGTTTGGTTTTCTGTTTTTCAGATGGTTTACCATCATTTGGAAGCAAGGTGGTGTGTGCCTTGTGGAGCCCTGTGGTATGGGTTGGTAGACATGTACAATCCACGCTTCCATACCAGTACTTTACTACATTAACCAAACCTTCATAGAGAAAAGGACGATACTGCAAAACCAAGGAACAATTGGTGGCACTTTCGCAGGATGCACAAATTCTGTGCTGCATCTATTATGGTTAAATTATTCTGCGGCATGAACCTTTCATAAAAAAGCGAACCACTCACAGAATCCAAGAAGTTTCATGCTGCTAAGGCATGCATGAGTTTCCCCCTCTAACTGTAACCTTCGCAACTGAAACTAGTATTACACTATGAGCGATTGAAGTCATTCAACCACAACCTATTTCTCAGAAACCAAGTTATCAAGGGACGTGTCATTGTAGTTCTGGACTTCCAACTGCGAAGGTACATGTACATTACATTGCTTCAGAAACTGGGCCCCAACATTAACATTGGAGCTAGAATTTATTTTCTCTCATCTAACTCAGAGAATTAATTTAGCTTTCAAAGTAGTGAATTTCACTAAGTTGTAAATTTACAATCACTGTTGCAATTACAATTGCAAACATGACTGTACATGTTTGGGAAGGAAAGCAATCAGAGAAGTTCACTCTTTTGAAAGCAAAATGGACCTTAGAATCGGGAATCTGTTCCAATTCAATTTAGAATGAACTGTGGCATGAAATTCCCCTAGTGTAAAGACTAAAAATTTCAGCCATCGTTCCAACCTGCATGAGTTATAAGTACATGTATGAAAAAAGTCAATGCCAAATCTTGTTTTCACGCATGTAGAAATTTACAAGGGCATCGAAGGTTGACAGGTTTTGTAGTTATCTGACCTCAATTTACCACAAATCTTGTATTGAAATAGTAAAAAGCAAAATCTCAGCACACCTCTGCGTGTGCAAAGAATGTCCAATCAAGCATAGCGATCATACCAGCGCTCAAAATACACAAGGGCGTGGGGCGATTCGCCCCCGTGAGCTACATAAAATTAAAAATCGCCCCCGTAGAATTATAAATAAAGATTCTCTTTTCTGTTATAACTTTAACACAATATTTAGTTTCAATTTTCAAACCCTAAACCAATTAAATTGAACTTAGATTAGCTTAGCAAGATTTCTCACTCAAATTTGTCGGTGTCTAGTAAGTAAAAGGCCGCCATTATTGTAAAGAAATGTACGCTTATTCGCTGGAGGATGGCGCTATATCTCCCATCTCTACGAGTTTTACAAATACAAACAACGGAAACTGAGAAGGCTCACAGGGACTCTTTTTTTTTGGAGAGCCCCCATGTGCAAAAAATTAATTTGAGATTTTGAGCCCTGGATCATACACATCCTGATTGGCAGCTTGATGAGCTTTCTATGACAGAGAGGTGGAGAATGGCCTGTAATGCACCCTAATCTTTAGAAAGTATTGAATCCTCCTTGCCAAATTTCACACTTTTTTGTGTAGTTAGATCACTATTAAGCATGCAGTTATTATAAATTGTACATACCTTCTCTGCAACAGATTGGAGGCACTTCACCACGGCATCCTTCTTCAGATCTTCCGGAGTCTGCCATCGAAGGTGATGGTTCTTCCCCTTACACCGACCCCGCCCTTTCTCTTTCCTGCCCGGTAGCGCCTGGTGGTGGTGGTTGCCAGCATGGGTAATGCTGCTTCCGCCCCCTCCTCCACCCTCCGGGCCTGTCTTGGGGTGCAGGTTGTGGGGTGCCGGCGGGACCACAGACTGGGCTGCGGCGACCACGAGCTCCGGGTCCTGCTCCAGGTCGAAGCTGTCCTGCTGGAAGATACTCAGGATGTAGCGGGTGTAAACCACCGCGTCAACGCCCCTCGTTTCTAGCTCCTGGCCCAGCCAATTCTGGACGGACGTCGTTGAAGCCATCTTGACGGGAGTGGCCGCAGGGCTTTGAAGAATCATTGAAAGTTATTGGATTTCTTAATCCATAAACAAAATCATTTTACCATCTTTGTTTTCTCAGATGTCCTGACCTAAAAATATTATCGAAAAGCCTGTTTGTTTCTAGTGAATGCTTTTTTTTTTAAAAACAGGTACTGAGAAAGTATTATTTCTTTTCCTGAATATGCTCTTCCAAAAAAAATAAGCAACCACAAAAATATGAACTTCTTTGGATGTTCTTTTGCTCTCTACTTTGGCTCTTAATCCCTTCTCTCTTTCAGAATAATATGAGAGATTAGGGGTGATCTACAGACAGTACAGTGGACACATGATGCTAGACGGCATATGTGAGAATGCCCCTGCACACGTCTTGTTTAGTTCGGCCTACTCCATGATGGTTGGAGTGGTGGTCATGGTCAGGGCGTGCACAATGTCTGGAGAGGTCTCAGAGAGGAGAGGACACCAGATCGACAGGCATTCAAATTCCTGGATGGGATGAGAAAGATAAATACACAATCCGTAAGTATTAAAGGTATAGACTAGTTCTGGTCATGCGATTGCATTGTGAAGGAAACATTGTGGAATCGATCAGAAAAGGTTGATCATCTAGCATAAGTGTTGGTGTGTACTGCAAGGTTCTGGAGTTATCAAAATTATAATAAATTTGGCCCAGTCTTGGTAAAGAAACAAGCACTGTACACAGATGGAAATGGTGTCGGCCCTACTTACCTTGTTTTCCTCATCTTTTTATGCTCATTACTCAGCCAGTATACATTTTCTACCCAAATTGTTTGGCAAATGACATTTATTTGTCTTTAAGGATTGTCAGCACAAACGAGGATCATCTTCGTAAACGATGACAGACACGTCCACCAAAATCAGGATCATCTGCATTTTTGCTGACAATTCGGATTTCTGATCCGCGCGTTAGCGATGCGAAAAAAGGATTCCCCGATGATTTTCTTGATGCATTTCACATCTTTGTAGACCTAGAGAGGTCTACAGAGACTTTTACGTTATGAGCGATAAATCCTTTGGTAGGGTGTCTGAACAATTTTTCAATTTTCAATTTGGGATTGTTTTTCACCATTTTTATTTGATAATTGAATAAAAAATGTAATCAGAATTGTACATTTCAAATTTCAAGTCTCACCGATGTTTCTATCAAATGATACAGCCCCTCCAAAACGCTGTAATATATTCATATCGATTTGGTCAGAATCAACGAAAAAGACGTACACGCAGAGTAATGTTGTTTTGCTAAATTTAGCCAAACAGCTGTATTGCGCAATATGCAAGCATATGCATAGCGTACGCATGTTATGCGCAACTTGCAGCTTGAGCCACGTTGTCTGCACGATATGTGCCATTGACTATAACGTGTATTCACTTCCGGGTTTTATTGTGCGAATGGCTAGCCATACTTTTATTCACTATAATGTGGGTTTCGTTCGTACGCGGAGATGCGTTACGCGATGTAACCATGGTTTGGACTGAGCGGAGCACACACCTCCCTAATTAGCTGATCCAACAAATAACGGGAAGGGTATTTTTAAACTGTAATCCTTTGTGATCCCTGGGGGCTAGCGAAAAAATAAGCGCATAGATATATTCCTCAGGACTGGGACTACTTATTGATCGGGGCTGCATATCTCAAAAGTGTCAAACCTCAGAGTTAGCCAGGACACAATGTTTAAATTGCTGTTTTGACAAAGATATTTTAAGAACTACGAGATGCAGCCCCTTTGGAAACATGGGGATTCACCTGCTCTTTCATATGACACCTCATTTATTGAGTTTCACCTTCAGGATCACAAAGAATAAAGGTAGGGTGTCTGATCGCGCACTCAGCTTTGTGTGCTAAAATTCTCCCATAGAGATTGCACACATCCCTATGCCGTCCATGTGCATTGCGCGCTCATGCAAAATTGGTCAATGATTTTATGAACAAATTGAAATTCAAACCTTTGGGGCTCATGATCCCGAAGGTGAAACTCAATAATTGAGGTGTCATATGAAACAGCAGGTTTCGATCTAAACATTGCAGGCCTTAAATTTCGTCATTTTTAGGGCAAGGCCAGTTTGGCCTCGAGTACCTCAAATTTTTTAAGGGCACCAAGGCCAAAATATTTTTACAAAAAGGGCATCGAGGCCAAAATATTTTACAAAAAGGGCATCGAGTATGAGGCCAAAAAAATTGATTCTATTTTTGTTAGATGTCATGTGTATTTTATGAAACTTGTGCAGGATCAATTTCCCATGACTTTTAGCACCAGCTTCTTCACAGAATGTATAGAGGTCTACGGTACATACAAACAAGCAGGCGCGTAGCCACGGGGGGGGGGGGGGGGGATTGGGGGCACGGGGGGCACGTGCCCCCCTTAAATTTCCAGGATCTGTTGAAATTTTGTAGACCCCTTTTTTTTACCTCGATCGATTACATGTATGTGCCCCCCCCAAACACCAAACTCTGGCTACGCGCCTGCAAACAAGGCGGCGGCCCGCAAGCCTTAGATTTAGCAGCCAGGAGCAAGGGGCAATTTTTTTTTTAAGTTGCCCTTTGCCACGGGAATTTACCAGAGCAAGGGGCAATTTTCCAAAAACAGATAGGCCGCTTATCTAATCATAAGTTCAAAGAGAGTCTACAAATGTTAATTTCATAATGTGAATAGATCGAACAATCAATTTAAAAACTTTTTAATCTTAACAATATGAACAGGAAAGATTGATTAAGAACATCAAACTTGCACATTAAACAGTATTTTAAAGTAACTAAAAATATTGATGAGCAAATGAATAAATAAATTGTCAATTTCACAAACATCGAAAGTCAGAAGGACTTAATTGGCAAGTTTACCGGGCCGGGTATTCCAAATCAAAATCGCACCTCACACACAAACCTTCCGCCACTCTCTTGGTAGTAGGAGCAAATTTGAAGAAATTATCTTTTTAACTGTTGTATAGAAAGGTCTACATAGGCCTAACTAATGAAATAAGATGTAAAAATGTCCTTATAGACATTCGACAGCTGAAAGTGACACGCTCAGCTCAGTTGCGTAACGTGCATTCACGAAACCAAAATCGTTCCTCGAACACACACTCTCGCCACTTTTGGTGGGAAGCTGTCGGGCTGGAAGTTTGCCAGCGAAACCGATGCACCCTCAGAATTTTACCGGGACTCGAAACGTTCGTCTTGGGAAGCTGGCGGGGTAGCTTTTTGAAGCGAGGTCGGCTGGTGGCAAAATGAGAGTAACTACGATCGAGAACATCGTAGGTGTTCTTAACTTATTAATAAGATAATTCTAAATTCTATTTGAGATAAAATAATAAACTAGGCCTACAAACAAACCTCGACAGATCTCTAATGACTATTTGAATGCTTGTTTATTTCTCCATTTGACGATTTGTTTTCTTGATCCTGGCCTTCGATTTGTACGTACGTGCGTGCGTCAACAGCATGCACCATATGCATATCATGCGATCGCATAATATGAACGTACGTACGTACGTGCGCTAGCGCATTGCCTATAACAAAGGGCGCATTTTCACGGCACTTGCGCCTTATTAAAGCACTAAATACGAAGCTAGAAGAGAGCTCGTGGGCGGCAAACTGTTCGTGATTCGTGTATTTTTACTGTTCTAATAATTTATGGGCGCATTTTCACGGAAAACACTTGCGCCTTGCCGTCTAGTTTTAGATGATTATGGGCCCAATTGGTGGTTTTATGTGCGCAAATTTAAAATAAAAAGGGCACGTCCAGTTGGAAAAAAAGGCACGTCGGCCAGTTTGAAAAAAAGGGCACGGCCTTTTTGGCCGTGAATATATCTTTTTTTGGGAGGGCACCGCGGCCAGTCACAGGGGCATTGACGGCCTGGCCGTCGATGGCCGTCGATTAATTTAAGGCCTGCATTGTTTCCATGGTAACTCGGAGATTTACCAATTTCATGAAGTGCTCCCCCGAGGGATAAGTTGGGCCAGCTGTAAAGAATATATCCATGCACTTATTTTTTCTCTAGTCCCAAGGGATCACTAGCCCCAACAGTTTGAAAATACCCTTACTCCACGTTTTGCATATCATGCTGTGCATTAGCTGTGCAGCTTTCGAGCAAAAATTATAACTTTGCGCGTGAACCACTTTTTTGTCCATTCTGACCACAATGCTATGAATATTGCGCAGTTTTTGAGGGGCTGTATCTTTTGATAGAAACATTGGTGAGTCTTGAAATTTGAAAGGTATCATTCTGATTACATTTTTTATTCCAATATCCAACAAAAATGGTGAAAAACGATCCCAAATTGAAAATTGAAAAATCGTTCAGACACCCTAATAAAGGTTTGAATCTCGATTTGCAAAAAAAAAATTGACCAATTTTGCATGTAGACTGCATAGGGATGCCTCGAATCTCTATCCTATTGGAAGAATTTTAGCACACAACATCGGGTGCGCGATCAAACACCCTACCTTTGGAAGACGGGCAACCCATAAAAGTAGACGGAGAACTGAACTGGACTGGGGGTATTTCATTAAACGAATCTGTTTTTTTCATTGCCAGCACGCAAATCGGGAACACCGAAACACCCAGAGAACCATAGAAAGAGAAAAATCTGTGAACAAGCTTCACCTTTTCATTGAACACCGAAGTCGAAGCTACTATACTAAGGTAATCACACATTCCAGCAGGTGATGAAAATGGGATGATTGGCATTGCATTGCGGCGGTATAACTATAAGCCTGCCTAGGTATCAATATCATGCCATTGCAAACTTGAAACTACCGCTAGATTAGACCGAAAGCTTCAGTCTCTATAATCGTCGGTTGTTCCACTGAGACTACGTCTGGCTCCACTAGACCTCCGGTTATAGAGACTGAACGACTGCCTATGCCAGCCTGTGTTGAACTTATTCCGCTAGATTTTAGCCGCTAGGCCCCTCCCACAAACTTGCCACGGCCGTATTGTTATGCCCCCAAAATCCCCCAAAATGTCATTTTACCTCGTTCATTTCCAATTTTAAATTAGGCCTAGGCTATAATACATCGGTTCCACTTACTAACTTCATTGATATAATCCGTTTAATGGTCCCTTTTAAGGAAATTATCGGTCAAAATCGACATCCATGTTGAAAATCTTGCAAGCCGTGTTTAACTCTCGCTGCCGTCAATCTCATCCCTTCTAGTCTACGCCGAAGGCAAAATGATTATGAAGGAAAAACTGTGCGCCATCTACACGTTCGTAATGGCGTTATCACAGTTTTTCCTTCATAATCATTTTGCCTTCGGCGTAGACTAGAAGGGATGAGATTGACGGCAGCGAGAGTTTAACACGGCTTGCAAGATTTTCAACATGGATGTCGATTTTGACCGATAATTTCCTTAAAAGGGACCATTAAACGGATTATATCAATGAAGTTAGTAAGTGGAACCGATGTATTATAGCCTAGGCCTAATTTAAAATTGGAAATGAACGAGGTAAAATGACATTTTGGGGGATTTTGGGGGCATAACAATACGGCCGTGGCAAGTTTGTGGGAGGGGCCTAGCGGCTAAAATCTAGCGGAATAAGTTCAACATAGGCTGGCATAGGCGATCGTTCTGTCTCTATAACCGGAGGTCTAGTGGAGCCAGACGTAGTCTCAGTGGAACAACCGACGATTATAGTAGGCAGTTCAGTTTAGACCTTCGCGATGGGGACAACTTCTTATTCACGTACGCAAGTGCGCATTTCAGCTCCCTATACGAATCCACATACATCAGGGTGAGCGCGCTTTCGGCCACACTTTCGTGAGCTTTCGTGGTTCTGCCGAAAAAAAACACTCGGTTTATTTCGGATTTCCCCGCCTTCTGATTGGTTAAAACAATAAAATATGACGTCATTTCTCTTCGACAATTATCGATGCACATCGGAAGTGAGTTGTACGTTGAATAGCCATTGTAGTAGATGGTTTTGCTCAAATCTGCCGACAATGTGATGAAATTCAGATGGAAGGAGTTTTTCAATTAACTTACAACTCCGTAATTAACAAAATTAAACATCTTACCTTCTTTCCTGAAAGTTTCATATAATGATGATGAGTAGATCTTATGGTAGATATGATAATATGATTGCAGTTTTTGAAAATTGCACGAACTGATTTTGACGATGCGACGCGTGATGCGTGTACATAGTGTGTACGTGAATGAAACAGCTGTGCGAGTGACGTCGAGACCATTTCGTAGTCTTAGAATTCAGACCCGTTTGTGACTTGATTGACTTGTTTTTTCAATTTTTGTTCATTGTATGTCGTATTTTATTGATAATTGTAATATTTATTTTAATATGTGGAATAAATATTGTAATAGTCTAACATGAATTGGTTATATTTTGGGGTAAAGTAACAATATTTTTTCGAAAAAACTGTTCATTTACTGCAAGATTGCTGCAAGTATAGACTACATAGACGATTTGTCACCTCATCCTTTTGTGTGTGTGTGTGTGTGTGTGCGTGCGTGTGTGAGAGAGAGAGAGAGAGAGAGAGACTAGGAGAGAAAGACCGAGAGAGAAAGACCGAGAAAGAAAGAAAGAAATAGAGAGAGAAAGAGAGAAAAAAAGAAACAGAGAAAAAAAGAAACAGAGAGAGAGAGAGGGAGAAAGCGTGCGTGTGTGTGTGTGTGTGTGTGAGAGAGAGAGAGAGAGAGAGAGAGAAAGAAATAAATAAATAGACAAGATCATTTGGTAAAAGTTTAGATTCAAAGGGTTTTTATTTACCTTTTATAACAATATGATGACAAAAACATGGAAATTTGCATAAATTTGCATAAATTTGCATATTTTATTACGGTGCTGTTTAAAGATATTAAATTTCATATTTGCCAAACATCACTGAATATATCTGCCAAATTTCAGCGAGTTTGGTCATCGCATTGAAGAGATATGACTATTATGAGGCTTAACAGATCACAAACTTCTGAAAACAATGGTGCCACTGCTTAAACACAGGTTTAATTGACTTCAATACAATTATAATAGGTTAGACCTTTTGATCTTTTGTCCTCATCAATATGGTTCTGAAAATTATTTTAAAAATCCGTATCTCTGGAACCGTTGGTCCAAATTGAACAACTCAAAGTGCATTGTGTAAATAAAAATGTGATCTTTAAAATGATGTTGAAATCACCCCCTATCTCCTACAAAAAAAAAATCACCTGAACTGCCTAATTATAGAGACTGAAGCTTTCGGTCTACCGCTAGATCTACCTTCAAAATTCAAAGGCTTAGTTTGCAATTTGCATTTTCATCATGTGCAGGAGTGTGATTACGTTAACAATTGTCATTTTATGTGTTTTACTTTGCAATTTTGTCTTACATCCAACACAGAAAATCCTTTGGCTTCTGCAAATCATCGTTTTTATTTCTGTTTCACTCGCTCATTCATTGAATGGAGTGATTGACTTTGCACTGCCCGCCGGTATTTTTTTAATTTTATACAATTTTCAGAGTCAGACGTTTGTCTATCTTTCTCTCTCTCTCAGCTCTCTCAAGTCTCATTCTCTTTCGCCCTGTAGCCTGAACATTAATACAAAGGGCAGTTTATACGTACCATCATTTAACAGCAAAATCGACGATCAAATTCAGTCGAAATTAGGTGATAATGTGACGAACCGGTGATCACACATTGCCAGCCATTGGTGACCAAAGATAGGATTTCCGAGGTCATAGTTTAGATGACGTAACATTTTGGAAAGATTATTTCGTCGATGCAACGTATTACAACGAGGGCCGAAATGGCGGCCGGGTAGCAGCGAAATGTACTGACATGAAAGTGAGCATGCGCAGGGCTATTTTCAGGTCGCGCGCAAATATAAATTTTCCCCTTTTGTAGCTTGACAAAGAAATATAGTGGGAGGGGTCGAACCCTTGAGAGACATTTTTCCGAGAAGTCTCGATCAGGTTGTTTGCTTCAGGAAAACGCTCATCTGGCATAATATCATTTCATACAGTCTTTTAATTTTGTTTTCTTTTAGAAAGTGTAATGTTCAAAATAAGTCTAGAAGTATTCGGCAGCAATAGACCTAAAATTGCACTTAACGACAACGAGTAACCGCTACAGAAAAATGCATGTGCCCAAATCGGCCCAAATGTATATATCCGAACGTGACGTGTTACTCTCCTCTCCCCACTCTGGCGAGAGTTAAAAGAGTTAAAGTTTTGGTTGGTTTGTTTTATTCTTTGGTTTTGTTTTGTTTCAGGTTTTCTCTTTTTTAAGGTTTGTTTATTCTTTCTTTATTTCAATAAAGGAGGTTCCTAGTTATGGTTGTTTGTATTTCATTGTTTTTTTTTTTTTTTTTTTTTTAATTATTCGTTTGAATTCATTTTTTTCAACGTCATCATTATTATTGTTATTATTATTATTATCGTTATTTTTATTATCGGATATCATTATCATTATTTTGATTATCATAAGTAATATTGTCACTATTGGTATTATTTTACTTTTTTGAAGACAAGTACCCCTCTCCCGTCAAGTGCAAACCGTACTGAAAGGAAGAAGAATAATAAAACGCAGGAGGCAAAAGAAGGAGAAAGAAAAGATAAGAAAAAATTATTATATTTTTGTATAAAATAATTTTTAACAAGTTAAAGGTATAGACCAGTTTTGGAAACTCTTATTACCAATCATGTGAAAGAATATGTTTTGACTAACACGTGATGATAAAAAATAATTTTCCCGGGAAACCGCCTACTAATAATTTATGTATTTGGTAAATTATCATATCAATCCAGCCTCAACATTGAACATCATATATTTTCTGCTTATTTGCGAATTTAGGTTGAAGTATTGCATCTAAACCTCTGAAAGCATGTTTAAAGGATAAACGAATGGATGTTTTGCACCCAAAACTCTTGAACCGCAATTGTACCACTACCGGTCTATATCTTTAATAGATGTTCTGTTGGACAATAAATTTAGTACCGTACAGTCGACTCAGTGAGAAGTTTGAGAACACCCCCACTTATGTTTTTTTGTTATAGATATTACGTACATTGTTTCGAAATATAGGAAAACATCCCGAGAGTGATGAGAGATAAAAAGGATGGGAGAGAGAGAGAGAGAGAGAGAGAGAGAGAGAGACATGCAGAGGCAGAAAGAAAATATCGAATCGAAGGTTGTATCCTTTCGTCAGAGCCAGTTATTGAATAGATTTATATAATATTATACTCATATACCAATGCATTTCCTTTTCACTTTTTCAACAGCACACCCCCTTCGTGCCTTTCTCTCTCTCTCTCTCTCTCTCTCTCTCTCTCTCTCTTTTTCTCTTTCTCTTTCTCTCCACCTCCGTCGCCCCTCCCCTCTATAAAACAATTACATTATATTCAAATATAGTTTGAAGTAAGCGTCATGGGTTGTTAAGAAATGAATTCAATATTTAATCAGAGTCAGTAACAAAAATGGTTTTTAAAAGTATTATACATGTATATACAACAATTTATTATTCAAATAGTATATTCCTCACAAAATAAGTTGAACATTGCAATGACCACCATAAATGGAAAGTTTGTGACAAATTCAAATGTGATCATGCTTTACAACATAAATTGATATTCCCAGCGAAATAAGCATTGCATAAAATAATGTAGATATTTGGAGAAAGCTGTCATATTTTCAAGGGGGCGGGTCAAGGGCCATTATTCAAAAACATGACGTCGTATTATGGATCACACACATCGAAATAGATTTGCTATTATCACGTTTTGCTGGATTTCTTTATGTAGGTATTAATAATCATGACGCCATCATCGGTTGATTTATGGGCTCTCTGCTCCATTAAATTTGGTTGTTAAGTGACTAGGGAATTTTAAGTTGACCAGACTCTCACTCAGGCGCCGGCCCATACTCGCTGGCGATCCCCGTATCGAACTTAGGGAAGTCCCGCTGCCAAAAAAGGGGGTAAAAGGAGAACGTATTAAGTTAATATTTTAGACGCGAATCCAGGATTACGAAAGCAGTGAATAATTCTTTTATTCCCAAATTATAATTTTTCCTCAATCAATCTTTACAAAAGGTGTGATAAACTGAAGGGCCCTGCACATTTAAACAAAAATAATTTACAGACTTGACAAGTATAGATTGAACATAAACTAAAAGAAAAGGAAAAGATTTTTGAAAGTTAATTAAATGCAAAACTGTTAAATGTATCTGATTGAACCATAAATCGAAGCAATAAATTATATAAATTTATGATAGAAAGGGATTGAAAGATTTGCTATATAATTATGACCCCGATTTGGAAGATAATGTATTACAGTCTTTTGAAAATACGTACGTCGGTGTAGGGGGGTAGACTGCGAAGCCGTTGCAGACTACCGATTCTCGAGGCGCTGAATGAGTTGGACGTCGAAGGTACTTTGCCAGACGGACGTTGAACACGATGCCGGGAATGAGGGTGAATGAAATGGCGGATAGGGCGAACCAGAACACGTTCTAGAAAATAACGAATAAGGTCAAAACGATTCTTTAATGTGCGTCATGGAACATGTACTTATTGTGCATGTAGGGGGTAGGGTGATACAAATAATTTTACAGTGATATGGTTCCCCTCTTTAATTTGCTAAGAAATATATACAAGCAAAATGTTGGACGAAATGGTGCTGCTTTATTCATGGTTTCACTATAGCGCATTTTCAGACTGAGAAATAGGGGGGGGGTGTGTCATCAGACCACTGTGCCAACAAGCAGTAAATTGACTTTAAATTCCTAACAGAAGTTGAAAGTATACAAGTTTTACCAACAGCCTTTGAGCGAACCCCAAATTAATAACTTGTGCAAGAAATCGCACATTTGTAAATTTTAATCAGTGACGAAATCAATTAAAATCAAGTCCTAATTTCTTAACATGTTTCCAAATGAATTTATCGGCAGAACCTTAACATTTTTACAAAGTTATTGTAATAAATTAATACAGTCAATTAAAATTTTCAATGTATGTAACTAATGTATTTCCTTACCAAACCTGGCACGAAATAAAGACACAACGACCCGACGATAGCGTCATAGATGTTACGAACGATACCACATCGTCCCATGTCGTCTTGAATCTGGGTTGAGAAGGGAAAAAAAAAATTAAAATACGATAAAATATATGATTAAAAAAGCTACACGTCCAGAATTCTTTGATATTATTATACGTGTTAAAGAATACCTTTCAAACAAACAGAAATTTACGTTATGTGATTTATTTGAAGTAATAAACAAAAAGTATATAGTTAATGCTAAATATATTACTCATTACAATATATTTTATCACCTCACGGAGTGTTGCAGCGGTGCACGAAACATTGTGATCTTTTAATCCCTTGTTGACCATACGTTGCGAGACAAACGAATATCACTAGCGATATTATTTTCGATAAAAATTAGTTAATTTCTAATTGGCGCGACTTTGAACAACATAGCTGATACATAAAGTAATATGATAACATTAGTAAATGATTTTTCGATATTAGGCCCCTGAAAAAGTGACTTTGCAACTGCACGTAAAGATTTATAATAAGGGGCGTGCGTCAGATCAACCTCTTGATGGATACTCTATTCAATTTTTGATGAAACAAAAGTCTTCTTACCCGTCGCAGGACTTCATCAGTAAACTGATCTGCTATTGAGAGGATGCCATCAATGTAAGCTTCCAGAGCCTGTTACGTAACAACAATAATATAAAAAAAACAGAGTTAAACCATAGACGTAATAGAAACGTCTATGGTTAAACATACGACATGACTTTCTGTCTACTTTTTCATGGATTTCTATTTTCGGGTTCTTTCAATTATTTTATTGCACATAAATTATAATGAATTCTCATTTTGTCGAATCTAATTTGTGTGAATATATCCATGCATGATGGCATTAAAATACAACAAACTGCCTTCCAAGTTCATAAATATGTATCAATAAAGTAAATTAAAGGGCGGTTGTGTTATCTTTTTTATTTCAAATAAAATGAAATTCACCAGAATTTAAAGGGTTTGTGTTCATATAGAAGCAGACAAATTAATGAGGGAAACTCGTTAGTGAAAGTTTGAGCAAAAAACGATTAAAAATAGAAAGTTATGCTTTTTGGAAGGTGCGATCGATCGAACACAAATTGGCAACTCTGTGACGTATCTTGCGAGCTTCCATCTCATTTCCCCTGTACTTAAAACAAACAAAAGATCAATCATACTTTCACCCTAGATATTATTGTTGCATATATGATTTTATACAACCCCTGATATCAATAACTAAGAAAATAAAAGTTTATGAAATTTGCTGTACTGAGCAAATTGGAGAGGAGCTCGTAAGATACGTAACCGAGTAGCTAAATTATGTTTGATATATGGCAACTTCAGCAATCCATAACTTTCTTATTTTACATCAGATTTTGCTAAAACTGACACGATCCTTTAAAAGAAAAGTAAATTGTCAAGGTATCATATTTCGTTATGCGGAAGAAGGACTGCCATAGTAAGCAAACTTCTTTAAAATATGACAGCTCAAAACAAAATAATCTTATGAAATAGATGAACAAAATTAATGTATTAATAAAAAAGGACTTATTTATTATTAAAGGCATATAATGATAATGATGTTAATAATTAGGCGCTTAATACGGGTGTTTCTAAGCGCACCATTGTCTGACTTAAAATTACCAATTAAATATAATGAACACAAAATATATAAATTTGTTCTTTATTCAATAAATCATGTATATATATTAACAAAAATTAAAATGAGATCAAACATAAGGTCAAACATAAGATCAAACAAAAGATCAAACAAACAAAGAATAAGATGGTGTGCACCTCCTTTGACCGACTCACAACTGCAGAATAGCATTCATGAATTAAAAAGGTGCGTTTTCAGCAAGGACTTAAACTGGTAAGGAGAATGAGTATTATTAATATGCGCAGGCAGTTTATTCCAAAGGATAGGGGCATTTACTGAAAAAGCTCGATCGCCATATTTTGTAACAGATTACTGCAAGGTTGATAATAATTATAAACGTTCTCATTTTGATCATATATGGAAAGTGGCGGTTGCACTGTTTGCATGTTGATGATGAAACAAACAAATTATATTAAATTACTAGAAAACAAACAAACAAACAAACAAAAACAAACCTGTGTAACTATTGGCCCTGCATCGTCTTGAATAAAATCCGCCAAATTGGATACTGAACCAGAAACCTCATCAGCAACAATCTGTTCAGGAATAACATCAAATTGAAAAATTGAATCAATGCTAAGAAAACTTACCAACAATTAAAAAAAACTGGGTCACGTGTTCATGGCAAGTATTCATGGAGTAAATCAAAAAGATTACCACAAAGAAGAAAAAAAAACTGAGTCATTCGGAACTATTTTACATAGGTCATCAATGAAAATGTAATGTACTTTGCATTTATTTCGTTATCTTACAGTACATGTTTAAAACTTATTTTCTTTTGCACAACCATTGATCTTTGGTGGATCTTTGGTGGATGAAATTCTAGAGAATTTACCATCTTTTCATTTTCCTCTTACTATCTCACTTTCTTTCTCTCCTCACCCTCTCTCTTTCTCTCTCTCTCTCTCTCTTTTCATTTCGCGCCATCCGTTAGCTATGCCACTGGGACAACGCCCACATTCAGTGACCCCCTTCCTAAAGAAGAATGATACTCAGGTATAACTCACCTCAACCCCTACTAAAGATGTGTTTAATCTCGAGACTTCTTCAAAAAGCGCCATCTGCACAGAACATCAAGAAACGTCATAAACAAAATGATGAAATTGAAAAACAGGAGCTTCAATGGGGTCATGTATTTTTGTTGGCCTTCTTTTTTTAATAAAACTATCATAAGCCTACATTTAAAAAAATACATAGCAAAAGTCATACTGATAATGATTTAAAAAATATCACTGTAAAAATCATTAGAATGTAAAATGACAGAAATCGTGAAATAGCTATCATTAATTGACAGAAAAAATTATCATAATATACCAAATTACACTTCCTCGAATGCACATGAACATTATTCAAAATTTAAGTTACAGAACTCCGTAATATGAATAAAGATAATATTTCTCATTTAACATATTTAAAGTAAATATAAACTTGTGACGCAGTGTGCAAAAGATACAATATTTCATTATTAATTTGTATTCATTTCAAAGGTGCATAATGATTATCAAATCAAGGAATAAAAAAATATGCTAACACATTTTCATTATGTAAATCAATGTAAATTTAATCATCAATAGAATAAAAAAATTGAAATACACAAGCGGGGTAATATAGGCAAGGATGATAGCATATAATGAAATGATGACAGATGGTAGGGATGGTATCCCGGTGGGGTCACTCCCCTGCAAAGAGACACGTATGACCGTTACCACCAATGCATATAACCCCCTTTTGCGGTCAATTTCAAGGACATTTTGTGAAATTTAACCCCCTTTTTTTACATCAAAACAAGGACAAAATCGTACTTTGGAATACCCCTATTTTTAAGATTGTAAGGACACTTTCGCAAATTTACCCCTATTTTACCATATTTCAAGGACAAGACTCGGCTCCGAGAATTTTTCTTCCCGGTTTTCTCTTTTTCCTTCCCGGTTTTCTCTTTTCCCTTTTCCTGACCCCTATTTATCAATTTCGGGGACACCTGTGCACCCCTATTTTCTTTATTTCGAGGAATATTTTGTCCGCGGACATTGCTTGAAATTGACCCCTTTTTCCGCGATTTTGGTAACGGTCATGCGGTCCGGAAGTCACATTGAGTGACCCCACCGGGGATGGTATGCATTAATATATAAGTATCATCCTCATTATCATAAGATGTAAGATGGCGCCTTTCAAGTTTATCGACTAAGGAACGTAGCACGACTTGGCATGCAAGCCCGGTTAGCTCAGTCGGTAGAGCATGGGACTCTTAATCCCAGGGTCGTGGGTTCGAGCCCCACATTGGGCGTACATTTTTTTCTTTTTCTTTTGAAATCTTCCTCCAAATCATAAGTCAAAGATGTGTTCCTTATTTTTATCATGCTTATGGGTTTGCATGAATACACATCTTTCAAATCTTCGTTTGTACTTAGCTGAATCCTTTTATAAGCCTACTTGGTTTTGAAATAATTCATTTGTCACAGAGACCGAAAACGCATCCCTATTGAAAAAGAGTTTTTTTTTTTCATTTATAAATGCATCCCTCTTAATTAAGTATATTTTGATTTTTATAATATCTATCAAGAAAAGTTTAAGAAATATTTCCTTCAAAATTTAAGGATTTGTGCATACAGCCTAGTTAATTGTTTTTCGGAATATGGACATTTCAAGTGGTGACTAAGCTTGATGCGATATCAAGCAAAGAAAATTATTTCTTTTTAAATTGGGTTATCTTTGAGGCGTAAGAAGTTTGTCATACCGTAATATTGATGATGAGCTGTAGCTGTTGGTCATTGATGCTCAATAAATAACTAGCCAGATCACGTAAGTCTGTTGCCATTGCCTGTTCAAAATATGAAAAAACAATACGCGTTCAATTGATTAAATTTAATTAAATGGTGATGATGATGATACTACTACTAATATATATATTATTACAACTATACTACTAACCCTTCTTATAATATTAATAATGATAATAATGATGATGATATTGATAATAATTTATAAAAAATAATAGTAATAGTGATAAAATAATTATGATGATGGCAATAATAATAATAATGACAATAATACTAATGATAATGATAATGATAATATCATTAATAATGATAAAATAATGATTGTAATAACAATGATAATAATAACGATAATAATAATTTTAAAAAAAATAATGATAAAAATAATGATAATAATAATAATAATAACAATAATACAAATAAAAATTGAAATAGCCCTTGATATGATTTTTCGAAAAAAAGTTGCATACATTCTTTTTTTTCTAACATGGATTTCGACTTCAAATGAAATGTATTTTAAAAATGACTCTCCAAACATCAATTTTCACTCCTTTCTTAAAATTCCTTTAGTTTATTTATTACTAAAAAAAAGTTTTTAAACCATTGGACTCATCCGGGGTGTAATGAAGAAGAGAACTTTACCGGGAAGGCTCCATTGGCAGCATCAGCTCCATCGTTGAGGGCGTCACTCAGGTTTGTCAAGGGAATCTGACTGAGTTCACTTTGCATCTACATCAGGATAAATAATATTGATGATAATACTAATAATGATATTAATTTAATGATAATAATGAAAATGATAATAGTTATTAAATAAATAATTACAAACAAATAATGGTAACAATACTGATAATAATGATTATAATGGAAATAATGATAATGATGATAATAATGCTTTATAATATTTTGGGTTTTTATTGTGCTAAATGCATCGTCGATGTCTTCAAGCACTTTACATTATATTATTACCCCGGTCATTGTATTTTAAGCACATTCTCCACTCCCTGGGGAGCATTCCAGTCAGGAGCAATTTTGTCAGGCGCTCATAGGCAGGAGAGTGGCAGATGTGGATTAATATCTTTCCAAAGGGCGTTATACTCTTTCTACCCCCCCCCCCCCCCCACGTTATACCTGTTGGATGGCTTCCGTGATGTTGGAGGGTGATAGCTGATTGGTCAGTTGACTCAAGAGGGCGTTTGCTTCATCGCCAGGTAAGATGTCCAAAGCGGTCACGGTGTCGTTGACCATTTCATACACACTTGTCAAATCAGGCAGCATCTGTAATGCAGTCAATAACAATAAACCCTCGTTCAGACGGTAAAAAATAATGTTGTTACCTGTAAATCAATTGCAACTGCGCGCAGCAAAGGTTTTTACTTCTGTCATTATCTTTAGTGTAAGATACAGAAATATGAAGTGTACTTATTTTGTTTACCGCTGCATAATACTGAAAGAGGCTAAAAGGCTAACATTAGTACTAATTTCACTTTCCTTCTTGTTTTAGATGAGTTTTTTTTTAAATAATGCAGAGATATTTTTGGAAATACAGGTTGATTATGAATATATATCTTTTTCATATATTATGTCAAACTTAATTGCGTCCTAATTTAAAGCTTTGTTATTAAGAGGGTATCCTCCTCCCACGATAGGAAGTTGGCGTAAATTTTCGCCTTAAACTTTCGAACACAATAGTGATATATTTTGTGCTTAAAATGTTACATATACCGGTTTACTACTGAACTACGACCCACCATAAACGATATTAAAGTAAACTATACATTTTATAGTTTACTTTAATATCGTTTATGGGTGTCGTAGTTCAGTAGTAAACCGGTATATGTAACATTTTTAAAGAGAGTGACTGGAAGTAAAGATAAGTAATTGGAGTGTAGAATAAACAACTATTTATAAGAGAAAGTAAGTTACCTCTCTGATGTCCATATCCTGGATGACATCGAGAAGTCCAGACGATCCGAGATCGAGGGCATTAAATAGTGTTGCATCTTCTTGACAGTTTCTATGATAAAAAAAATAAAAAATTAAGAGGTAAAAAAAAAATCTGTGATAATAACAATGATGAATGTACAAATAAAGAACAGTTCTGTGGTAAAATCAATAATAAATTAGAGAGTTGAGGGAGCCATACTTACTCTAAGATTTCGTAGACAGTGATATTGAAAGTTGAATTGCCAAAAGAGAAGCGACTGGTAATTGGGGTACCACCCCATACATCCGGGTCATCAACCACCTGACGGTGAAAAGCAGAGATGAAGGGGGGGGGGGGGGAGGAAAAGAGAGGATTACACAATAATGAAGGAGATAAATAGTGAACTCTATAACAAATTAAGTAAAGTAATAGTATTCCTGCTAAATAAATGAACAAAATACGAAATACACACAAACACAAATGATAATAGTCATGATTATATTCATCAACAAACAGAGAAGTCGTTCAGCAAACAATGGTAATCGAAATAAAAGCGTTTTTTAAATATTTTTAGAATGAATGATTTTAGTATATAAGAAGAAATTTTTTCTTCCATAACTATAAAAACTGAAATGCATGCTTGGCTAAAAAACTTTGTTCCGCCCAATAGCGAGCGGATGAAATTACTCGTCAGTGCGCCCTAAATCATGCAGGATGTGGGCGTGTACCTCTTGGATGAGTGACAGGTCAAGCAGCGAATCACAAACGATGGTGAGGGTGGAGCCAATGATAAGGAAGATGGCCGCAAGTAAACAGACGAATAAAGAGATGGAGAAAGACCAACACACCGAGCTGCAAAAAGAGGACAAATTATTAATTGAAGAAAATAATTTTGCTTCCATTTTTTTCAAAGAGAAGTAATATCAAATCAATAGAAAATTGAATAACCAAATAATAATTTTAAATGAGTAAAGGAAATTAAGGGAGGATACAACATTAACGAAATTAAACATAATCGTGACAAACAAATGCATTATCATTATTATCTTCTTCAATCATGTTTATGTTACTTTGTAAAAAATTATAATCATTCAAATAACCGGTAAATTGCGAACAAAATTACTGGAAAAAAAAATATAACTTTAGGTATGAAATCAATTTTGTCCATACTCAATTAGTGTCTCGACCTACCCCATCAACATCTTGCCGCCGCAGTCGCATCCGAAGCCCCGTCTCCCCGGGCCGTCGTTCCATCTCAGTCCGATGACGGCGACGAGGAGCCCGAGACCGGTCAGGACGACCATGAAGGCGAGAACGACAGGTAGAAGTGAGGCAGCCAGATCACTATAAAGACGAGAGAGAGAGAGAGAGAAAGAGAGAGAAGGGGGGGGGGTGTGGGCGAGGCAGAGACAGAAAGAGAGAGAGAGAGGGGGGGGGGGGGGGAGAGAGAGAGAGAGAGAGAGACAGACAGACATAGAGAGAGAGAGAGGGGGGGGAGATGTTGTTGTTTTTATTTTTATTATTATCATGATCATGATCATTATCATAATCACAGTGGTGGTGGTGATGTACATAGGAGAGGGGAGCGGGGGGGGGGGGGGGGGCTAATCCCTGCGGCTCTGCACCCATCTAGTCAGTTACCCCCCCCCCCTCCGCAAGGACAACCACCCTCCGAGGGCGATTACCCCCCCCCCCCGGAAATTACGCCATTGGAGAATTACCCCCACCCCTGAGATTACCCCTCCCCCCTCTACCAACGAAAATTACCCACCTTTTCGTCAAGGGGAAGTCCACAATGATAATAAGTTGTTTTTATAAATGCAGAACTTTTTTCGGGGGCCGGGGGGGGGGGGGGGGGTTGTCCTCAGGAAGGGGGGGGGGGGGGTCGATTGTCCGATAGGGTTTTTTCAGGGGGGGGTAGGGAGTAATTTTCTTTGGGGGACGTTGTCCTCAGGAGTAATTTTCCGGGGGTAATTATCCTTGGGGTAATTGTTCCGCTGGCTATTGCCCGGGGGTGATTATTCAGTGTAATCCTAGAACCGCATGAAACCATTGCACTGGTGGCGGACTCATTATTATTCAACTGGAGCCTCTGAAGGAGTAATATTATTATTAGTACTATTTTTCCAATCTCTCTTTCCTAGATAATTAATATAACGTATATAAACAGTTTTTGTCCACGGAACATGCCACCTTCCCTAAACTAAGTCAAAATAACAGGGGGCGGGGGAGCCCTCTTCCGCGATCTGCTACCTCATGATTAGTAATTAAAGTTATCAAACCAATAAAAACAATGGCCTTATGAGGATGATACATACGTGACACTCTTTTCTACTGGGAGCTGAATTGTAGTGTCGATTGTCTCTTTCAAGGAATCAAAGTTGAGTGAGTCGAATGTCTGAATAATTGGAAGTAGAGAGAAGAAAGTTTAGGCAAAACAATCGTTATTGTCAGTATACTTATTGTTATTATTATATTTAGTATTCATATTAGTTTATTATTATCGTTATGACTATAATTTTTTGAAATTGTTATATCAAACACATTACAAAAAGATGTGACACACCAGTCCTATACTTTGATAAATATACTCCTACACTTATACTGTAAGACCTGCTACTCTCACTACTTCTACTTCTACTGCTTCTATACTACTACTGCTGCTACTACAACTTCTACCATACTACTACTACTACTACTACTCCTACTGCTACTACTACTACTACTACTACTACTACTACTACTACTATTACTACTACTACTACTACTAGGCCTACTCCTACCGTACTACTACTACTACTACTACTACTACTACTATAGGTCTACTCCTACTACTACTACTACTACTACTACTACTACTGCTACTACTACTACTACTACTACTACTGCTACTACTACTACTACTGCTACTACTGTACTACTACTAAAACTACTACTGCTGCTACTACTACTACTGCTACTGCTACTGCTACTGTACTACTACTGCTACTGCTACTACTATTACATTCTGCTACCTACTGCTATTACTACACCTTAGACATTTGAAGTCATATTGCATTGAGTATACATATTGTTATTATTCCTTCAGAGAGGCATATACTCACTTCGTTTAATGACTGCGAGGTTTGGTTGACAAGATCCCCTACTACTTGTTGTAACTGGGAGATTGCATCTCGAATTCCTATCCACGGGAAAGAGGTATGTGAGGATACATGCAGCGATGGGGAGATGGGGAGGGGATAAAGGGAGAGAGAGAGAGAGAGAGAGAGAGATAGACATCAACAACACTTATGTCATTCAGTGGTGCAGCATTACACTTTGGGGATGAGAGGAGGGGGCGCAGAGGCATTAATAAAGGGATATACCAATATATTATGATAAACACGTCATTTTCTTTCTAGATAATTATAGTCTTTGAGAGGTTACATTTTCACTGACAGGTGCCTGTTCCGTACAAAGTACACCATCATATTTTCCCCTAAGGGGCGGCGCGTGAAATTATTCCAGGAGGCAAGGGTCAGTCAAAAATACACTGAGCTATGGCAAATAAAGGTACAATTGCCCCCAGTCATCCCCTCAAAATGTATAAAGTTCCAATACTAAAAGGGAACAAAAGTAAACCATAATATGTCTCTAGTTTTTAGAAAAATGACTTTATTTTCATACCACATTTACAGACACTGGCAATAGAGTAGGCCTATTATAATTAGCAATAACAAATTAATTGATACCCACCATCAATCGACGACACACTTGTGTTGGTTATCAACTCTGGAATATCGTGCAGAGTTTCATTTCCCTGTTGACAAATATTTGAGAAAATAATAATAGTTTGCTTATGACTTGTATCTGACTGCAAAATCATTTTGTAGTCCCAATGTCCCAATCATGCTAAGCCCCCCCCCCCCCCCAACAAACAACTTACGAACTAAACAAAATGTTAAACAAATAAGGCAAAACAGAGCAAGACAAAACAAAAATAGAATAAAAACAAGCACCCCTAAAATATCCCCCCCCCCCTAAAGAAAAAGAAAAAAGTGCACATATAAATTATAAACGCAAAAGACTAAATAATAAAGAAAAATACATTTGTTGTCACTCTGTTTATCTTCATTCGGTCGAAAACGGACTGAGCCGGAAAACGAAAAAAATCTTTTCCCCGCACACATTTTTTAAAACTTTAAAAATTATTCAGTATATGTCCTAAATATCCAAACACATATCCTCAGCATCCAAAACGAGCATGCCTATTGGCCATTCACCTATCGACCGTGTCAATATTCTTTGTAATAGGTTTTTATAGTCGCGGGGCCTTCGCTAGAAGTACCGACGCTTTGATTGGTGGACCATATCGACAATCTCTGTGTGCACAATGTATCGCATACACACACGTACCGTAGATGCGGACACACACAAACGGTACGTGTATTGATTATGCTCTGTACATAGAGCTCTGTACTGTACTGTCCAAAGGGCGCGAAGCAGTCTCGTTTGGCGCGAAAATTGATCTCGCTGAGAACCACATGGGGTTGCTAGGCATGACAATATACATTTTGGATGTATTAATCATGAGCTAAAACATGTTAATTTATAATTAAAATGCCACTATGTGAAAGAAATATTCTGAGAAACATAATGTTAATCGCAAATTAAATCTGCTTTGCATATTAGAGGCCTGTTTTTTTGTAATTTTGCATGCAAATGAAGACATCTTAACTGGTAGCAGACGATATTATGTACAGTAAAAATGCAGCGATCTGGCCAAATCATTTATCTCCATGGTATGCAAGCCCGGTTAGCTCAGTCGGTAGAGCATGGGACTCTTAATCCCAGGGTCGTGGGTTCGAGCCCCACATTGGGCGTACATTTTTTTTCTATTTTAATATACACAATTAAAAAACAATAACAGAACAAAACATAGAATGTTAAGTTCAAGAAAGGCAGGTGGAAAATTAAATTAAACCAAATGCAAAAATTAGTTATGTGTGTTACATTATAGGCATAGGGCTATTTCAATGGTCAATTTATTTTTCTTATGTTTACTAAATCTATTAAAATCTCTGAAATTAGATTCTTCTAGTCGAGTGGAAGATTATTATTAGAAAAAAGAGAAATGAAAATATTTTCTTCGTTCTGTCACTGTTGTCAGTATTGAAAAACAGTATACGACGTTGGTAAATTGCAATTATGCTATACCAAACCAACTTCTGCTTTTGATAACAACAACACTTAGAATAATAATGATGATGATAATAATAATAATAATAATAATAATAATAATAATATATAAGATGATGACGATGATAATAATGATAATAATACTACTACTAATGATAGTGACAATAATGATAAAAATATTAATGATGATAATAATGATGATGATACTACTTATCGTAATAGTTGCATTTACAAAGCCCAGCTATACTGTACTAAATACTACTACCAATGAAGAACTGCCATCATTCAACAAACAGTGAACTTTTATTTTCCTAAAGTAAAAAAAATGACAAGATTCTTACCGTGTCAATCAGGTCACGAATGGTTGCTAGGGCGGATTGCATCTCGTTTCTAATGTCATCAAGATCAAGATCTCCGATGTTAATCTATTACACACAAAGATAAACAAAAACATCAATATCTTACCGATGACTTAAAGGTAAAGACCAGTTATGGTCATGCGATTGCATTGTGAAAGAAACGTTGTGGAATCGATCAGTAAAGGTTGATCATCTAGCATCTAGCATCTGCAAGGTTCTGGAATCATCAAAATGATAAGAAATTTTGGCCCATTCTTCGTAAAGTTACAAGCACTATACACAGAAAGATGTATATGGGACTACCCTATATCTCTCACAGACCATGAGAGAAACAAATTTACCAAATATATGATTTAGTAGGCGGTTTCCCGGCAAACTTGTTATCATCATGTATTAGTCAAAACATACTCTTTCACATGATTGGTAATGAGAGCTTCCATTTCATTTTTTTAAATTGGGGCGTTTCCAATACTGGTCTTTACCTTTAACGTATTACGTCTTGACTAATAGTACTCAAAATAATGTCCACTATTCTGTATTAATATTTCTTGATTTTTAATGTAGGGCCTAACATGTATGAAATTAATATTTGTAATGCTTTTTAAATTTGTGAAATGTTTTTAACACGGATAGTGGACCCCTATGAAGGTAAGTTTTGGCGCTTAGGATGTTCCACCCAGTCATGAGTGACAAGAGCAACAAACAAAAAGAAGAGAGCGAGAGAGAGAGAGAGAGAGAGAGACGGAGATATAGAACTAGAGGGTATACGGACAGAGGTCCATGGTACGGGGAATCGATGGAGGTCGCTATACAATAATTGGCAAGTGTTATCAATAGGGATGGGACGCAAAGGGGTAAAAATCAGGAAAAAACGGGAATAGTGACAAGCTTTAGACATATTAAAATGATGACCCCCGCCCGCCCATTCCCCTCCTCCTTTTTTTTGGGCGTCAGAGTTTTGAGAAAAATGGAACTCCTCTTTTACAAAAACCCTGGAGCCTCCCCTAAGTGATGACTTATGATAAAACTCCATTTCAAGACATTGGCAAATATTAGCTTGAACTATAGACCTACTACGAACGGTGATAAGAAAATAAAGAATGATGGACGAGCGGGAGGGGGGGGGGGGGAGGGGATATCTTACCGTGCTAAAGTCCACGCTACTGGTATCAAGAAGCGACGGATCAGGGATGTTGTCGCATGCCCCAGACCCAGCCCGAGGAGGGTCAGCGAGACAGTCGTCCCTTATTGTAGTCAAGTCATCCTTGGCTGTATCCAGAGCATCAACAAGCGACTGTCCAGCAGAGACTAGGTTTACAGTTGTTTGAAGTAACAGGTCTAACGCCGAGCCGTTGCTCGTGAAAGATGTGAGTTCTGAAGAAGAAAACAACCAGTATTGGTTCAAAAAAGAAATGTATATATATACTTTTTTGAGGGGTGCCTTTTGGGGAAGAACTATGGAGTTGGTGGGGTCTTGGATGTTCTTGCATGCATTTTCTTCATGCATGTGGCTAGCGAGAACTTGGGGGGGGGGGGACTCAAGAAATTAGAGGGGCTTGAGCCCCCCACATTCCCCCTTTACCGCCACACCATAAGGGGGTTGTACAAAATTAATGAGCAGACTTTCATTATCAGCTTATTTTTTTTTAAGGCAGTGATAGGCCTACTACGAAACATTTTTGAAATGAAATGTCTTTTTTTTTTTTTTATATATATGAGGCCTAGAATATTTTAGATGAAAATATTTAATTTCAATGTTTTTAATCAAATATTCTTTTTATGCACCATTCTGACTTCCCAAAATATGAAATTGTAAGGCCCTATATAGCTGGCCATAGAGCCTTAGATCCTGTTTTTACATAAATTTCACAATATTTCTATTTCTGAACCAAAGCATGTTCTGAAGAAAAAAAGTAGCTACCGTAGTTGGCTTTCTTCTTTTTACACGAAGGTTTTTTTGTTTCTACTTCAAAATTAGTTCGTGAAACAATCAAGGCTTTTAGACCTGTGTTGGTATAGCGTCCTATTGGATTATTTCTGAGATTACAGGAGGCACACGCGCAGGCACAGCAAGTTATATTGTACAAAACAATATGTACAGCGACTTATATTACAACTGTGTAAAGGGTGAGGGGTAAAGCCCTGTGAGTCCTATTTAGAACAAACACACAAACAAACATAACAAAACCAAGACAATAGTAACCAACAATCTAGCTATGGCAATATGAGAGGTTTAGTTTGTTTGTTTGTTAGCTGGTAAGTTTCTCCAGGAAAACACCTCCCTGGTTTCTCTGTACATCATTTTTTCTTTTACCCTTCAACAAGAAAATGTATAAATTACATACATTCAGAAAAACAACACATTTCTTGTCAATAAACGCAACAATGAACCATAATCCTATCATTAGAGAGAAATAAAATGTATGAGTCAGTATAGTAAGCTTTCGCGAGCACGAGGAAATGACTTATCAATGGGGGAACTCCCCATTCAAGAGCCAGACCGCGCCAGTTTTACACATGCGACAGATACACACAAGATTCTATGCAGAACAAAGAACACGCCCGGCTGACGAACGTAGCCCGTATTGTGCACCCAGGGATGGCGAGCCTAGCGTGTGGCAAGCCGTGATCGTCTAGTGGTTAGGACATTGCGTTGTGGCCGCAATAACCCAGGTTCGAATCCTGGTCACGGCATTTTTTGTCTTTTGAATTTATGAAGATTTCGATTTCACCTGTTACTATTAGTAATATTTCATACACAAACATACTTGTCAAGCTTTAATTTTTTTTTTATTCCTATTTTTTCGGACTATTTCTGGCATACGTCATGACACACAAAAGTTATTGGATTTGGGAGACATTTTTGCTTGTTGTTGCTATCCCCCCCCAAAAAAAAAAATGAAGTATAGACATCTCTAAGCCACATCTTTAAATCAAATTCGAGGGGACACAAGCATGCACACTAATTTGTCTTAAAGCAAACCGCTACCCAAAGTTTAAGTATACGTATTCTGATAAATGAGATGTATTCCTGCCCTTTGATGTACAATATTCCTTGCGAAAAGAGGTAATATCAATGCAATATTCTTGGCATGATGTGATGCCTATTTACTATGACATGGGCGCAGTCATTTTCTTGAAAATGTGACGTATGGTTACTTGCTTTATGCACTTTGGTGGGGAATCTTGTAGATTAATGAGCAAGAATATTATAAATCTCACAAAATAAGTAAAGTTATTTCTTGGGGTGAGGTTTCCTTTAATCATTGGGAAATGTCCCAAAGATAGGCTAAATTACTCGGGTTTTTTCTCCTCGATATCATTATTTCCGTCAATATAATTAGGCCCAAAGTTCAGGATGAATGTTGATGAGCCTATTATCATGAAACATTATATTTCCGGTCCAGGTTTGTTTAGTTTGACGTACTATCTTGTTGGATGCCATGTCAGATTTTTGTGTTTTTACGTCCTCTTTGTATAAAATCAGGGTTTCGGGGGTGAAAATAACTTTTTTCTTTTAGAGAGCCAGTGCCTATTTTGGGTTCTAATAGATAATATTATTGTGCGAGCATATTTTCTATTTATACTCGACGCAGTATTATACTTAACTCATAATTCATATTTCATTTTATTTCTTATTTCACAAACATAGGATTTCCAAAAAAGTAACATGGACAACAGCTTATCAATATAACAAACATAATTTGAAGTGCAATATTAATATTCAACATACAACTCTTGTTATTAATTAAAGAACTTGATTCTACAAAAATTTATTTGAATGTAAGATCATGTTCTGTACATAAAAGAAAGAGGAGACATTATAGAAGCTGGGCTTGCTAGAGCAAGGTCCCGAAACAGATAATAAAAGCCGAATGCTTTATTACAAAAAAGACAAAAACATTGACATTATTATGCGAGATTAGGTTTGCCTGTCGAGCCATCTCATAAATCAAACATGGCTGTTGAGGTAGTTTTCATTTGTCAAATATCTCAGAGATAGAGTCTAGACTTAGATTATTTGAAAATGAAGATCGCAATGTTGATCCACCGTTTAGCCGCGACGCTCGGTATCTATATACAAATCAAACATCTTGATGACTAAGCGAGCCGTGATCGTCTAGTGGTTAGGACATTGCGTTGTGGCCGCAATAACCCAGGTTCGAATCCTGGTCACGGCATTTTTTGTTTCAATTTCACTTCTTCTTTTTTGTATTCACAATAAAATAGCTTTTAGATGTGAATATATACATGTAGCTTATATCATCCCTTTTGGACTCAGAAGATCTAATTCACTCATTTATTCCCCCCCCCCCAAGGATTATTCCTCTTTTTTCTCTCTTTTTTTTTGGGGGGGGGGTATTAAAATATTAAAATTAAACTATATATTAATTGGGTTATCACAGATCATTTACACTGATGCACAAACTTAGAAACCTTATGGACTCTGAATCATACATTTCATTTTCCCTTTTCTTCAAAAAATGTTTTCCTTTTTTGTACTATTAACAATCAAATTGCATTAAGGGAATACATTTTTTTTTTTTAAATTGAGATTAACTTTGGCTGTCGAGCCATCGCATAAATCAAACACAATTCTGTTGGGGTATAGTTTTAATTTGTCAAATAACTCTTAGACTATACTTGAAAATGAAGATCGCATTGTTATTCAACCGTTTAGGTGCGAGGCTCGGTATCTATATACAAATCAAACAACTTATTGACACAGGAAGCCGTGATCGTCTAGTGGTTAGGACATTGCGTTGTGGCCGCAATAACCCAGGTTCGAATCCTGGTCACGGCATTTTTTTTCAATTTCACCTTTTTTTTTGTGTGTGTGTATTCACAATAAAATAGCTTTTAGATGTGAATAGCTATTTGATTTGATTTCCTTGTACATTCATATAGGTACACAGTTTTTCGATAACAATAGTAATAAAAAATACAATAAGAACTTTTTCTGACAGTGAATCGTAAATAAATATAATATATAACAATTGACACTTTCAAAAACGAAATGATAAACTGTCATCAATACTAAATTTCATCAAACATTATACAATTATTTGCGGAAGAAGGACTGTCATTGTAAGCAGATTGCTTGGAAATATAACGCCCCGGACAAAAGTCATGAAATAGATTAACACAATTATTAAGCAGAATGGATAAATATATAATTGGAAATACAAATTATAAGGATGATGTTATTGACAATGTAGGTGAGGATGATGCTGAGGAAATCTGAGTCACCTATTTCACCCCCCCCCCCCCCCTTTTCAAGGATTCTTTTTTTGTTGTAATACAATTGAATTGAATTGAATTGAACTTTATTTCATTCATCATAAAAACATCATAACAAACATAAAATACAAAACATAGCGTACAAGTTAAAGAGAAACATTTACAATACAATACAACAACAAAAATATATATGAATGTGGAGACAGCTAGGAAAGCCAAAGGCTTTAATGGTGCTGCCACCAAAACAGTATAAAGTATAACACAGTATTAAATTGTTGTTTGAGAGGGTGATTAAAAAAAAGAAAAGAAGAAAGAAGAAGCCTACTAGAGGGGGGGGGGGGGGGGGCAAAAACAAACCAAAAACCAAAAACCAGACCGTGTACATAATCAATCTTTATTTAGACATCTACTTATTACACAATCAAACTTATTACACATTATTTTTTTACATTGATACACAAACTTGGAAACCTCTCCGAGGTCTATTACATATCTCTTTCTTGCCATTCTTTCTGACTCTCTCTCTCTCTCTCATTCATTCTCCCTATATATTTCTGTCTCTCTCTCTTTCTGTCTCTCTCTTTCTCTCTCTCTCTCTCTCTCTCTCTCTCTAACTATCTATCTAACTTTTACGTACGAGCGAAGCAAGCGAATAAAAATCCTGATAAATTGTTAAAGTGCAAACAAATTAAATTTCATCATAATTCTCAATGAGAAATGAAAAGCAATATATTGTATACAAAATAATAGAACACCTCTTTGTTCAAACATGTCAAATAATGTTATATTATTGGTAATCATTAAGAGTTTGAGGGAGGGGAAATTCCTTCCTCACGCCTCGTATTTCTATAATTTACAAGGTGGAACAGTTGGAACTTAATTATATTCACATAAACTGTATGTAACGCACTTACCTTCTGCCAAACTCTCTACAGAATCTGACAAAGCAGTCAAAAATGGCGCCGTATCCCTTAGCAACGGTGACGCCACTTCCTGGCCAACAGCTGCGCGAAAAAAAAAGGATAATACAATGTAAAAATAAAATTATTCATGCTTGGAATTCATGAAGACTGATTGGAATTTCACTTAACAGAAGAGATGTACAGATAAAGAGAAAGGAAGAGAGAGAGAGAGAGAGAGAGAGAAAGGGGGAGGGGGAGAAAGAGAGAGAGAGAGAGAGAGAGGGGGGGAGGGGGAGGGGGGGGGGGAGGGAGAAAGAAAGAGAGACAGAGAAAGGGGAGATAGAGAAAATGAGACTGGCAAATCAAACGAAAATATAATAGTAATGATGCATTCACTGAAATAGGTGAATATTGGACTATACGGACACATTTTTAATACATTATTGTCTCATATTATGATATTCTGCGTCTGCATGGGTACCTCCCCCCCCCCCCCCCCCCTCTCTCTCTCTCCTTTTCATCTTTTATAATCTTCTCTAACAATGCTCCATCACTTTCAATAAAATCCACTCTATAATATTATCCTACTTTTACCAACAATAATCTTTCCTCCATGCACCCGTAGTTCGAGTACAAACGAATCTGGAGAGGGGGGGGGGGGGGATTTATAACCATAAGAAAACCGAACGTTCGAAACAATATCCTACCGTCTAACTTTGAATGTACAGCTCCTGTTACAAAGCCAAGGTCGTCGACTCCAACTTGTTGCAAATCCTGGTAGGTGAATAAAGAATGTATGTATGAAATTAGCTTTAGATTATGTAGATTGGGGAACAAAGTGAGCATCAACAAAGCAAAATGTGTTATTATCTGAGGATAATTTAAATGATTCTTAAATTAATGATAGTCGAGCACATACGTGGGAAACTATTTTTTTTCCTTTTAGCAAATTATTGATATTACGAATTCTCTAGAACAAAATGTATGGAAAATAGATTTGCAAACGAAACCATACAGATCGAGTGACTGGAAAACAAAAAGTTCGTAAATGACACTGTATACTTTAAACTTGTGAAAACATCAACTTTTATAGAACGTTTTTTTTTTCTTTTTTACCTTTTGAATTTCAACTTCAATTTTATTTCCGTTTTCAACAAAACATTACAAATCAATTAATCATTTACACAAATTAAAGCTTATCTCCACTACTTTGGCAATGAGGGATTAGACCACACAGCGAGGTCACTGACAGGTGGCTATCTCATTAACTCAGCTCTCAAATAACATAAGAAATAGAGGATCCTGGGGACCAACATGTACCGATTAGGAAAGTTTTCTATATAGAGGGAGCAAGTAGCTACAAGTAGGACAGTGGGGCTTTAAGGAATACGTGTCGGAAACAGAAGAGTGAACTATAAAGCAATGCTTGTACAATATTAGTGTGGACCCCTCAAATAATAGTTAGGAATAATGAGCAATTACAAGTCATTTTAAAATTCGTAACTACAAAAAGGAACTATAGAAATAAGAAGAAAGGGGAAGCCAACAGAGACGAAAACGGGACAAGAGAGTTCTTTACAAGACAAAGATCGCGGTCACAATACAAAAAGTAGACAATGCCATAAAAGAAGTGAGATATCGGGGGTACAGAAAATAATACAAAAGGATAAGCTGCATGTGGGGTTGAGAAGAAGATGAGGTCACGTTAAGATCGATTTGATGTGAGCAGGGCGAGTGAGGATGAGAAGGGGAGAAAAGGACAACAAAGTAACGGAGACAGGAAAATCGAGAAGGAATTCTTCCCCCTTACCTGTATGAAATCATCTTTAAAAGTCTGGATATCTTCCAAAATGTTATTCGCCACTGAGCTGGTGTGATCGACGGTGTCGACCATACGGTTGATCGAGGGGGCCGTCAAGTAACTCAACGTCCTGTTCGTAGATGGACGTCGATGAAATTCATTGAGAGAAGAGAAAAAACGGACGAATATTGGAGGAAAAGAGAAGGAAGTTTTAAAAGATAGTCATGATTATGCGAGTCTTCCTTATTTTTAATAAGGCCATTTTGTTAATAACGCACTTAAAAATGGTTATTTTTAAATTCAGGTCATATTTTACGACCAAAAGGTTATAACATTATCAACTTTCATTAATAAAAAAAATACAAATAATATTTTCACCTTTCAAAGGACACACCGTTCAATGTAAATAAATTCAAAATCAGGAAAAGATCAGGAAGTTTTAAAACATAGTTATTCTAACCATATTAAAGCCATTATGTTAATAACATAAAATGATTATTAGTTGAACACAAATTCAAAAGACAAAAAATGCCGTGACCAGGATTCGAACCTGGGTTATTGCGGCCACAACGCAATGTCCTAACCACTAGACGATCACGGCTTGCCACACGATAGGCTCGCCCTCGCACTGTACACAATGCGGGCTAGATTAGTCAGGCCGCATGTTTATTTGTTCTGCAAAATCTTGTGTGCATTTCTCTTTTAATTCCTGATTTTGATTTGTTTTCTTTCTTTTAATACGATCTTCACTGAATTCTATTCTTTATTTCTTTTATGTATAATTGTATATTTTCATTTTGTTTTGAAAGTAAGTGAACCTCGTTTAAAAACAGCACTCATGCTGATCAGGGTGTTCCATTCCACATTTAGTGGTAAAAAAAAGAGAAAAAAGTAAGTGAATAAAATCTTTGAATTGCTTTAGACAAAAAAAGACGACATGATATGTATCGATTTCTACAGGTTGCTTCGACCTTCTCAATATATTAACAGTTATTATTAGTACTGATTGATATACTTTGATCAGGGATAAACATAATATATTCTCGTATATCTAGACCTCCCCCTTCATTTTCGGATCCCAGCAGAATTTATAATTACCACTTAATTGTATATTTTTATACATTATTTATTGCAAATTGCAAGTTTTTTTCCTGTATTTTTTAGTAATATATTTTTGTTCCCATTTTTATTATTATTATTATTATTTTTTTTAATTCATTTATTTATTTATTTATTTATTTATTTTTTTTTTATTTTTTTTTTTTTTGGGGGGGGGGGGGGGTGTAAATGGACTAAACATGGACAAAAACTGATCACTTTGTGTTAAAGAATTCATATTCACTTTTTAAAAACAAATCATATTATCAACATACGCACCCGATGAATGCACAGACGATAATCAGCAGAACGCAGACGACAACACCCCACGTCGTTATGATGGAATCGAGGTCCTCTTCCTTTCGAGTCCCGCCACACTTTCCCGCGCATCGGCAGCAGCAGAAGATAAGGCCGACGATGGGGAGGATGATGGCCATAGCGATGAGCATGAACGACGTTATGATCACGGGCATCTCGATAATTAAGGCCTACATGATGATTTTTGTATAAGTATAATTAATATGCATTGCTTTAATTCTGTATTGTGTTAAGCTGCATGACTATACAGTAAGTTTCAGGTATGAACTTCTGAAGCGATTTAAGACCATCGTTATTAGAAATATTTAAACTCTTTTTATTACTAGTATGATGATAATGATTATATCATTATTATCATAATTATCATGATTATCATCATTGTTATCATTCTTATTATCATTACAATAATTATTTAATCATTATTGTTGTTATTATTGTTATCATTATTATTATTATCATTTTTTCAAGTTAATTTGTTATTCCCTTAATTCAATGTGAACATACAAATAATTTTTACCTATCAAAATGAAATATGAATTAACTGACCATAGGTAAGGCATATATCCTCTTCTTGCAGCTTGATTTTTTCCACTTTCATTATTATAATTCATTATAATAATGAATTGTTGTATCTCATCATTTTATTATTGTTACCGTTTCTGTAAAGTCACATGGATTGGAAAAGAACACCTTCGGGTTGCAGTTATTTAGTCAATCTGTTTCTTTTCCCGGCTTCCACGTGACTCTTTTCCAAATGTACTCTTGTTTTCTATTCAATCATTTTCCTTGATATTGCCGAATAAATAATGATAATAATAACACAAATAATTTGTATGGGGCACGGGCCCCTGTAACTCAGTATCTACGCTACAGGATCGAGTAAAGTAAAATATATATATAATCGAATTTTGTGCATACCTCCTTTACCGTCGAGGGGATATCGAATTCGTCAGCCATTAGATGTTTCTTCAGGAGAGCTGTTAAAGAGGGATTTAATTTCTTATCAATAATTCTACTGGTAGGCCTTATGGTAGCAGTGTGTTGATACTTGAACACGATTTCGCCTTGACAACTACACCGATAGTAATTATTATGATGCGAATGGATTACATATTTTGTGTACATAACTTTTCCCTCCACAGCGATTTTATTAATTTTCATTTACAACAAATTAACAAACATTATTCAAGGTGATTTATATTTATAATATGAATAACATTGACTACTCAAGATACACATATTTGTTGAACTGTCGACTAAGCAGAAGACATACATAATAATAATGTATTTCTGATATTCATGAACAACAACAACAAAAAAAGAAAAAAATAATACAAAAGACATATATTATCGTTTGATTATTGGGCTATATAAAATTGCTGACCACTGCGTATGATTTTAAAAAAAAATTTAAAAAATGAATAAACAAATTCCTGAATTGAATCCATAACATAATAAAATAACGGACAACATAATGCCAACATTCACATTCATACTGTCCGAACCTCGCGAATCTTCTCATTCTATATCTTATCCCAAGTTGGCCACTCAATATTCAAATTTGCATTTTTTTTAAATTTTTTTAATTTTTTTTTTAAAATCTTTATAATTTTATATTAAATTGAAATCCAACTACCACATAAGTCTTTGAATATTGATGTGCATCCCCTTTTTCTTTTTTTCCTCTTCTTTTTTCTGTCTTTTTCCCCTTTACCAATATTTTGTTCCTCCATATTTGTATTATTATGTATCCTTTGAGGGTAGTCATACTATCAAGCTTTGCTTATTTTGTCAACCCCCCCCCCCCCTGTTTGATGTTTTCAATTAGTTACAACCAGCCTTACTTTATTCTACATATATTCTTTTGTCATGTGTAAATTTGCAATATTTGTTTGTTATGTATTTGTAAAAATGCAAAAGAAAAAGAAAATCAAACAGAAATACATAAATCAAATCAAATCAAATCAATTGAAATTATCGATATTGTCGAATATCAATAAACACGCCGGAGTTAAATAGGGCTATATAGTTGCCTATTTTTGATACTTTTTATAATTGTTCACAGCTATAGGGTGATAAATAAGAATCGGTGTACGTAATCGGATAGAATTTAACTTAATCGACAATTTTGTTATGATAATTATTGACCATTAGAAATATTGATCTTAATGGTTATGTAGAATATAGCTTCATAATGGCTTCGACAATATTACTGATAGAACAACAAAATAGACCTTTACCTATTACTTCGCTGGGTGGGACCGCTCTCACTACTCCATCCCACACCCACCCCGCCGCTCGGTTACCAAGCCCTTCCCACTCGTACTCCACATCGTCGAGGAGATAAACATCGACATCGTCGTTCATAGCAGCATCGAACACGAGAGTACCGTTGTCGTACAGAGTGTTTCCCTGGTCACTGAACACCACGGCAGCGCGCTCGTGGCGAATTGGCGCGTCGTCTGCTAATGCTACCGCGGAATCCGATGCGATCAAGATCGAAAACGTGATCATAAAAAGAAAGAGTCTGTATTGGATATTTTGTCCTGGTAATCTTGTTGTTCCTTGGACGATACCGCACATATTGAACATGTTTTCCGTCCCTGAGTTATAAGTCACTGAAGGGTCAGTTCATGGCCCTACTAGGCCAAGAAAGATCGGTGTTTACTCTTTAATAATTCCAAATCCAAGGTTGAATTTTCATGATCGAACGGGATATCACTGTTGACCTTCGTGAGTTTGAATGCATTTCCAAGTTTAAGATTCGTCTGGCAAGGTTGCCGTTCCTTTTTAAATTCGTTCACTTTCACCCGTGTACTATTTTATGTTTTCCTTTAATTTCGTAGTTGAAAATCTGCTGGCACTTTTGAGACTAGTATTTTTGTACAGGAGAATGAAGAAGATGGGCTTGTATGTTATGGAGTTTCATTTCGTTCAGTGGTACTGCAGCATGATGCGTTCGTGTCGATGTCACGTGTATTAATTTTTGTGTTGTTGTCGATATTAATAACTGCGCGGTGATAATATTACTATGCGCATTGTTAAGTCACAAGGATGCGCTCAGCAATGTTTATTATTTTCCCGGGCCCAAGTGAGAGTTATGATACACAAAATGATTCCCGACTAATGGAGATCTGTTACATATAAGAACTATAAAAATATGTCCTTAATTCAATATATCTGGTATGGAACACCAGCATAATATAATAATCGACAAAGTTGGTATCAAAAATTTTCATTTATGACAAAATAATTATGTCGACTGCAAAAGCGAGAAACACTATCCATTGGCATTGTCCATAATAATGGCGTCATAGTATGCAACAGTCACGCAGATAATCCAAGGTGTATCACATTGATGTTTGTTCCGTACCATCAAAGAGTTCGAACTCCTTAATTACATGTAGTTTGTTTCCTGATAAAGTGCAAATCCGTTTTGAATATTCCCGAAATGATTTGCGCAATGAATTTGTATGATGTTGATAGTTCACGGTCCGCCTACCGTAGTTATAAAACTAAGTCGTCTATAGCTGTCCAATCATTTAATGATTTAAACATAACGGCTCGCAACCTCAGAAGTATTCCTCAACTGTATACAAACGTTTTAAAAAGAAAAGAATTGTGCTTTATTGATTTGCATTGCTTATAGACCAACATGGTTGGTTCACGCATTTAATGATTTAAACATAACGGTTCCAAGCCTCAGAAGTATTCAACTGTATAGGCCCCTTCAGACATTTAAAAAGACAGAATGGTGCGTTATTGATTTGCATTGCTCATCCGGTATAAGGCCTATTTTTCTTTGTTAGGTGGACGGGTGTGCAAGGTCTTCTTTGAAACATATGTTCTTAAGGTTGTATTGTCTCTGGAGGTGTTTTTGGTCTATTGCTCTTCGTGACTCAGTGGAAGTTGATCAATGAAGTAAGGTCACGTGGTATTAGGTATGATCCGTAGGCCCTGTTTCAAAACTTGTTATCAATAACAAGTTACAATAATATTATTGTAATAAGCTACTGAAATAGTGGCATTAGGTTGGCAGACGGCAAATTTGACATAGACATTTTGCATTTGTTATTGATAATGAGTTTTATGGAACAGGACCCTGCATTAATGGGGACGTGGTGAAACGGCGGTCAATCGACGTGTAAGGACACCGGTTCGAATTTTTTTTTTAAACTTAACGGCCAGACATTATTACTTCATTCAATTCAATTCAATTCAATTTTATTTCTGTTTCGAACAAAACATTAAAAAGAAATTATAATCTTTTACAACAATTTCATTTTGGGTTCACTTAAAAGCAATGCTTGTACAATAATATTGTGGACCCCTCGAAATAATGATAGTCAGGAATCATGAGCAATTAAGTTAACAAATTCGTAACTACACAAAAGAAATAGAAATAGAAAAAAAGGGGTGCCAACAGGGACGAGAACGGGACAAGAGAGTACTTTACAACATGACAAAGATAGGAGGACACGGTCACAATACAAAAAGGAGACAATGCCAAAAAAGAAGTAAGAGATCGGGGGTACAGAAAATGATATAAAAGGACTCACTGCATGCATGTGGGGTTAGATGAGAAAGAAGGGAACAATATATCACAACATTGTTGCCTTCTCAATAATAAATTCTCTTTCGTTAATTGAAACTTAATTACCAAAACATGACTATTTTCACTTATGGATATGCATGGCAATTACCAAGGTAGATAATCATAACAAATATTAATCCAATCATTTAATGATGTATCCGGTCCTCAACGGTTTACGAAATACGTCATCATTATTTACTTTCCCTTTACGTGAGCGTTCTTGATATACAAACACAGTAAACTAGTTAGGGCAATGTGATAATTTATTTTGATAATTGCTCTATTAAAAATCTGAATGAAACAACAAAATAAAAGTGATTGATGGGCTTTAATATTGTGCATTCCATGCATAAAGTTAATTAATACTTTTCAATCCAGCCTTTATTATATGGATATGTGATTAATTATTCTCAATGGGGTATGGGAATTGGATGAGAGAATGTAATGTTATGCATAATTTAGTTTATATCTCCTTTTTGGCCAATGCACTGATACCAATATTATTATTATATAGTTTTGTTTGCTCCCGAAAATTTGAAAATCGTGCGGGGGGGGGGGGGGGGGCCCAACCCCCCCCCAAAGTTAAAAATCACGTGTTTTTACATGATTTTTTTTTTCTCAAGGGGGGGGGGGGGGGGGCGGGGGCCCCAGCCCCCCCCCCCCTGGATCCGCCACTGCCAATTTTAACCTTAAAAATACCAATTGGATCCAAGGAGTATAAATATTCGAAAACTATTATGGCTTTATATGCCTATAATAGTAATACTGATTATTTTTGGGGAGATGGCATTGAAGAAAAAAAAAGGAAACTTAACAAGAAGGCCTATTTTTTTTCTTCAAGAAAGGTAATTCAGTGTTTGCTGTTGTCTTGATTCCCGCCTTGATCCTCTTTTATCTCGCACTTTAAAAGCCTATATAATAATAGTGCAGAGCAATGCAGTTGTGATGCAATATTTATTTCAACTTCCAAAACGCTATCCATCGCGCACGCGCGCCACTGTGAAAAGGCGCCCTGTCTGAATTTTCATATGCACGGATCCAGGTAAAAACTAATCAATATTTTGTATTTTGTGCGTTGTCTCGTTACTGATTCGGTACGAAATTGCCAATTTTGATGAAGAGTCGTTTATGGTATGATTTTTAAAGTTAAAAATGAATGGTTTTGTCGGGTTTTCGCCCAAAATAGTGTTATTTTTTTATGCCCAGTCCCACAAGCACTATCTGGTGTCATGTAAACTCATGTTAGGCCCTCGCCTTCTGTGGAGACTCTTCCAGTAAAAAAATATGGAGCTGTAGTGTTAGCACATAGGTCTATATCATACGTATGAATTTTGCAATGTGCTAAACATTGTAAAGCGTCTTTTTGTTGGTCATTTGATTTTGAATTGTTTTTGCTCCACTTCTTCATTATGACATCTTTAATTTTGTTTTGTTTGGAGAAAAAAGTCAATCTCTTTCTTGAGTGTACATGTACGTTTGTAATAGGTCTATGTTTATAACTTTAAGCAGAACGTACTGGAATGTGCAGACTGCAGCAGTGTAAATTTGTGTCTAAAGTCACTACTGAGTGAGTGAGTGAGTGAGTATTAGTATTAGTAATTAAACAAGTCAATTAATTCATTGTTTAGATTATTTTCTATTTTTTGCATCATTTTATTTTTAATGTTTTTTGTTTGTTTGTTTTTCTTGGTTTTGTCTTGATTGCCTGCAGATGAGATATTTCTGATCATGTCCAAGATATTACAGTTGTCCAGACAAGGCAACGTGGCCAACGTGGAGAAATACCTGAAAGGACTTCAGCCAGATGCAGTAAGGATCTCTCAAATCTCATACATGCAAAATAATTAAACCCACAATGACCACTCAGGGGAGACAAGAAAAGTATTTGCAGTAAAAGCTTTCTATTTAGAGGCAACTCAACTGATTTTATTGTTAGGAATTTTCCACAACATAAACTAATATCTTGAAGGGAAAACAGTTCAAGTAGCAATATTAATACATCACTCCTACAGTGATGGAGGTGCTACATGAATAGCCTTGGTTCCCCCTTTTCAAAGAATACTTCCACCTGTGTATCATGGAGTGTACTGCTTGTGCATAAATGAATTATGATTACATAACTTTCATGAGCAGTATCCAGTATTTATCACTGTGTATTTCACAATTTGGTCTGCAATGTCCTTTATCTGCTCATGCTCAGACTGCAACCATGAACTGGCTTACCGTATTAGCAATCGTTCACCTCTTAAAAAATCCTTTTGTCTCCCATCTGTCCTAGCTGTCACTTGAATTCAGACAGACGGTGCTCTCTGGTAAGAGTGGGGATGCAGCGTCTTTCCTCCAGGCCGTGTTTCAGGGCTCACCGGTCGAATCGGATAAAGGAGATTCATGCCGAGTCCTGCTCTGCAAGAGCGCCCTCAAGGTCCTGGGTGGCCAAGAAGTGAGCAGCAAGATGGCGTCAGAGATCATCGGCTATCTACTGATAGAGGTCAGTACTTAAAGACATCTTTTAACAATGTAAAATCTGAGATGCACTGCCCTACGTGCTATTTGTGTTTGTGATATGGTGTAATATTGAAGCCCTAAAAAAATTTCTCTTCAAAATGATCATGAAATTCCTCAAAAAAGTAAAAATCTTTGAGTGACCGGTTTTACATACTCATTTTCCCCAATAGACTGTAGTGTTATGAAAACCTTTAGGAATATGCAAAATTTGATTTCGATTTCTAATCATAAATATCTTGATAATAAGACAGGCGATCGGCTTGTAAAAGTCATAGGGTTCCTGACTGACCTAAAGGTTTATAATTTTCATTGCAGCATGAACTAAATCAAGGATTTTTTTAAGGATCTGAAACAAAGTTACCGGAACCCTTTAAGATGTTGCTTTAAGTCGTCTTCTTCTTCTTCTTCTTCATCTTCTTCTTCTCTCTCTCTCTCTCTTTCCTTTTACTTGTAAAAGATGTATTAAACATCAATTTATTCTCTTGTGTAATCTCTATTATGCTCTTCAGATTGGCAACTTTCCAGTGTCATGCTTGGTTGAGATAGCAGACATGTTCATGGATGCCGTTAAATCAAAGGATATCAGAAATGGCAGGTAATTATGATTTTAAATAATCCACGTTATATTCCACATACAAAGAATCTTGCGCTACGATTGGTCAAAGGTAAATCACGTGAAAAAGTGATGATAGTTCGCCCATCATTGATGTGAGGAGAAAAGTTTGTTGTACTTTTATTGAAGATAAAAGTACTATCTGCACTGTGCAACACACTTTCTTATATCGTTGCCTACTGCATGCACTGTACGTATCGTACAACTTTGCTTGCTGTTAATTGATGATTTGTTGCTCTAAAATGACGGAAGAAGTGAAATGTTTCTGATGTGGAATATAAAGCAATAAATCACCTTTTGGTTTCAGTAGATGGCAAACTATCACTTCCTCGGCGATGTGAATGTATACGCTATCTTTGTTCAGCTTCGCTTCTGAAAGATAGCTACATCCAGATCGCCTCAGAAGAGATAGTTTGTCCCATCACCTGCACCAACGGTAATTATTTGCTTAATATACAGTTTACTAATTATCACCCTATTTTCTAATCTTTAGCATTAATATTTCAATTGCTGTTTATACTGTGTTGATTATATTTTATTTAAAACAATTTAATTTCTAATTGTTATATTCTGAATATCTCTCGGACATCCATCACCCCAGTGCTGTTCTACAATTCTAAACTTTCGTCACCACTTCAGTGATATCACTCTCACAGCACTATAGTATCTACATTATTCATGCCCGAACCAGGTGTAGTTAGTGGATACTTGGTAGAATTAATTCCTTGAGTTGCACTGTGCACTTATAAGGTTGCTGGAGCTAAAGCCATGGTCTTTGGTAGCGCATAGGGATATCATATAATAAGAATAATAGTGTATTGTGCACTCTACAAGAAAGGAATATTTTTAATTGAGAGAACACTAAGATAAGCTGATTTAAATGGCAAAAATGAGATTGACAGAAAATCAGGGGAACGGAGAAAAGCCAGCTTACAGTTGACACATCCTTTTTCTAAATGTGTGTCATTTGTTTCTTTTCAATCAGAGCATTTGAACTGCTCCCCAAAGTGATCTCCACACTGGCTGCCATGGAAACAGTTACCAAGGACTCCAACAGGATGTCGGGTCAAGAGTTCAAAGATCATCTCCTGAACAACTTCTGCTCATGCAGGTTAGTTAAAGAATTATCTAATCCTGTTATCACATAGGGTGGTATTCTCGAAAGCGGACTAACTTTAGTCCATGGTTTAATCCACTAACTAAGTATGGAATGCCAAGAGTCTATATTGATATGTTTTTGAATAAGTTAATATGTCACTAAATTAATAAATTAAAATAAAATGTAATAACATAATTAATAAACAACAATATAACCATGATATAATTATGTTACATGGTCATTTAGGGACATTATTCAAAAATATATTTATATGGACACTTGGCATTCCATACTTAGTCGGTGGATAAAACCATGGACTAAAGTGAGTCTGCTTTTGAGAATACCACCCATAATCTGTCTGTATGTTTGTTCATAAGAGGCACAGACTTCAATTTGATACAAATATTCACCCACTTGTGCATTGATCACAAAATACACAAAAATAAAGTAATAATCAGTGGTGCATTCCCTGATACACGGAGGGAAGTATTCTTTTCAAATGGGGGAAACAAACTTTATCGTGAGGCACCTCCATTACTTAGGGAGGAACTATTCTAAAATGCACAAAGAGGAACCCTCCATGTTAAAATGATTTTGTTGATATCTTGAGTAATTTACACTCTGTAAACTACAAGATGGGTCAAAGGTCAGAAAGTTTAAAGGTGTCAAAGCGAAAAGAAAATTCTATGTTGTTTGCTTAGTCTTTTGTCGATAAAAATTGGGATTTAATCAGAAGTGTCACTACTTCACGAGGTAACTTATGAATAATTTGACATGTATATATATATAAATATATATATATATATTTGTAGAGGTGTGTTGAAGACAAAATCATTTTATGTATTTTTCATATTTAACGTAACTTCAATATTTTATATATTTTCATGGGGCATTGACATATTTCTTTTTCATTCCTGTTTCCAGGTGGGAATCTCAGTGTGCTATTCACCTTGCATCAGTTTTCAGGTAAGACGTAGACTGAATGGATCATCTTGTTTTGTTTGTCTGAAGGTTGATGAAAGAAATGTTTAATTTTTGTATAAAATGTTACTTATTATATTCCTTCTACTGTACTTACCCTCTAACAGGCAAAAAATCCTGAGAAAATTCTTAAACCACAAAAATATTTATGGTTTTCTATGAAGGTGTCACTGTGCAACACTTTCTAACAGTAATTAACAGTAAATTCTCCCAACCATTTTTGAATTTTCCCAACCGTTTTTCCTTGAAAATAAGTCATAAAACGGGCTATAAAAAATCTGTCAACACTTACATGTCTGGAATGGTAAAAAGAGCCAATTCATTGCTCTGTTACGAGTTACCTTCACCTAATATGTAATAAAATTGTATTAATATAGTTAGGAGAATTAAGGAATCGATCAGATCAATTTTCCCCAATTTTTATCGTTAATGATCCGTTTTCACTCAAACTTTCAGATTATCTTCAATTGTACATCTAGCACTGAAGTCACTACCTTAGCACCATTTTTTCTCATCTGAACAATGTTACTAAGTCTCTTTAATAACCCTGACATTTTTGTGTAAATGATATACCACACATACTAAAAGACTTACAATACCTTGTGGATGTGACCGTTGCATATTTTTAAATTTTGTATTTCCTAAGACATATTTACGTTTTAAAATTTCAATGCTAAAAAGTATTCTGTTTATCCAATGCAAGAATCAATCTTGACGCTTTAGTTAGTCATGTCTTTGAGTTGTATGAATCTATGTGTGCGGCACAAAATATGATCTTGATCAGTGGATCTATGCAGGGGAAAAAATATTTAAAACATTTCGGGGGGCTACTTTTCAAGCTTGATGGCTTGAACATAACACTATTTAATTTGTTTTGCATTGAACTCTATGCAAATTTAGGGGGCCCTTTTATGACTGTCAGGGACTCTTTTTGGCATTTTGGGGGTGAATTTGCCCCGAGCCCCCGAGTATTTTTTTCTCTGAATCTATGCAAAAGTAGGGAAAAAAATGGCCCAGATTCAAGCACAGGATTTCTGACTATGTTCCATCCTGCAGAGAGATACCCCTAAGCAGTGACCAGCTCCAATTCGTCATCAACAAGCTGCTGAGGGTTCTGAAGCATGTGGACCTGCAGGAGCTCCCGCCCTTGGTGTACCAGCTACTTCTGCTGTCCTCCAAAGGCCACAAGAAGATCGTCCTGGAGGGACTCACCGGATTCTTTGCAGAACAGGACAGACGGCTGCAGGAGAGACAGGGCAAGGAGAATGGGTGAGTGAAAGACACTTACCTTTTTTGTGGGGGCAGGTGGAGGGGGAGGGGGAGGGGGGGGCAGTTACCACCTGTGGTGTATCAGCTCCTTCTGCTGTCCTCCAAAGGCCACAAGAAGGATCTTGCTGTGGAGAGACTCACTGGTTTCAGATGATTTTATGAAAGACAGGACGACGATGATGAATGGGATGGGGGAAGGGGGGATGGGGGTACCATCCTTGGTGTATTAGCTACTTCTTTCAGTGATCGTCCTTATTCACTGGTTTCTTTTTAGAACTGGATAGATGGCTGCCGGAGAGGCAGGGCAAAGAAAATGGCGAATAAAAAGGGGTTGGGGGGGGGGGGGGGGGGGGGGGGGGGGTGTGTGATCATGCCCCCAATATTTTAGGTATCTTTAGCATTTAGGACAATTATTAAACAGGAAAATGAAGCGTTTGAGCATATTACAGGCAATTTACATCTTTTACACCTCTTGAAAAAGACATGAAAAAATGGCCCCTGCAGTGACCAGGATTCGAACCTGGGCCTTTACATTCACAATGTAATGTCTTAACCACTAGACTATCACGGCTTCACCACAAATCAACTTCACTTTTATGCTTATATGTTCACCTGTTTGTTATATCTTAGTTCATTGCCGATTGTTGAAATGGGTATGTTGAAATCCCACTTCTTTGGGAATACCACTTCTCGGGGAATACCAGGTACCGGTGACTCATGCTATTTATAGAATCCTGTTGTGAGAGACAGTTGTAATTGGCTTTGCACATGGAGTGCCACGCACGTAGATGAACTAGGTGGGGAACTTTCAGAACAGCTCCAATTTTTTTTTTTTTTTAAAGATATCTACTCTTTCTAATTTCTCAAGGGACTAGGATTTGGAGGTAATACGTGTACGTAAACTAAATTCTTCTTCCTTTGTTGATATTCAGCTGAAATATTAGTTTTAAATGATAAAACAAACATGTTGGGAAGTTCCAAGCAAAGCACTTCTATGTTTCTATTGAAAGTAACTTATTTTTGGAGTGGACTTGCCCTTTATTAGTGATTGCTTGTCCTATAAATCATATTTCTTGACCACATTGAGTTTGTGTGATGCTAGCATAATGCTTGTCTGACACTGCAATGTCTAATGTATAATGTATGGACAGAATTCATCTGTAGAGATGCAGCTGTCTTGCACAGTAGGTAAACTATTCCATTGATCAAGGGTTCTTGGGGGAAACAAAAACAAAACAGACAATCTCGCAAACAAAAACAAATGAATAGACAAAAAGAAAAACCTGTATATGAAAGTACATTACTGTACTTGTCTATTTTGTGAAGCTTAAAGTAGTCACCCAAAGAATCAAAAGTGTTATGAATTGATGCAAAATTCATATCATTGCGAAGGGGGAAGCCTTACTGATCAAATATTACAACTTCTCTCTTCAAAATATGATTGGGGCCCGAAGTAATCATCTTTCAAAAATGTTATTTTTGAGATCCAGATTTTCTGCCTTCAGCGGTCCTCCATAGAGCATCAAGATTCCACGCCTTTCAATGATATTTATATGATTTTTCAGCAAATTATATGTGTTTTTCAAGAGAAAATGTTTTCGTCCATATATATAATTTGTCCATAATCATCAGCTGTCGTGAATTTTCTTTGGGTGACTACTTAAAGTTCTTAGGCTTTTGTGATTCCATTCTTGCAGTCAAGATTAGGTGTCCTCCAGTTTCTCCCACAAGCTCCTATGTCACACCAAGGGAACCAACAGCATCATCATCATCCATAAATTATATCTTCCACCAAACCGGATTAGTGGCTTGGCAAACAAACCTTTTCCCCCTTTCATAACTTGTGAATCATTCTGAAAGTTCTTTGGCCTCTTCATTCTATTCTTGCAGGGAAGAGTTGGTGTCTTCCAGCTTCTCGAAAGAACTCCTCCGTCACACCGAGGGGACGATTATCATCCACATCACATTTTCCATCAAACAGGACCAGGAGCTAGGCAGAGAGTTCATCAAGTTTCTCAAGGTAACACTGACATGGTATTCTTGCTTGATGAACACTTATTTTCCATCATTGCTCTCGTCACTGGAATGATAATAAAAAAACTAGGTATATCGCCAACCAATTAGAATTTCAAAAGTTTTTCTTGATTACTGAATAAATGACTGAATATTTTTGTTTCTTTGATTTTGTTTATTTACAATTGTCACTTATTGTTATATCATTTTACTTTTCGTTCAATTGTTAACATACTTTTCTTTTCCACCTCTCTCTCTCGCTCTCTATCTATTTATTTGTCTCTCCCTTTCAATCTCTCTCTCTCTCTCTCTTTGTCTCTCTCTCTCTCTTTATATCTATCTCTTTGTCTCTCCTTTCAATCTCTCTCTCTTTCTTTCTCTTCCTTTCAATATCTCTCTTTCTCTCTCACTCTATCTCTTTCTGTTACCTCTTTTCTTTCTCCATCTCCCTTCCTTTACACTTCACCATTGACTCCATCTTCTCATCGACAGAGTGGACAGCAGAGAGACTGCAGCACCGTGTTGGCCCCGTTCAATGTAGCTCTAGCTCTGTCTGTAGCTCAGATCCACAGATTTGAAGAACAGGTAAGTTTTGAAAATCATATCGCTAGTGATATTCATTTGTCTCGCAATGTATGGTCAACAAGGGATCTAAAGATCACGACGTTTCGTGTGGCGCTGCAACACTTCATTTATTTGTGCATGCCAAGCTTTTTGTGCCCCTTAATCTAAATTATCTGTACCCTCCGCCTCGTCTCTCTTTCTTTTTGTCCTCATCTATCATCTCATTATTGTTACGCCTGAAATTCAAAACAATCACCAGGTCAGGTGACATGACTGTATTAAGGGCGTTCAAAAAATTGGATTTTGGGTTGAGTAAATGTATGAATCTTTATTTCTTGTGCATGCAGTAACTGCTTATGAAACAATTGCTAAACTTTGAAAATATTTCCAAAATGTCTTAACAATTTTATTAGCATTATTTGAAGCTCTCTCTTTTGATCTGGTACTTATAAAATGATCAATTTTATCTTTTAAAACTTGGTTACATTCGATATTGTGGATTGAGAGTAATGTTAAATGCAAAGAGAAATATAATAGTTATGAAACTTATGATTGCGGTTATGGTGATTGTGATATAATTATTTAAACTTCTTCAATGTTTATCCAGATCTTTGACTTTCTAAAGTCTACCATCTTGAAGAGTCTCAAAGATGCCAAAAGACAGAAAGATTCCCCATGGATTGCAGGTAGGTATTTATCTTTCAGCCATGGGCTTTTGCATGAAACCATAGTAATGCCTTAGATACACTGCCAACCCAACACTAGACCGACAGATTCTTTGCCATAGGAACTAATTTAATTGTTTGGTCAGTCTTGTGTCGGTCCCATCGGTATGACTTGTGTATATAGTCTTAAGTATGTGGACATACCATCAAATATGCTAGCGTCTTTCCACAGGCCCTTGGTCTCAACAACATAGAACAGTGTTATAGATTGGAAGAGGATTTAACATGGTGATTATTAAGCAGTAGTAATGTTAATCAAGTGATGAATCATATTTGGCAGCTTTAAGGTCATCAAGAATAACCTTCATAACCATCATGATTCTCATGTTGACAGATATCGTACCAGCTGGAAGCAATGTCCTCAAGCTTCTCTTGGAAACAGTTGAAAACAGGTATTTCAATTCAATTTCAATTTTCAATTTATTTATGTTTCCAACAAAACATTACAAATCAATTATAAACATTTACAACAATTCAGGAATACATATTGGAAAAAGAGAGTTCCACTAAAAAGCAATGCTTATACAAATGTGGATATCTCATAAGATACTTAGGAATAATGAGTAATTAAATTAACAAGTCCATAACTACAAAAAGAACTACAAAGTAGGGGGGGGGGGGGGGAGATGGGATGCCAACTGAGACGAGAAAGAGACAAGACAATACTTTACACGACAAAGATAGAAGAACACGGTCATAATACAAAGAGTAGACAATGCTAAAAAAGAAGTGAGAGATCAGGGGAACAGAAAATATTATACAAAGTGATTGTCAGATCCTTTGTCAAGTTAGAAATGATTAAGTTTTGGGACTGTTCAATAATTATTCCCAAGATGTACGCCAAATTATTTTACTAAAAGCCATGAATACACCCTTTCTCGGTTACAAGAGTGCACATGTGCCGGCATGGGTGCCATTTTAAATTGAGAGTAAATAATGCGAGTAACTTTTATTTTATGCAGCATGCAAAGTGCATTGTACGCCTTTCCATGATATCTATATGATTTGTTCAGCAAATTATTTGTGTTTTTTAAGACAAAATCTTTCGGTCCATATATAATTTGTCCATAATTAGCAGTTGTCGTGAAATTTCTTTAAATAATTAAATAAATTAAAAGAATTCCGTTTATGTATTGCACAGTATGTATGGGTGGGATCATGTGATCCATGGACTGGTCATGCTGGGTTTCACGCTCATGGACTCGTTTGGACCAAAACCAGGACCGTTCGGTGGTAAGGCACTAGGTAAGTTACTGAAAGATTCATATCTCAAATATATTTTCATTGTCCATAACTTCAACTTAATTTAGACACTTATTCCAGGGCATTGTTAAAAATTGCTTCGATTTCATTTGATTGATTTATTTCTTTTTTTTAGTTTTACAAATATATAATAAAGAAATCATTGCAATTTTTATATATCACAAAAGAGTATAAATGTAGAATAAAATAAGGTTGGCTGTAACTAATTGAAAACATCTGTGCAACATATTTCAGTCTGTACATGGCCCACATTGTTAAACACTACTATTATTTCTAAGCAATCAAAACTATACAAAATTGAGAAATTTGACCAAAATTCTAATCTGTACCCTGCTCCACATAGCTTTTGTCAACTGACCATACCTCTGCCATTTTTCTTTAAAGAGGGGGGACCTGGTACTCCATCCACCCCCAACCAGCAGGCCAGTCAGCTAGGGAGAGACATCCTTCTCAATCTCTTCAAGTCACAAGATGGGATCCGATCCAGTATCCTGGAGCAGATCCTCAACCGGGTGGTCACCAGGACGGCAGGCTCCGTCTCTCAGTACATCAGTAGGTCTACATGTACGGTTGACCTTTGAACCATAGGAGAGAGTTTCCATTGGGAAAAAAAGGCATTTATACAACATTTCTAGCCTACCGACTAGTTACTACACAAAAATAATATTGGATGGTACACTGATATCCATAGAACTTTTTGATGGGAAGAAGGTACTCATGGTATGGTTTAGTTAGATGTAAATTCTGTGTTTAAATGTCAATGTACTTTAATGAACTTTGACCTAATCTACTTGCTCCCTGCTGAGCTTTTGTTGTCCAGAATGGTTACTAGCTGTGTCTCCGACAGCAGGATGGTTTTATTTAGTTTATTCTTTGAAATTTCATATGATTTAAATGTATTTATGAAATACTTTGAGATTGATGTATAGTGAATGTCTGTGCACTCCCACATTGACCTTTGACCTGATCTATCGACCTTTCAGAGCTACTTTCCAGCATGGTGACCTCTGCGCCCCAGACTGTCCTAGACTGCATGGGTAAGGTGCGAGAGGCCTTTGACTACCTGACCTACCTGCCTGCATCCACTGCAGAGGGTCTCCTGAAGGCCTTCCAGCCCCTGATGAGACTCAACGTGACACTCAAGGATTCTCTAATGCTGGTCCTCCGTAAGGCCATGTTTTCCAGGTGACTGATCTTGTAGTTGTTGTTTTTTGGCTACAGATAATAATAAAAATATATCTCACATTTATAATGCGCCTAATACTTTGTTTCTAGATGCAGTACATATTATCACCCCAGTCATCGGATTCAGGCTTACCCGCACACAATGTATGCACATTCTCCACTCCCTGGGAAGCATTCCAACCAGGCATCAATTTTACAAGCGCCACTTGCTCATCTAACCACATTAACTTTCACATCCTACCGGGTACCCATTTAACACCTGGGTGGAGAGTGGCAAGTGTAGATTAACGTCTTGCCAAAGGTCATTAGTGCCACGGCGGGACTTGAACCCTGTACCTTGCGATCTGCAGTCGGGTGAATTATCCACTAGACCACAACACCTCTACAGATGCATGTCTTACTTTATTGAGGGGTGCTGATACAGACTATTTGTTCCCTTTGCCCTTTTCTTTTGAAGTTTCTTTGGGTAGAGTTTAGGTCTATAAGGATGAAAAAATCAAACTGAAATTGAAAATTATCCTAGCAATAACTATATTGCATCAAATATTTGGGAATTATTATTCCTGTGCAAACTTAGGGCACCATTTTTTCTGTAGAATGACTTGAAATAGGAAAATTTCATTTTGTTTAACTTTCTTAATTCTGCAGGCAAGGAGAAGCCAGGAAGATTGCTGTTCTTGGGTACCTCCAGATCTTGAAGCATTTCCGAGTGTTTGGTAGTCTTCCCATGAGTCAAACCAGTCAGGGCTACAGCATGGCATCTACATCTAGTCAGGTGTGTGTTTACATGGATAGATAGATATAAAGATAGATAGATAGATAGACAGCCAGACAGACAGACAAATACGTTTAGATAGATAGATAGACAGACAGACGGACCGACAGGCGGACAGACAGACAGATAGATAGAAAGAAATGTAGATAGATAGATAGATAGACAGACAGACAAACATACAGAGAGATAGATAGATAGATGGATGGATAGATAGACATACAGATAGATAGAAATGTAGATAGATAGATAGACAGCCAGACAGACAGACAAATACGTGTAGATAGATAGATATATAGGATTGTAGATAGATAGATAGATAGACAGCAGGCCTGATAAAAACCCGATTTAAATCGGTTTCCTGATTTTTTTTGATTTTTCCCGATTTTTTTTCTTCCCGATTTATAAAAAAAAAAAAAAAAAAAAAAAAATCAGATTTTTTTTTTTACCAATTTTTTTCTTCTTCCATATTTTATCCTGATTTTCCCCGATTTCCCTCTTATTTTCTCTATTCTTTCCTATTTTTTCCCAAATTTTCTTACTCGAAAGGGGGGAATGTTGTTAGATGCCATTTTTTCCCCGCGAATCCTCTTTTTTTTTTACTCAAGGGGGGGGGGGGGCGTGGTTTAGGGGAAAACAAAAAACCTATTTTTTTTTTAGTGCTCACTATCACCCCTGAGACAGATGGACGGATGGACAGACAGACAGACAGACAGATAGATAGATAGAAATGTAGATGGATAAATAAAAATGTAGATGGATAGATAGAAATGTAGATAGATAGATAGAAAAGTAGATAGATAGTAGTTATATATATATATATATATATATATATATATATATATAGATAGATAGTCAGGGATGAACATTTTGGTTGGTTCTTATCTTTTCAGATCCAAGTGGACATCCATGGAGGTAGCAACCAAGCTAGTAACTATGAAGCTATTGTATGCATGGAGATTCTTGGGAATCTGAGGAGGTGCCTCACTCAACAGGCTGATATAAGACTTGTTCTCTATGAGGTAAGGGCTTTAGTATACAAATGATGTACAGTTCATTATACGATCTATTCGCACTCGAGTTGAGGCTGTGTGCATCTATCGCACAAAGCCGCAATGTCAATTCAATGATTACCATGGCATTTTTGTTTTTGCTCAACAGGGCCTCTATGAAGTGTTATGTCGTAACACCAAACTTCAGGGAGCGATCACAGACATGCTCCAACGTCAGTTCAAGGCTTTTTACGAGGCTGACGAAGACGTCCAACCCCCACTCAAACTTCAGCCCTGTATCACAGCGCAGGGTACCAATGTCTTCCTGGCCGAGCCTTTGGTGAGTAGTAATAATAATAATGATAATAGCTTCTTATATAGTGCACAGGTGGTGACGCTCCTGGCGCTGTCCGACTATTACCCTGGCTTTAGCAAGGCGGCCATTACAGTGCTCTAGCATTTCAAAGAATTAATTCCTGCCAGGTACCTATTTACATCACCTGGGTTGAGTGTGGCAAATGTAGATCAATGTTTTACCAAAGGACATTAGTGCCGCGATGGGATTCGAACCACAGACCTTGTGATCGACAGTCCGGTGACGTATCCACTTGACCACAACACCTCTACAGGGAGTAGGGAGGAGAGAGGAAAGAATAAATGGTCAGGGAATGAGGGTGCAACTGTGCCAGTTCAAGACCGATTAAAAGGATGATGAAAGAAATCATAAACTCATTTAGCTACTAGCAGATAATGTGGTTTGTTGGAAGGAATGGGATGGGGTGCAATTTAGTGGAACAATACATACATTTGCTTCCGTTGTTTGTTTGAGTTTTGTGGATTTTATAATAGACAGAAATTGCAGTAGCCTGCAGATAACTTGCTTTAAAAAAACATTTATTACAGGAATTGTTTTACTTGTTTAGATTACTTTCCTTTGATTGGTTGATTGATTGATTGATTGATTTATTATTATTATTTTTTTTTTGAGGGAGGGGGGGGGGGGGGGTTCAGTTGTGGAAAAGGTTTAGATAGTCATTGTTACTTTCTGTCTAATTTCCATTAGGCACATTTGCTCCAGAGCCTCGTCCAGTGCCTAACAAGATGCAAGACGCTGGCATCATCCAAGCGACGAGACGGGGAGGACTGGGACGAGGAACCTTGCGACGAGGATGATGATGTCGACAAGGAGGAGGTTCTTCAGAGACTGGAGAGCATGATGGAGTCCCTGACGGATAGAATGGTGGCCTGTGAGCTGGAGGACTTTCATGTGGTAGGTAACAGGCCTTTGGTATGATCTTGGAATGATGATGAGGAGGAGAATGGAGGAGAATGGAGGATGATGGTGATGGTGATGGCGGTGGCGGTGGCGGTGGCGGTGGGGTATAAAGGTCACAAAGTATGGTGATCGGTTTTCCGGAGGACTTTCATTTGGTAGCAAACAATATGCCTCATGGTAGGACTTTATTAAACCTTTTGACAAAGTTAAGATAAATGTGACCTTGCAGCACCCCAGGGGGTGATCTAAAGGGACCAAAGCAACTTTGCACTTTAGGCCTGTATGCATCAGACTGAAGTTGCAAAATAACCCGCCATTTTAACTAGCCTGATCTCAAATTAGCCAACAAATGTGTCTTCATCAGCCCGCAGTTGCATTTAGCTGGCTATTTGATCGAGAAAATATCCCAAGAAATGTTGTTCTTGTTTCCAAAATAGACCGCTATTTGGGAAATAACAGGCTAATTGGCGCCCGTCCGAGCTGGTTTGTGATGAGCGTATCAGTCTGGTGAAGATGCAATTTTGGGAAAATATCCCAAGTCTGAAAATAGCGGGTTATTAATTTGCAACTTCAGTCTGATAAGGACAGGCCTATTGAAAGCATGCATTGGCAGATTTATATTATAATGCTTGTCAGCCATAGCATTGCCTTTGTTTTACTTTTCTTCTGAAGTCCTCTGTGCCATGTATAAGGATCAAGGGTGTTATGCGCTGTCAAGATCCCTGGATAACAGGCCTGAGACATGGTCACAGAGTGTATCATGTGAATGAATATCAGTGCAGTACATAAGTTAATCTGTAACATTGTGAAACAAACTCCTGGATTTAGCTATTGCAGCAATCATAATTACAAACCTTTAGGTCAGTCAGGAATCCCATGACTTCTACAAGCCGATCGCCCGTCTAATTATCAAGATATTTATGATTGGAAATCGAAATGTCATTTTTCGTTTTCCTAACAGTTTTTATAACACTACAGTCTATTGGGGGGAAATAAGTATGGTAAAACCAGTCACTCAATGGTTTTTACGTTTTTGAGGCACTTCATGATCATTTTGAAGCGCAATTTTTGTAGGGCTTCAATATTACACCAAATCACAGACACTGATAACACGTAGGGCCATGCATCGTAGATTTAACATTGTTAAACAATGCCTTTAATATCAGATGGGGCATATTGTGATTGTGGTTCATGTAATTAATTTGACCCTCTTGTTTTAAAGGACAAGTCAGCAGACTTCTCGACCACCAGCGGAGTGGGTGTGAGGAACAACCTGTTTGCGATCCTCCTACTGGGCATCCATGAGGTCCTGATGGAGTATGTCTTCACAACGTCCAAAGCATCACAATTCAAGTAGGTCTAAGGCATGGGATGAAATTATTCAAAAAGAAGACTATACAGACTATCCCAGAAAAACGAAACTGAGAATTATCAATGTTTTATCATTAAAAAACAAAATCACAAAAACGACTTTTTGGTACCCTTTCCTCAATTTTTTTTTAATCACTCATGCATGAAATATGCATCATATGAGTTGCATCAAGTGAAAGAGAAGGATCTAAGCATTACAAATATGTGTCATTATTTAATTATAATTGTGATTAAGTTATGATAAAAGATCAATATTTCTTGGTTTTGTTTTTTCTGGGATGCACTGTGTAAGGTTCATAAGGTTCATATTTATATCCATTTCACAATTTAAATTTGTGGTATTTACATGGTATAAGGATACGGTACACATAAAAACATAATTATACATTCATACACAAAGACAAGTTCAATGAAATAATTTTGAGTAGACAGAAAACAAAAACGAACATAAAACAATCGAACATAGATAAAGTCATGAACCAAAAATAATATACTTTTATATCAAGTGAGGTGGAAAGACGAAGTTTTTACAGGTATCAATAATGTAGTGTATTATTATAATTGTTATTAGAGTCATTATTATTATCATTATAATTTTTATTAGAGGGAGTTTTAAAGAGACACTGAGGGACTTTAGAAAATCAAGCAGATAACTTTGGCATACATAATTAATTAAATCTTCAATTCTATGAGCTAAAATTATAATTCACGTTAATTGAATTCTGTTCACCAAAAGGATTGATGTAGAGAAACATACAAGTAATTCCAATTGCAATTAAGTCATCGCCAGCTACTCACAATTTGCTTTTATGTGTTAACTAAGAGTGTATTTAAAGTTGCAAATCTCTTGATAGAAGCAATATTTCAAGCTTATATGTTGAATGTAGTATTTTGGCATGGACCACTATCGTACAGAACAAGATATATGTTTGGCGAACGGTACACTTTGATAATAACCTTTCATTTTTTTTCCAGTGTTTTAGGGTATAGTTATTGCATTCAACCACTTTAGTTTGTTGGTATGAAATGCTTTATATGAATTGTTAGTAGTAGCCGGCACAATGGGTTCACATTCCTGTAGCATGGACATTGTCGTGATAACCGTGCTCCGTGAATTTGAATTTGGCGGGCTTCCCTTGCGGGAGTTTTGCAGGCTCTTATTGGTAGCAGTACCTGGCTCCGTGGTAGGTTTAGGTTTCACGCTTTTAGGGTGTTTGCGAGTCCCCAGGTTCCAAGTTTGGGATCACCTTCGGGTCCAGACATTGTTGTGTAGAATCTCTGAATCTTGAATATCTAGACAGTAAAATCAGAATTCCAGTTGCAAATATCCAAAGTCCCAAATTCTAAAGAAAATTTTGTGGCTTTCGTGACGAGCAAGAAAATTTGACCTTATCCAAAGAGCGCCATCTACCTATATTACCTTCAATTTTTTATCCCATGCAGGATTGACGACATGAACAAGCTGTTACCCCTTTATAAGAAGTATCATCAGATTGCAGATATCTTGAGAGAGAAGAGTAGCAAGGGGAAAGGGGGAGGCACTAAATCACCCAAGAGTTTGCTCTCCATGGCGGGTCTGGCTAATATATGTGCTGCCCTCTACAGGTTGGTTTGGAACATGTCTTATGATTAATTTCCATACTCGTAAATCATTTGAATTTGAGGGTTGATGAGTTTTCCCAGTAATGAAAATATGAAGAATCTGATTTGCACTGTGATACAAAAATGCAACCCGTTGGATACAATTCAATATTGATAAATCATGTGCTCTCTTAAGACTTACTTCTGAGTAATGCTGGTTTAGTATTAAACAGGGTAGTAAAATTGAAATTCAAATAGGATCCGAACTTGAAACACCTCATATTGCTTAAACAAGAATATTTCTTTAATATTTGGACAACTATTTTGGGTAGTGGAGAGGGCAGAATTACAGATTACTTTTTATTAAATGTTTTCTTAATTGTATGTATATATTTGCAATTAATAAACTCATAATCGCCTCTTTTGTTGCCATAGTGATGAGATGCCCTCCCATCAGGAGGGTCTAGATCTCCTCAGAGAGAATACAAACTTCTGTCGCTACGTGGTCAGCACCGCCGTGCAGAAACTAGAGCAGATGAAGGAGAAGGGACAGTGTGACGGACCCCAGGGCACACACCCTGACAAACTCTACCAACACTGCTGTACCATTGCAAGGTAGGGATTGAAAGATGATCGTAGGATGTGATTTCTGTCGAAGGGATGGTGATGTTGGGCTGCCAGGGAAGCACCTTGAAATATATCACTTGTTGCTGACACGTTGCTTTTGCCAGGCACTCATGCTTGCTGTAATGATGCGTAATGATAACAAAACAGTGCTTTTAAAACGCTTTCCACCAAAGTTTCTAAGCGCTAAAACAAACAAAATACAATGACAAACAATTACAAATAAACCTACAAATTACAATACATATGAAATATACTTCAATGTGAACAGAGTAAGTTAATCATCAAGAGCAATTTTTAATAAATGTGTCTTAAGACATAAGACAAGTTTGTATTGGTTTTAATTACAGTTTGGCAGTTTTGTTTCCAAAGTTCAGCAGAAGCTTTGCAAAAATAGCAATAACCATAAGAAAGAGTTGACACCGAAGTAAACACAAGGTTTAATTGTGAAGATGACAGTAGATTGCGTGAGGGTTTGCATTCCTTGATTAGTTCTTGCAGATAAATTGGTGCCAATTCATGAATACATCTACAAGTTAAAACCAAGATTTTGTACATAATGCGATACATCACCGGCGACCAATGCAATTTGCGAAGTATTGGAGTGATGTGTTCACAAGAACGTATAGGTGTTACAAGCTTGGCAGCAGAGGTTTGGATTCTCTGGAGTTTTGTAATGTGTGAGTCCGGAAGGCCTTTAAGAAGGCTAATGCATGAGATTACACTCTTAGTCTTGGTCTTAGTTACTATGCAAGAATTGATTTGAAATGGTTTAATAAATATGTTATGCACAAAGTACTGATAATCGGTATGTTGTGAAAATTCAATGATCCTGAAAGTCTTGAATTAAACTTTAAGTCTGTTAGATATATATCTGTGTATCTCTATAAAGATATTTATACCAAGTCAAGTAATGGTTTGATTTCAATAAAATGATCATCATTTGATATTGAAACAAGCTGAGAATTGTTTTTTCTTCTCATTCCAGGGTGTTTTTCCAGAAATTCTCATCAGGTCTCGTAACAGCAGAAGACAGATCAAAGAAGGTTAGAACATTTTACTTGAATACACATGAAACTACATCGCGATTCTCTACTTGTCAAAAAGGGATTCCCTGGAGATGTGCTTCCAAGAGAATCTTTTGTTTTTCTCATAGTGCACTCACAGTAGAATATCAATTGGATTGATACAGCACTTGAGCTATTCATTGATAGAATAGTCATACCGTAATAATAATAATATTCAGTTCTTGTATAGCACAATTTTAAACCAGGTCTCTATGCACTTCCAAAAAGCTTTGGAAATTATTACCCTAGCTTTAGCTCCGGCAGCCGTTATCAGCGCACAGTGCATTTCAAGGAATAATCCAACCGGGTACCTATTTACATCACTTAGGTCGAGTGTGGCAAATGTAGATTAATGTCTTGCCAAAGGACATTAGTGCCGCAGCGGACTCGAATCGCGGACCTTGTGATCAGGTGACATATCCACTCGACCAGTAGGTCCACAGGTAGGCTTTCTCAGTGGATACCTTGATTGTAAGTTTGCAACTCTGGTAATGTAAAGTCAATCAAAACTATTAAAGGAATATCAAAAGGCGGTGTCATCACAGAAAAATCCCTTAAAGGTAATACAAAGTTTTGGTATGGGGTCGTGAATTTGGTTCAAATGAACATATTGGAAGCATATGCGATCCTACAATATTCACTGATATTTGTCGCGGTCGAAATCGACTCTAAAGTTATGAAATTATAAATAATAAACACTTTAAGCTGTATAGCTCCCTCTCAAGGTCAAGATAATAATTAAGCTATAAAACAATGTTTCTTGACTAAAATCGACCGATTAGCATATCCCGTTCAGAAATTATATACCACAACTACATATACTGAGATTTTCATGGTCGCAGCTACCATTTAACGGCCGTAGGAGCTATTTGAAATTTATCAAAATTTACCGGGAGCACCGATAAATCTTTATATTCAATTTTTCTCGAAAGCAGAAGTGTTTTAGGGGCTAAAGATTCTAGTGTTTTTAATACATCCACAGGGGCATCCAAATATATCAAAATTGTAAAGAATCACTATCCACCCATTTTTCAAAAATTCCCAAAACTTTGTAATACCTTGAAAAATCCCTTGAAAAATCCTTTCAAGGGAGATTTTAGTTATCCTCTTAATTGCTGTCTGTCATCAATTATCCCATTAAAAATCCTCTGACGAAGCAAGAAAATTCTCCTTTCAAAGGATTTTTCAAGGGATTTTTCTGTGTGACACCGCCTCATATTTTCTATTTATTCTGGGATAATTTCTTCTGTTAGAACAAATCGGTGATGCCCCTATGCCTGCAAGGCCTCTCTACAGCATTGAGCGTGGTGACCACTTTCTACCCCGACAAGCTGGTAGACTTCCTACACTGTGTGGATCCCTTGACGGACGGAGATGGGGGCGATGAACCAGTCTGTGTGGATGAGCAGGACGTACAGGAGAGAGTGCATCTCCACATGAAGAAATACCAGGTTTGTGTTCACCTTTGACCTTTGACCTTTGACCTAAGATGTGCTTGGGTCGAAGAAGGGTGGATTTGCCATATGTTTGTGTGTGGCTAACTTGGCATGAAGAATAAAATAAATAAATATGAAGATTAGGAAGGAAGGGAAAGATAAAGTGAAGGGAAAATTAAAGGAAAAAAATAGTTTTCAAATTACTAGTTTTTGATTTAATCAAAATACATACTCCTGCACTGCAAGATATACCATGAGAAAAGTAACGTTTAAACCCCCATTCACTTGCCCATATTCTCTCTGAGTCTTTAACACTATGTGTTTCTTGTAAACAAAAATAATATAAAATTGCATGTTTCTAAACCAATCAAACATGCATCTTCTTCTTAATCTTTCTCCTAGACCTCTTACATTGAGTGAACATATCTTAACATGAATTGTATAGTCAGCCATAACCTGTTGATGCATAAATAATGCTACAGTCGTATGAAATTGTTTTAAAGTTATAGAAGCCAATTAATATTATATAGTACACAAAAAATAAAAGCAACAAAACAGAGTACATACAAATTTAAAACAACAAAACAAAACAAAACAGAGACAGAGAAAACAGGGTCCTTGACCATTTAAAATAAAAACCTAAAAGGTGGATGTTGCTCCTTTGCAATCATCTTGTCCGCCTTAGAAAATAGTCATAGGGCAAAACGAATGAGGAGCATCTTAAATGTTCAGAATGTAGGCTTTGTTAATCAACCTACAGTAAATTCAAAATGTTTATGGTTCAATAATATTGTCAGAGTCAATCCTATAAGCTATCCGTGTAGGAAACAGTTTAACTAGTAACTGTTATCGTCAGTTATGTCTGATAATCTGAGGGTTTTTAATTCAAAAGCCGTTTAAAGTTTTATTTTGCATTTCAGTATAGCACAGGGTTTCGCTCATATCCTACTGCGAATATAAACATACAGTGGCAGATCAGGATGTGGGAGGGGGGGGGGGCAAAAAGGATTACCTGACCATCCTGGACCAGGAGCATCTTTTGGACCGGTTCTGTACTTGATCACTCTTGGCACCGAGTAAGGAATGAACGTGAATTTGTTGTCATGTCGCATCTTCTTCACCGTCACCATTAGCCGCTTGTGTTCTTCCCTGGTGTGTTTATGTACATCGTCGCTGATTCCCCAAAAGCTGGGAAAAAATAGATGGCAAGGGGGTTGTTGAATTGTGAGAGATGTAGAAGTGGAAGATGGAGGAAAGTAGGGGAAGAGAAAAGGATGTGATAGATAAATAAGAAAAGGATTTACATTGAAGGAATAAAGGAAGTATGCTTCCATAATGAAGAGTCATCCCCTCTAAGAAAACCAGACAAAACAAATAAAAAGGAACTGAAATAATGCCTCTGGCTTTTCGCTGGTAGATGCATTAAAACAAATTGAATGGTTCTTCTATCTTTGTCGTGTAGTTACGGATTAGTTAATTTAATTACTCATTATTCTTAAGTATCATTTGAGGTGTTCACACTTGTACAAGCATTGCTTTTTAGTGGACCCCTCTGTTTCCAACATGTATTTCTTACATTTGTTTTTAATGCTTACAGGTATAATTGATTTGTAATGTTTTGTTGGAAACATGAATTTGAAATTTAAATAAATATGTCCTAAACATTCTGAACATTTTGTTCCGTCTCAGAGGATGGTGATAGATGTACTGACTGGAGGAGAGGATTCTTCTTCTACCACCAAGGATGCCATCCATCTCTGTCACATCATGGAGATGCTCATTAAGCATCTAAATCCTCAAGGAACACAGGTAAGACACTGTTAGGGTATACTGTGGTATCTGGATGATAGTGATAGATGTACTGACTGGAGGAGAGGATTCTTCCTCTACCACTAAGGATGCCATCCATCTCTGTCACATCATGGATATGCTCATCAAGCGTCTAAATCCTCAAGGAACACAGGTATGATACTATTATGGTATACCATGGTATGCAGTGCTTTAATGTGGTGTGCTATGGTAAAATGTGATATACTGTACCATACTGTGGTATACTGTAAATTTGTTGTAATTTTTTTGAAATATTGATTAGTTGTGATTTTCAAGGTGATCCATCTTTACTTTTCAGTTCACCCAAGTCCAATCATGGATCTCTAAAGTTTCCACAGAGAACAGTATAGGTGAGTAGGTTTAATGATTATTGTCTTATCCCTACGGGAATGAGAGGGTTAGCTTTAATTTCTTTGTCATGTAATTTATAGAATAGGTACTTCTGAAGTTTGTCCACAAAGGGATAACAACATGTAAAAGTGACATGTTTGAAAATCAGCTACAGGTTTGAATTTTAATTGTACGTAATCATGCTCAACAATATTTCATTCTCAACCAAAATTATTTTAAGTTTATTTATGAAATATTTGTCATAAATGTGTTTGTGGACCACCCTGTATTTCAAAATACCACCACAGTTTAAGTTGGTGTCGCCATTGTATCATTTAACAGTTTAGAAGAGCATCCATTGGATAGTAATCTATGTATCTTTCTTGTCCTCTCATCTCAATCTTTCTTGTGGTTGCCGGGATGTAGAGGATACTGGTCTATGCAGGGTTGTCATGACGATGCTCTTCACCCTGACCTCCAAGATGACCTGTCCAGTCAGTCTCCTGAGGGATGTCGCAGAGGACATCCACTCCCAGGTCGGAGACATTGATCCGGTCAGTATCAAGAAACACCATGGTCCTAAGTCGAACTTAACTCTAAGTTGGACTTAAAAATTATGGAGATCCATTTGTAGCCTTAAAATATAATAAATTCAAAAGCGAAAATTCAAGTTTTTTAGACTTTTTATAAATTCCACATCAAGAACATGAAATCTCCTTGATAATAGAAAATATGAATGATTTGAATCAATATTGATGCCTTTTGAAATAACTTTTACGTAATATTTTCATAGATGCTAATGGCTTTCCATAATTTTTAAGTCCAACTTAGAGATAAGTTCAACTTAGGATCTTTGTAAAACACCCCCATATCAACTGCACTGTAGGCCTGTCTTCGTCAGCTCGAGTTCGCCAAATAACCCGCTATTTTCAGACTCGGGATATTATCCCAAAGCTCGAAATTGCGTCTTCACCTGACCGATACGCTCATCACAAACTAGCTATAGCGGGCGCAGATTAGCCCACTATTTCCCAAATAGCATGATATTTAGAAAACAAGACCAAGATTTCTCAGGATATTTTCTCTACCAAATATCCCGCTAATTGCAACTGCGGGCTGAAGAGACGCAAATTAGCTGGATAATTTGCAATCGGGATAGTTATTTGGCAAACTTGTTCTGATGAGGACAGGCCTTGTGTGAAATTTACTGCTGTATCATCCCTGTTTATTTGTTCATTGGGTTACTAGAGTATCACCCCAGTCGCACCAATGACTAAGCTGCCAACTATTCCTATTTTGGAGGAACTATTCCTACTTTTTGGCCCTTGAACTAATGTTATGGACCCTAGATTCCTCTCTTTTGTCAAAAAAAAAAAAGTATACAAAATAACTGTATTCCTTATTTCACCCTGGAGGGATTCCTAATTTTGCTTTGAAAGGTTAGCAGGTATGCAATGACACCAACTCCAGATCAACAATAGGCTGAGTAATAATTACATTACTCAGAGTGGCTAAGAATCAGTCGTTTAGAGTCTTTTTTCAGTTGGTTCGTAGTTGGGTAGGTGTGCCGGGGATCAAATTAGTTAGAGAAGGCTGTTTGAAAACCGGTCTACCAAGTTGTCATCAACCTCTGTTAAACCTACTAAAATTTGTCGAGCCTGATGGATCTTTGAACTTCATACGACTTAGTACGAGTGTGTCTCCATTCCAAAGCGTCAAAAATAACTTCACACTTGGAACTCGCCCTGTCAAGTCTCAATATGCGTGTGTGTGTGTGTGTGTATTGGGTTTTTACAGACGTGTATCAATCAGATATGATTATTTACGTCTGGGGACCGAATTTTAAACGTCACCATTCGAAAGACGTGACTCAGTTTCGAACCTGCGTCCTCAGCTGAATCAGTTTGTAACTTCCACTGTTAGCTGGATTACAGGCGCACGCCACAATGCCCAGTTATCAGATTAACACAAGGAAGATCACAGCCAGGTGGTTTGTTGTTATTATCCCTATAATTTGATATTGGTAGAAAAGATGAAAAATGGAAAAACTAATTAAAAAGAATGTGTTAAACTTGCTAGGCATTGATAAGGCCTGCCATTTCATGTATCCATATTTGTATCTTTCCCTTTAATAGGAAGTTGAGGTAGAGGACCGGACCCACAATGCAGCTGTCAACTCTAAAACGGCCACGCCCACAGTGCTGGTAAGACTGGTGATCTATATATCTATTCATTCCTCCATCCACAATGTCTATATATCAATCGTACATCGGTCTGTCACCTTTTTTCCCACCGTCGGCTGAAAAAAGAGCCAGTCCACAGTGCTGATAAGACAAGAGGACTATCAAACAATCTATTTATCTTTCTGTCTGTCTCTCTATCTGTTTGTCTGTCTATCTATCTTTTTGTCTGTTAAACTCTCCATCTGTTCGTCTGTCTATCTCTTTGTCTGTTTATTTCTCCATCAGTTTGTCTATCTATCTCTTTTTTTGTCCGTCTCTCCATCTGTTTGTCTATCTGTCTCCATGTATCTATTTGTCTGTCTCTCTCTCTATCTGTTTGTCTGTCTATCTATATTCATGTATCTGTTTCTCTGTCTGTTTGTCTGTTCATTTTCTGTCCATCAGTTTATCTGATCAGTCTGTCTGTATGTATTCAAAATTTAAATCCTTTTATCAGGGAGATTTAAATGAATTTCCATTTTTACTTCTCATACAGTTGCTATGGATGCAGCAGGCAGATCATGTTTTAGATGATACAGAGTGGCTGGTAGTGAGACTAAGGGCTGAAAGCCAAGCAGCACAAATTGATGTAATAGGTAAGATTCTTGACTCATTTTGGTGGTGGTGTTATTGTTATGGCATTGGTTGTGGTGCTGCATTGTCATGTTTATTTCATCTCTGTTATGGTTTAAAGAAATAAAGTAAGCAAATCAATGTATTATATCTGTTTTATTTGTCTGTTGTTGGGTTGTTGATATGACTACCACACACATTAATGAAATAATGTATTTGATTGTCATCAATCACTCAAAACTATGTAAGCTACTTAATTTTCATGAAACAATGACTTTTTTTTGTAAATACAAAAATGCATGTCCATTTTTGGGTACTGGGTCATGTGTTCAAATGAACATAAAATTAAATCTCCCCCCCCTTGAAATTCTTTTTAGTTTGGTCATACACAGTTTTTTGATTGATGATAATACTGTGGCCATCAATAATAGCACTCATGGATACATACTCTATTTTGTAAGTTCAACTTTGATCAGACGCTCTCCTCTCACTCTCTGTCTACATCAGGGATGAGATTCCTCCGCCAATTGGCATATTTCCGCTGATTTCGAGATTTCAAGATGTTAATTGTACATCTAGCATTGACCTCACTACCTTAGCAGCATTTCCTCACATCTGAACAATGTTATAGAGACCCTTTAAGCAAGATGGGGTAACAGATATCCTCGGACCCCATTTAATCTTCCTCCTTTTTTGGAAAATTTCTCTGTCTCACCCTCTGTCTACAGATGCAGCACAGCCGCTAGCCACACAGCGTGAAGACACGGAGAAGGCCATATGTAACCAGCTTGGTATGTTGGTTACCGGCTTCCATGAGCTGGTTCAGACCTCCCTCCCTGCAGGTCCTTGCATTGACGCCCTCCTCAAGTCACTCAATCGAGTCTACGGGGTGCTCACTCTCCTCTGTAAATTTGTAAGTTGACATTTCCCAGTAGTTACAGTGAAACCTGTCTATAAAGACCACCCAAGGGAGACAAGAAAAGTGGTCTTTATAGGCAGGTTGTCTTTATGTACATTATGTAGATAAAGACCAGTTATGGTCATGCGATTGCATTGTGAGTATTGGTGTGTACTGCAAGGTTCTGGAATCATCAAAATTATAAAAAATTTGGCCCAGTCTTCGTAAAGTTACAAGCACTGTACACAGAAAGATGTATATGGGACTACGCACACGTGCGCGGCACGTGTGTTTATCTCTCAGATACCAATAGATAAACTAATTTACCAAATATATCAATTAGTAGGCGGTTTCCTGGCAAAATTTGTATCATCATGTATTAGTCAAAACATATTCTTTCACATGATTGGTAATAAGAGCTTCCATTTCATTTCTTGAAATTGGGGCGTTTCCAATACTGGTCTTTTCCTTTGAATTGTATTTATATGAACTCCTCAAAAAAAAAATTCTGCATTTCAAGTTTAAGAGTTGGTATCTCTCTTGCTATATTATCATACCTACTTGATATGGGTATCATTGAAAAGCCTGTTCATTTCTCTTTACAGTGGTGCCCCATTTGTAATGATTATGTAATCATGGAACGTGCAGTACACATGAATATGGGGCCAAGTCAAAAGTGAAATGTTGCAAAATACATTGTTATTCCATCAAAAAAAAAATACATCCTCCAAACAAATCAAGAATTCATTATTGTATACACACTACCATATATAATAGCAATACAGAGGGTTAAATGGTAACAAAAGAAGAATATATATCTTTTAAGAGACATGATCAAAGGACACAATTTAATCTTTTATTCTTTTGCCTTGCAGTATCTTGCCATGTACACCCAGAAGTCTGGTCAGATGTCTGGTCGCTTTGAGAAGCTTGTCAAACTCACTGGAACTCATCTTACGCACCCAGTCTATGGCCTAATAACATATGTACAGGTAAGCTGACCCTTTTCCATTGTTTTTAACTAAATTTGCGTTGAAGCGTCCCTTTGTTTTGAAGTGAAGCTTTTTCCTATTACAGTGAAACCTGTTTATAAAGACCACCCAAGGGAGACAAGAAAAGTGGTCTTTATAGGCAGGTGGTCTTTATGTACAGGTTCCTATAGTACATCTTTCAATGAAAAACCATTTTCAAGGGAAACAAAAATGTGGTCTTTGTAGACAGGTGGTCACTAAAGCAGGTTTGACTGTATTTTGAAATGATATATTTTTGTTTGAGTATCCTTTGTGTAGTATGGTATCCAATCATTTAATATTCTTTCAATTTTTACAGGTGATCTAATTTTCCTCTGTAAAGGTGTAGGATCAATTTTCCCCTAGGATGACAGCCAGATTTACTTTTCAATTTCAAGTTCAATTCAATTTCAGTATATTTGGCATCATAAAAAACGATTCCTTTAAAGAAAGAAGTCAAGCATTGAAATATAGAAAGATTCTTCTTCTGTTTCTTGCAGCAAACTCAAACAGAGAAGTTGAGCAACCTGTTAACCGGGGGCAAGGCTAGTAAGGGGAAGGACAAGAAGAAGGGTGACAAGGGGCTGGTAGCCGCAGCAGTGACGGCAGGCAAGGCTAGGGTCGTGATGAGAGAGACCAGACCCATTCCGAATCTCATCTTTGCTATCGAGCAGTATGAGAGCTTCCTCATCAAACTCTCAAAGAAAACCAAGGTGAGGAGATGGTGATAAGAAGATGATGTTAGTGGTGGTGGTGATGATGAAGAAGATGAGACGAAGGTGGTGGTGGTGGTGGTGGTGGTGGTGGTGGTGGTGGTGGTGGTAATGATGATGGTGATGATGATGGTGGTGATGGTGGTGGTAATTATTATGATGATGATGATGATGATGATGGTAGTGGTGGTGCTGATGATGATGCTGATGAGGGTGATTATGATGGTGATTATGATGATGATGATGGTGGTGGTGATGGTGTTGGTGATGATGATGATGATGGTGATGGTGATAGTGATGATGATGATGGTGATGGTGATAGTGATGGTGATAGTGATGATGATGATGGTGATGGTGATAGTGATGGTGATGGTGGTGATGGTGGTGGTGGTGGTGGTGGTGTTGATGATGATGGTGATGGTGGTGAGGATGGTGGTGAGGATGGTGGTGATGGTGATGGTGGTGGTGGTAGTGGTGTTGGTGATGATGGTGATGGTAGTGATGATGATGATGATGGTGATGATGATGATGATGATGATGATGATGATGATGATGATGATGATGATGATGATGATGGTGGTGATGATGATGATGATGATGATGATGATGATGATGATGATGATGATATTAGTGATGGAGATGATGATGCTAATGCAGATGGTGTTACTAGAGGTGGTGTGGATATTGATGACTGGGTGTGGTAATCATCTGTAGTCATTTTTAGGATAGTTTTTTCAACTGTATTGGAAAGGAAAACAAGATATTTATTTCCTGGAATGATGATTTTTTGTTTTTGTTTTGTAGGTGAACTTGCTTGCTGACTTCAAGCTGAGCACATCTCGTGATTTCCGCATCAACACAGCCCTGGTCCAGGCTAACCTAGCAGAGCAGGCATCGGGATCAGAAGAGGTAAAGAGAGTAATGAAAGGGTTGGAGGAATGGGATGGGTGGGGTGGGGTAAAAGAGAGGGCGGGAGTATGGGGGAGGGACAACAAGAAAGCAAGAAATGTGTAATGATATTCCTGGTCCAGACAAATCTTGCTGAGCAGGCCTCCAGATCAGAAAGGTAGGGGGGGGGGAGAGAGAGTGGGAGATGGACATAGAGAGTTGAGGAAGAGAGAGGGAGAGATAGAGAGAGAGAGGGGGTGGAGAGAGAGAGAGAGAAAGGGAGGGTGGGTGAGAGGAAGAGGGGAGGTAGAGGAAAGGGAGGTTAAATATAGAAGAAAACTCCCATTAGAGTGATTGTCATATTATGACATCCTCAATATTGCAAATACTGAGGACCTAGTACATATCAGATTCAAACATCCCTTTTGACTTAACTAGCCATTTTCCCTAACTCTATTCTGAATGGTTATGATAGGAGTAGAGATAGTACTCACATTGCTTGTATGTACGAATCTTATCCCTTTGGTAATGATATCAAGTACACTATACAAAGACACATTTCAATTAGCTTTTATTTCCTTTTTATTTCAGGAGATGTCAGACTCTGATGTGATGGGGCATGATGATGATGATGATGGCGGAGAAGAAGAAGTGATGGAGGTGGGAGATGGAGAGGGGGAAGAAGAGGGAGACAAGGAGAACCAAAGCGAACCAGCTGCAAAGAGAAGGAAGAGCACCCTCTCAAGGAGATAGAGAGAAGGAAAGAAATGACGTTGGAACCCCCCCCCCCCCCCCCCCACACACACCTTTTTTTAGTAGACATCTACATGTACATCATTGCAATACAATATTATGCTCAGCTCAAGCCTTAACCCCCCCCCCCCCCCTCACTCTCATTCATAAACACTTTTTGCAACTCCTTACTTGCATGTACATTTACAAGGATTACACAAATACATGTCAAAATCCAAGGTTAATGCTCAGAGAAGCACTTGATTTTCCCTGATTTCAGGCAACAAAAACAATTTAATAATACAGACTCAGTATACTAAAATTCCTTCTCTGGACACTTTTGAAAATACTGATACATTTTAATGATTGAAAAATGTTGCACACTTACTTTTACATCGTCATAATACTTGTGTTAGAGAGAGAGCGAGAGAGAGCGAGAGAGAGCGAGAGAGAAATCGGTCATCCAACTTTTCATGTGTCTTTGATTGACAGGTTGTTTATTACACCGGAAATTCTTGTGGGCAATTTACTACACTGGCATCTGCGAAACTTACACTAGCAGGGATGCAACAATAGCAAGCTTGTAAATTACAGGATAAAGGAAATTTACAAGAAATAACTAGGGGTGGTCTCTTGGCTGAATCTGTAAACAAGGAGGAATGTAATGTACAATAACTCCAAGCGCTTTTGCAGAAGTTGTGAAGGTTAATTTCAGCCTTGATTGATTTCATTTTTCTGCTCCCTCTGCTTCTTCTTTTTCTTTCTGTTCTTCCTCTTCTATCTTTTCTTCTTCAATCTTTTCCTCTTATTTTTTTTTATTCTTTCTTCTTTTTTCTTTGTCTTTTCTTCCTCTTTTTCTTCCTCTTCATCTTCTTCTTCCCTTTTTTTTTCTTGTTTTCTCCTTCTCTTTCATCTCCTTATTTTTTTCTTCCTCGTCCTTTTCTTCTTTCTCTTTCTATTTTGTCAAATTTCCACGTGAGATTTTGGAGAAATAATGAACCACATCATTATACATATTACACTGTATATTCTGAATTGCTATGCCTTCACTGGATATTGATAAGCCACATTTTCATGATACATGGAAGAGATTTGATGTGGTAATTAAAAAAAAACAAGTATCACTTTGCAAAATTAAAATATTGCTACATCAAATGAAGTCCATTCAAAGGTATAGCAGTTTGTTGATCATGCAAGCTTTATGATAATCATAAATGATTCGTTTTAGACCATTTCTATTGCCAAAGCTATTTTCATGCATTATTCATTATGTATTGTATTGTTAAATGTAAACCATGATTATTAAAATGTGTATAAACAAATGTTGATGTATGTTATATTCCAAGTTGAACTCATCTAGTTTTCCTCATATAATCCCACCCCCTCCCCCCTCCCCCATATTTATATTTTTACTATGTGTATTACAGTAGATATCAGATAATTATCTTAGCCACACACATTTGTATACAAACAGATCAGTTTCATTTTAGCTGTACTACATAGTAGAGGTGTTGTGGTCTAGTGCGTAAGTCACCCGACTGCAGGTACAGGGTTCAAATCCAAACCTGGCACTAACGTCCTTTGGCAAGACGTTGATCTATATTTGCCACTCTCCACCCAGGTGTTAATTGGGTACCCGATAGGATGTGAAAGTTAATGTGGTTTGCTCAGCATTGTGAGCATCTGTAAAATGATACCTGGCTTGAAAGCTCCCCAAGGAGTGGAGAATGTGCATACATTGTGTGCGAGAAAGTCTGATGACCGGAATACTGATATATCTGTAAAGCACTCGGAGACATCGTCATTGTATTATTAAAGCGCTATATAAAAATGGAAAATTTTTATTGTTACATAGAGGAAATTTTGCACATGCATTTCACCTACTTTATCAACTCTTTTATAGAAGTCTTCCTCAACTTTGCCATGGGGCAATGTTACATTTGTAAATGTATAGCTTGTATATAAAATCACTCATTATATAGTCACTTTTCTTCAAAACATCATCAGTGTTTGATCTCTTTATTTTAGAGTGTAATTAAACTCTCCTTCTGCTCATTCACTCTGAAGAAAAGAGGAGTACAAAAATGGAAGTAGAAGTCTAGAGAGAATCGTTTAAGATGATTGTAAGAAAATGGAATGAAATGAAAGAGGAAAGAAAATCATGTATATAAAGAACTTGAGAAGATGTGAGTGAATTGACAGAGGAGAGAAAGGGAAATGAGAGCAAGAGGATGTTGAAGATAAGAAAAGAAAGACATAAGTCTAGATTGATCAAGAAGAGGAAATATAAAAGAGGTGGGAAAGATTGAGAATGAATAGTTTTAGTAGGAAAAGGGAAGAGCGAATTGGTTAAAAGTAAGAAAATATATATAAGACAGAAGTCTATAGAATGAATCTAGGAGAGAAGACGAACAAGAGTGAATGCTAGAAAAAGAATGAGCGACGGTTAGATGGGCCAACGAAGATAGTGGATTTGGTAGGCTGATGGAGGAGAGAGGAAGAGAGAGAGAGAGGAAGAAGGGAAGTACAGAGGATGAAAGATGAGGCGAATTAAGATTTCAAAGAACGACAGTAGAATGAATTACAAGAAGATAGAGAACTCAGAAACAGATATATCAAGAAAAAGACAAAGAATAGTGATGAATGAATAGAAACTGAGAGAAAAGTATGAAATAAAGCTTTTGGAAAACAGTATATGTGAAAGAAGATGACAACGGGTGACAGATAGATGGAAGAATTTCCATTAAACTTTAACAAATAAATGTTGATGCTATTAAACAGAAAAGGAGCTTACATGAGAGATAATATCTTAGAGAGATAAAAACAAAAGCCAGATTTGATTTCATTGTTTTGCAAAATTTATTTTCATTTTTCACAAAAATATGAACATTATATCTACAAAAGAATTTTCAAATTTCTAGTCCGAATAAATAATACGACACACATATATAAACACATGTTTAAAACATAACGTACATAGAGTACCGAGTGTGACGTCATACTGGTCAAAGTAGCTGGTTCCAAACAATTTTGTGCTAAAAATAATGGCGTGGTGATCACACCAGCGCCAAACACTGAATTTGCCCGTTGCTTGAGTGATTTCGCGGTGAACCTTATAAACAGAACCTAGACTACGAGCTAACGTGACGTTAGCACTTCGGTACTCCATAGAATAGCATCGAATACGCCCCCTTTTCACACAGGGGTAAAATTCTTTAAAGCTGATTAGCTGACTCACTTCTCGTAAATGCGCAATGGCCCTACTGAGCGTTTAAAGAGCAGTGCCCGGTCTAGTTAAGGATGTATATCCGTTCACACACAAAATGTCTCGCTCTCTAGATACGGGCTTCGTATCTACAGCCTACTTTGACCGGCGTATGAATCGCGACTTCGTATTTGTCCGGAACATCGTATATAAACGACGTTCACACAGGGAAAATGTTCTCTTTAAGCTGTTTAGTTAAACAGCTTTAAGCTAATCAGCTTTAGATACGATGGATTATACCCCCGAGTGAAAAGGCTGTATATAGCCTACAAAGGCTACATAATTATATGAATATACAAAACAAGAGAATGACTGTATATCAATACGGGTTGTTGCATAATTCATCTAGACATAATATCTAACGTAATTTTCTGACTATAAAGTAAATTGACAGCAAATTCTTTATATTGGTAACTGTTCAGATAAAATGGACTCCTAGTAGTTTTTCTTAGTATGACGGTAAAAGTGAAGCTATAATTCATCTTATGACAACTATCTTGGAGACAAAATATTTGGCTTAAAACTCTTTTAATATGACACTACATTTTGACATTTGGTGCACAAGTTACCCTTTTTTCTTTCATACACATTATTCATGTTTTCATCAACTTCTGGAAACTTTGCTTCCTAAAATATATTTTGAAGATGGCACAAATATTCGGAAATTGCCAGAAAGAGAATTAACTCCATAATGTAGGTTGAATCAAATAATAACATGAACATTCAGAACATATAATTTACGTTGAAAAGGTGACAACAAAATCTGAATTAAAATAATAATATTAATAAAGATAATAACTATAGGAAGAAGAAAAAGGATTAGAAGACCAAAACAGAAACTGAAGTAAAACTTACACCAAATTGACCTTTAAAAAAAGGAATTTAAAAGAAAGAATAACAATTATTACGACGGTCAGAATCAATTGTAAATTAAATGGCAAGATATACTACACTAGTAAATCATATCAATACTTCAATATTTCACAGTTGGTCTTTATATTCACAAGACCCATTCACCAATTCCTTTATTATTTAATTTATTTCAGTGTCAAAGTTGGACGGAATAATCATAGATTAAACTTTACTAGACAAGAAATGATGAAGAAAAAAATCAAACATGTTACTCAGGAATACTCAATGACAATAAACAGTTTACTATTATCTTGATTGTCAAAATAATGCAGCATATGCAATAGAAAAATACCAGTATGTGAACAGCGCATTAGTTCTTATTCAAATTGTTGACAAATTGGGGGGGGGGGGGGGGGAGGGACCTCACGTAAACGTGGGTGACCCGTTTTCCATTTAATTAGGCTTAAGATCGGTCTAAGTACAGTCGAGTAATAATAACGCTTCAAATAAACACATAAGACTTTGACTTAAGCCTAATATCATACAGATGAGGGCATTTATCTTAGCTTAATAGAGGAGAGATATAAGATCCATACTCAGCCAACATTGTTTTTAAGATACGCAGTTTAATTTGCCAAGAACATCTTTCTTAGCCAAAAGATAAGAAGAGTTCTCAATTATGCTGAAATAATTATTTCATTATTTCAAAAGAACATGATGGAAAATGATAAGTCGAGATTTATAAACCGAAGAAGTGAAATAACAAAAAGAAGTGAGTATTTCAATGAATAGACCTAGAAATTGATTGTTCAATGAACAACCACCCATCTTCTCGAACACCTTCAAGTCAATCGCTATCGTTCACGATCGACCGTTAATTTTTTTGAAATATATACATGTGCATGCATTTTCCAGACAATTGGAAGAAGTCAAATATAACCTGAGTTGAACAATTTGATGATAAGAATTATATAATGCTAGAAAGAACTTTCCATGTCGGTTTATGTAAAATTCCATTGCATAATTGGTATTGACAACATCACGCTCACCAACTCATAAAATGAAGGTATCATCATAAGATAATTGTGAGAGTCGAGTAATGAGAAATTTCTTTTGATGTTGGAATGACCATACGATTACTTGTAGTTGTATTCTGCTCTCATATTTACTTAGATTACGAGTTGACTAAGAATTTCATCAAATCCCGAACTGAGTAAAAACGAGTTAGAATGAAAAAAGTACCGATGATGTTAAGTTTAAGATCTTCGATCATTGCTCAGAAGAAGACGAAGAACGCTGATTCATGATCAACCACTGTTGCAAATATAAAGTGGCAGCACGATTTTATGTTCTACTCGTCATCACTAAGGTCTAAAGATGATACGTCACTGTAGCCATCGTCGTCATCAAAAGCATCCTCATTAGAAACCTCGCTGATTGCGTCTGAGGAAATAATAAAGAAACATACATGTATCAAATGTCGATAGGCCAATCGGTTTTGCGACACAAAAAATGCAGTTGCCGCAGAAATATATCTGTACAGTTCTAGGATGACATTAATTAGTTTAACTATTTGTTATCTTTCCCTATCTAGTTGTATTCAACATTAACAAATTGTAACTGGTTATAAACTTATAGCATACATTTAAGTGTTGTAAGAGGAAATGTAAAAAGCTTGTGCGTTTCTAAGACAAAATAATTTTAAGGGCAGTATAAGGGGTGTACTGTGGTAAAACAAGCGAGAAGATGAAAATAAAGCAATATAAAATATTTTGTCTTATTCTCAAACTTAAATGTACTCTGTAAACTTATTTTATTACGTACATACTTATCAGTATTGTGTTACTTGTATAATTCATTTGTTCTATAACTATATATTGTAATACTGATATGGTTTATATATGTCATTTTAATTTGTGGATATTTGAGTGGAAAATAAATCAAATCAAATCAAATCAAAATAAAGAAGCTTTGGAAAACAGAAGAAAAATTCTAATCATACATTATTAGGTGAAAATAATTATACATCGACCCCAGCGTACACTGAAATTTCAGAAAATAAAGGGAAGTCAGGAAATAGTATACACACAAAAGAGGAGGAGATTGCGAAGAACAAAACAGTGGAGAGAGGAGGGGTCGAAAGAGAGGATGAGGGGGTGAAGGGGAGGAGGAGAAAAGGGAGAGGAGGAGCAGGAACAGGAGGGGGAGGAGGGGGGGGGGGTAACTTACCCATATCCTGAGTAGCTTGAAGAAGACGTTTTGCTGATCCGATCACGTTTCTAACCTTCACTATTTTCTTCGTCTTTTTCGGACCTGATAGAAAGATAATCCCACATAACAAATAATGCCAGTAAATATTTTTGAAATAATAATGACAAGTAAAAATAGTATTTAGGTATTCATGGCAACATTTAATTGCAGCTATTTTTTTCGGAGTGATGGTTGGATGGTAGGTTGAGAAGATGACTAAATACCAATCGCTGTCACATTGACTTCCTCCAAACACCTGATTGTAATTTAAAGCAAGTATTCATTATTTCCAAAGATATTCTATTATTATATGGAGGCGCGATGGCTCAGTAGTAGAGCATAACTAAATCAATGCGCTCGTGCCCTTTGAAAAATGCATTAATCCTCGTAACAAAGTCCTTCCGGAGAGAACTTAGAACCGTCGGTCCCCTGGTTGCTCACTTACAAGCATACACATGCTTTCCAAAATAGTCAAACCATCAAACACCATCTATCTATCTCTGTCCCTCTCTCTCTTTATATATAATTATAAGCAAACTGGTCAAACTATCGAAATTCAATAATGTCCTTTCAACAGAGACGGAGAAGTTAGCCAGCTGCCAGGTACCAGTGATATTATTCCAACAATCTTACCTTCTCCTCCTTTCGCTGCGGCGGCATCGTCATTCGACTGGTGAAGCTCCACGATGTCCCTCCCTTCTACCAGAGCTCCATGGGTCGAGCGAAGCATCGAGTCCTCGAGTCCTGCCCCGATGTTTGGCTTCAGAATCCGTTCAAATCGCCTGATGTTCTTCACCCAGCGGACGTAGCGGGAAAACTTCTTGTCTGATTTCGGATTTGATTTGGGTTTGGGCTTCTTCACTTTGGGAATCTCTTTCAACGTCTTGTCATATCTGTGTAAGAAAAAAAAAGAGAAATGGAAAATGGTCTTTGTTAAAAAAACCCACTAAAACAAACAGTTACGCTTCTTTTATATATTATATTGTGACCATAAATCACCAACGTCCATTTTGAAGGGCTGAAAATCTATGACATAATGAAACCCACTTAAAGCGTGAAAATGAAAACTTACTTTGGTGCATCGAATATCTTGCCAGATTGTGTTAGCACTTTACCAATTATGTATGGTAGGCAGGACATTTAAAAATCCATCTTGTGGATTCGTTTAAAGTAGCTGACTGAATAAAGAAATATTTTATCTACCGCCTTTAAAAAATAACGATATATTAAAGACAAATGAGAAAAACGAGATTTTTATTTGAAAAACAAGAAAGAAAAGGGAGATGAGAGGAAGGAAAAAAGGAAAGAAAGAAAAAAAGGAAAGAAAGAAAAAGAAGAAAAATAGAAGAAGAAGAAGGAATCAGACAATTTTTAGCCAGATAAATTTACTTAAAGGTGAAATTCAAAGAAAATCACAAATATGTCAACTAATGTATCACTAGAAACTGGTAAGCTAACAGATGGCCATCGTAGTTTGAGGTCAGCTACATATCGGGTGATTTATAAAAATGAAAATACAACCACCTCCATAGCAGCTGGGATATACGAGAGATTCACCAGAAAAATAACGATGTTTTAATGACGTCACAACAGGGACCAATACTGCTCAAGCAGACGACATCCCATAAAGAATGAACATAATTGCAAAGCTATTATTTGTCAAATTATAATGAGTTTAGTGTATATAAATGTACTGGCACGTTAAACCGATCAAAAGGGGACATGACCCGATTCTGATAACTAAATTCTTTTGCTTGTAAATACACAGGATAGGGGTTAATTAACAATCAAAGAAACCAGACTTTCAAATTGAAAAGCCCCCGGATTGATATTAAGGACGGCATTTGTTCCCTCTTAAAACGCCGAACATACCGCGGTGTCTGCAGCTGAATATACAATGGCGTCTTATTTTGTTTACAAGCGACAGATTCCTTTATTTTTGTATCGCTGCATTTGTCATCAAAATAAAACCATGCGCGGGGTTTAGAGTGAGGCAATAGATTATACATTTAGTCTGACGGTAGTGAAGTAAGAGAAAGAACTCAAGAGAAGATGAAAACACAGGCACTGAAAATGTGTGAGATGTCATGGGACATCGTCTGCTTGTGCAAATGATGTCCCTGCTGTGATCTCACACATCTCAGCAGCGTTCGGAGAGCTATTCAGGTGCTATGCCGGGGGTGTATTTAAGCGTTTTGTAATTTATAATAATCATACTTCGAATGTTTCCAAGCATTGAATTTTGATAACCTTTTCGAATCAAAGCTTCAAATTTGCAATAATGAAAATACAGCTAGATTTAAAATCAATGAATATCTACTTTAAAACAAAAGTAATCGCGAAATGGAAAGGAAAAATACCAACGAAATTTCAGTTCATACCTGTCTTCGTAGATATTGTCTGGCAGGCCATACATCGAACTCTGTCTATTCAGACGATCCTCTTCAACGCTTCGCCAGGAGACATATTGGCGGGAAAACCTCTTCACTTGTTCCTCGTCAAATTTATCTCGTATGTGCTTCAACGTCTGGTACTGCCGCACGACACTCTCGTGCTTCCTTTCCTGTGCATTCGCGATTTCTCGGGTCTGTATGGAAGCAAAAGAGCAGTGCAGATATCACATTTCTTAGCCGTTGGTGATAAAGTAAAGTTTTTGAGTAATAGAATTCAATCTCTAGTAACAAAAAAAAGATACACAAATATTAGATTTTGTGTAATTATCATTGTTGATCGCCAGTCATTAATGTCAAATGGAATTTCATGTACGGTATAATGACCATCGAAGAATCTAAAAAGTAATGTACTTGCTCAATATTATGGGGAAATCTTTTATCGATACGTCAAAACAATATTCCAAAACAATATTAAGTAGAGGCACCCCATTCCTTCCCATGGGCAATGCCCCTAGTCAAATTTTTCGCAAAATATAGACCTACCTTTTCGTCATCAATCTTCAACTGAGCTTTTTCGACCTTCTTCAGAAATGCCGTCTGCCGTTGAATCTTGTAATGCTGGTTATTGTACACCGAGTTGTAGAACTTCTGCCTTGCTAACGTCTTCTTCGTAATGATAGTTGGTCGTTGTCTTAAAGGTTTCTTCGATGTCTCGCTGCTGGTTGTGGATTTCCACGACGATTTTGTTGACGTCGTCGAGCCACTTACGTTGCTTCTCCGCGTCGTCGTCGTCGCTTCCGTTCGTTTGGTGCGCGATGTCTCCGCGCTGACTTCGCTCTGTTTCCCGTCTTCGTCGTTGGTCACGAACTCGCCACTGGATGTGAAGAACCCGGTCTTCGTGCGACGTCGCTGCATGGGTGGTTTTGAACGTCCCAGCTCCGACTTCGATCGGGGATTCACTCTGCTACTGAAGCCGGTACCTATCCTGCTATTTGTCGGCCTCGACGGCGGAGCCTTTGTCGGACTCTCGTTAAGTCTTTGCTTCCAGAGAGTAGACTTAGTATGCGATTGTGCATGCGTTCTATTTGCGAGCGCTTCGCGGCTTTCCAACGTTCTTGTTTTATTATCCTGATAAGATTTAGACGCGGTTTTATCCTTGCGGGATTCCGATACAGGTTTATGGCTAACATTTTCATGTTTCTTTTCGGACGTAGTTCTCTCCGCGGTCCTCTTTGGAAGTTTATTCGAAACCTTTGCGCTTTGGTCAGTAATATTCACATCACTATCACCCTTAGTCGTATTCGTCCTTTGATATTCTTCACTTGGTTCCTTGCTCGTAGAATTGCTTTTAGCCTTTTCATGTTTCTCCTCTTTCTTTCGCTCAGTTAAAGTTGTTGTGTTCGAATCTTTTAATCTTACACTTGGTCCATCTTTATGCACTGTTCCAACATTGTTTTCCTTTTCAATGCGAGGTAAACCTTCGGAGGGAAGCTTTTTTGATTGTGTCAACTCTTTGCTGGTTTTCGTCACGACATGGTTGTTTTCTTCCGCGTGGATTTTTGACCTGTAATAATAAAAAAAAAAAAAGAGGTATAGGCATTCGTAATAATGTTTTCAGAAATATTAAACATGGTTTGGTGTTCCAGTATTTTGAACGTCCGTAAAACACAAAAATAATCTGATCTACCAGCTTGTGATGTTTTCATCTTTACACAATCTGACAAAATTTGGCCGAGACCTTTGTCAGACATATTCTCACGATGTTCAATTTAAAAACTTTTGTGCATTTTCCTATTTCTTTCATAGCGATTTTCATCAGATTATCAATTAAAAGAAAGATGATAATAGTTAAACGATGACTTACGATTAATAACTGATCCTAATATTAAGCGTAGCATAGTTCTATTCAAATATCACCTACGAAATTCAATTGAGAAAGATCGATTACTTTTCATTTCAAGATATTGTTAATCAAAATTCTCATGCAATTTTTTAGCCACCCTGTATAGGCCAACCAGCCCTAGCAGAGAGAAAATAAAATAGACTTATTCTACAAAATATGCTGTCGAAATAAAAACAGAGTAGATTATTTTGAAAGTTTACCTGTCCCCTTTAGCTTGTGTTGCCTCCTCATGAGCCTTTGGTTCCTTTGGGGAGAGGGGCAAGGGGGTTTTCTTGGTCGGGGAGGGAGAGGTAGTTTTCTTGCCCGCATCTTTCGGCTTGCTGTGCTTTGGCTTTTGCGATGATGCTGGCGAGTCGACGGATGAGTTTGATTCGGGAGCTGTAGAGAATAAGAACCCATAGATCATAAAACCTGCAATTATACTGGGTTAATGTTGGTTAATGAAGACCGTAATGAAGAAGAAAACGAATAAGGTAGCAGATGATGAGAAATTGATCAATGATTACACGTGCCTATTTTCACAGGTCTACCAAACTAATTAACATGATTATATCATTTTAGCAATTTTGGCTGCACTTTTGAAATCTAAATCATTAAAGTTATTGCTGATTAAGACTGTTATCATAATGCAACTTTTTTTTTTTTTTGGGGGGGGGGGGGGGGTGGATGGTGTTGAATCACTGCATGCATACTTTACAACTTTACAAAGCAAAAGTTTGTATCATTTTAAAATAGTACGTATTGGTAGACAAAGAAGTTCCATTCGTTTTATGAAAGAGCTCGCTGTCGAATAGGTTTAGAGTGTCTTTATGACTTAGAAAAGGGTACTTGTTAAAGGTCCAAAGAAACTATTTTCGGAAATAAAAAGAGAATTTTGTGATAGTTCGAGGGGGGGGGGGGGGGTGCACTCCTCTCTAACGTGGACTAGTGTGGGGGACAGGTAAATACTAAGTTAAATTTTAAAAGGTAGGAAATATTGAGTTGGCATTTTGTAAGAGATGAAGGAACAACATAAGAAAGAATGTGAAATACTAAAAAAAGACTAAAATGTAAATAAATGTTAAAAGAAAATAAGACAGGAGAATAATGTTGAAGAGCAGGAGTGGAAAAGAGAACAGAGAAAAAAGAAGAGAGGTTCGAACAGAGAAAGAGGAAGAGAGGTTGAGAGAAAAAAACGTAAAAGGGAAAAGAAAGAACATAAAAATTAAAACAAGAGCGTGAACAAAGAGAAATAAAAGGATGGCAAAAAAGTAGAAAAAACTGAGGAGAAATTCACACGATGTTTTGAGAAATTGTCAACGACGATGGCAAGAAGAAATAAATTTAAAAAAAACGCATGGTTACCATATCATATTAATATATTTAGCTCTTTGGGTAAACCCCCCCCCCCCCAGATATTTCAAGAAAAATCATTCCATGCAAAAATGATATAGTTTATTACCTCCTGCGACAAGCGTGTTAATTTTAGGAAGTCGGGGTGCGGTGGCGGTTTTCTTCGACGATGACGTTGGCTCCGAGTTGTGTCTTTCGTGGTTACTAGGGCGTGGCTTGGAAGAGGGGGCAGAGTTGGAAACCCGTTCGGGACCTGAGTCGTAATAAAGCATATAAGCTCTGCAATATTAGTTTATAGTTATTAATGAGCAGCAAGGAATATTACCGGTTGCCACTTGCCAGTAAAACACTTTTGTTAGATGCTCACAACAATTTGTATGTGTCTTTCTTGGAAGTGATAAATGCAAGCTTTAGAATTGTAAATAGATGTTTCAAAGATATATTGAAAAACAAATAATTGTTAGTTCAGAAAAAAATAAATCAAATAACAATAATAATGCAAAATTGAGGAGCATGCCACAATCACCTGTTTACGGACTTATTTTTAAGGATGAATTTCATACGATTTGCTTGTTTTTGTTTGTTTGTTATTTTTAGTGATTTGAAATTGTCAGCTAGCGCATTTCATATACGCACTATGTGAACTCGTTGGTGTAGTTAAAAAAATATATTAGAATCTTGGTAATAAATACTTGGTTTTACTTTCTTTTACTAAAAATATGTATTTTGTTAAAAATAATTTATTGGTGGGGACGATGGCTATTTCATCCCCTGAAGTTTACGGCCATGTGAATTTACCAATTACCATTTATATTTGTTACTCACTTTCTGTCTTGTCTCGCCTGGAAATGGTCGGCACACTTCGCGAAGACCTCCTCGCTTCGGCGGCTAATGCAGCGGCAGCTTGCGTTCTCCGACGGTTGACGCGAGAGGGCTCCTTCCATGTTTCGTAGACAGCCGGAAGTTGGATGGATGACGAGTGATTGGGACGTTTCTTTTCGGATGGCTTCCATTTGACTTGTCCGCCGCCTTGCAATCTGTGAGGAGGTAGGGTAAACAAAAGATTTTTTGTTTGTTTTTAATATAGTTTGTTTAAGAGTGCACGGAATAAAAAAGGAACCAAGAGACAATTGGAGGGAGAGTGATTACATAAAACAATTGTGAAAGACAGTAATATAATATAAATAATTATGAGGAACGAACTATGTAATTTTGATGGCGATGCCCCCTCTTTGGAGTGCCTTCCCTCGCCTCGTGCATGAGATACGCGGTAAAATAAATATGTTCAACTTTACGGACGTTTCTTCCCTAAAGCATTGGTTATGAACTATTTAATTAACCTGTTATATCATGGCACGTTTATATAATCCATTTTTATTTTGTGTTTAGTCAAAGGCAGCTTTTGTTTCATGAATGCGTACAATCTTACACCAGAAGATTGATGTGCCTTACTATGATTGTTTTTTCTTCTAACAACACCCCCTCACCCCCCCCCCCGGTCCCCACGCTCTCTAATTGTTCCGCTACCTCCTCCGCCAGAAATATTTTTTTCTGTTAGATGAGCAAACATTACTTTGGGTTCGCCAAAGGATATGCTCCAACAGGCATGTAGCAGACAACAATTAAAAGCAAACATTCGTCCTGAATCCCTTCAACAGTTTTGTTTAATCACGTGTGTATACATACTCAGTTACTATGGAGCTTAGAAGCTCTTTTTTGCTTCACGAAGAGACAAAACATGGGCCGAGACGGTTCCATGACACATGCTCCGCCGACGATTGCTCCGCCGACATTTACTCCGCAAAACGCGACAATTGCTCCGCGACATTTGCTCCGCGACATTTGCTCCGACGTCAAATGCTCCGCCGACAGGTGCTCCGCCGACAGTTGCTCCGCCGACAGTTGCTCCGCCGACAATTGCTCCGCCGACAGATGCTCCGCCGACAATTGCTCCGCCGACAATTGCTCCGCCGACAATTGCTCCGCCGACAATTGCTCCGCAAAACGCGACAATTGCTCCGCCGACATTTGCTCCGCCGACATTTGCTCCGCCTGAAGCGACACTTGCTCCGCCGACATTTGCTCCGCCGACAATTGCTCCGCCGACAATTGCTCCGCCTGAAGCGACAATTGCTCCGACGACATTTGCTCCGCCGACAATTGCTCCGCCGACAATTGCTCCGCCGACAATTGCTCCGCCTGAAGCGACAATTGCTCCGGTGACATTTGCTCCGCCGACAATTGCTCCGACGACATTTGCTCCGCATGAAGCGACACTTGCTCCAGTGACATTTGCTCCGACGACATTTGCTCCGCCCAAAAAGTGTCCCATTAAATACAAATGCTACTAGTACTACGACAAATGCTTCGCCGACAATATATTTTTTTCACGGGTTGTTTTTGTTTCTTTTTTTTTTCTTCATTTTCTGAATGCATTTCATGAAATTATGTAAATGAAATGAAATGAATGAATGTTGATGATGTGGGAGGAAAAAGCAGTTGCCTAAAAGTCATTTCGAATATACTGAAATAACTTTCCATCTATCACTGTACGTCCCACATAATGTACACTAAACACTCATTACATGTCATGGGAAGTTGTTTGTTTTTTTAAAGTAGAGCAGCAAGCCACATTCCCCAATACGCGCATACATCCTAGTTAATTTCAAACAGCTCATCAATATGTAAGACCTGAAATTACCTCAATGAAAGAAGACTAATAACATGAGAGGAAAGAAAAGAGCAAAGAAGACAACCGTGTTTTGCTATTCCCCATAATGTTTGATTTAAAAAAATAAAAAATAAAATTATAGCTCCTTACGCAAGTTCTCCGGCGAAAGATAATTACTCCGCTCAAAATCTGTTTCATGTATTACTCATTAGCTGATCCAAAGCTCAAGGCTATCTCTCTCTCTCTCTCTCTCTTTCTCTCTCTCCCATGCTCCTCCTTTTCCTGTTTAAACCGTTTTCTTGTCTTCTTTGCTCTTTTCTTTCCTCTCATGCTATTAGTCTTCTTTCATTTTCATCACTTCTTCTCTGCTCCCCCTCTCGAGTTATATTTCTCTCGTGAAATTGAAACGTAAAGTAATACAATCATGTAGTACATTCTTGTTTAGAATAATATTTTCAATAATATCCAGTCCATTTTCTAAAGGTTTCTTTCCTTTAGTTAAGTGTATGTAGCGTTAATATATATATGTTAGTGTGTAAAACACTCCGTTTCATTCGAGTACTTTGTTTTCACTGAATAATTTAAGGGACTCACGAAGCCACCGGAAGAAGAGCAATTGGCTTATCATGAAGAACTAACATCAAACTGCAACAAAATGATTTGTATAAATGTGAATAAGCAGAAAGGCTGCCATCTCATTTTCCCGTCTGAATGGGTTCTCTTCCTTTATGTATATAAGTGCCCTTATTTTCTAAACTTCCATGATGACCTAGTACATTGTCTAATGCTTTACCTAGTAAGATGCATTGATCGAGGTAATTTCAGGTATTACATATTGATGAGCTACTTGAAATTAACTAGGAGGTATGCGCGTATTGGGGAATGTGGCTTGCTGCTCTATTTTTTTTAAAAACTTCCCACGACATGTAATGAGTGTTTAGTATACATTATATGGGACGTACAGTGATAGATGGAAAGTTATTACAGTATATTCGAAATGACTTTTAGGTAACTCCTTTTTTCCTCCCACTTCATCAACATTCATTCATTTCATTTCATCTACATTATTTCAAGAAATGCATTTAGAAAATGAAGAAGAAAAAAGGAAAAGAAAAAAATAGGTGTAAAGAAACTATTGTCGGCGAAGCATTTGTCGTAGTACTAGTAGCATTTGTAGTTTATGGGACACTTTTTGGGCGGAGCAAATGTCGTCGGAGCAAATGTCGGCGGAGCAATTGTCACTTCAGGCGGAGCAATTGTCGGCGGAGCAATTGTCGGCGGAGCAAATGTCGGTGGAGCAAAAGTCGGCGGAGCAAATGTCGGCGCGCAATTGTCGCTTCAGGCGGAGCAATTGTCGGCGGAGCAAATGTCGGCGGAGCAATTGTCGGCGGAGCAAATGTCGGCGGAGCAAGTGTCGCTTCAGGCGGAGCAAATGTCGGCGGAGCAAATGTCGGCGGAGCAATTGTCGCGTTTTGCGGAGCAATTGACGGCGGAGCAATTGTCGGCGGAGCAATTGTCGGCGGAGCAATTGTCGGCGGAGCATCTGTCGGCGGAGCAATTGTCGGCGGAGCAATTGTCGGCGGAGCAACTGTCGGCGGAGCAACTGTCGGCGGAGCATTTGACGTCGGAGCAAATGTCGCGGAGCAAATGTCGCGGAGCAATTGTCGAGTTTTGCGGAGTAAATGTCGGCGGAGCAATCGTCGGCGGAGCATGTGTCGGGTTACCGCCGAGACCCGTCAAAATAACCATAGACCTAGGTCTATGAAATAACCGACTTGTAGAGTTTATTATATTTATCGACGAGTGTGATAAGCAAAAACGTTCACCCTGCCACTTCCCGGTCCCTTCTATCTCTCTCCCTCTCCCCTCCCCTCTCTCTCTCTCTCTCTCTCTCTCTATCTCTCTCTCTCTCTCCCTCTCTCCCCCTCTCTCTCTCCCTCCCTCCCACACTCACTCACGTTCTTTCTCTCTTGATTCCCCTTACTTTCTCTATATTTTAACATCTCACATCTCACTCTTCTCTCTCTCTCTCCCCCCCTCTCTCTCTCTCTCTCTCTCTCTCTCTCTCTCTCTCATTCTCCCTATCCATCACACTCTCTTCCTTATCACATCGTCTCTCGTTCATAATGCATTATTTGTTGTTATTTCATATTACATTCATAAAAGTGTATACAGGTATATCCTCCATAATTTTCATTTAATCGGGGGCGTTTCTACATTATTAGGACCAAATATGAACCGAATCTGCCAACAACTGAACGAAATTGGGCCAACAAGCATACCTAAATGAGTTACAAAATGGACCTCAATCTTTTTATTTTTCGACAAGGCTCGTAGAATAAAATTTTGCCTACAGAAACTTCGAAGCCGATGCTTATGATGTAAGTCACCCGCGATAGTACATTGTGATTCATTTCTTTTCATCATAAAACTTGCAAAGTGAGTTACATGTATTTTATGGCCATGGTTTCCCAGAGCAACCGACTAAATCCAATAAATAATACTCACATCAACACAGTCAAGATGAATACATAAATCAATGAATAAAGAATAAATTAATGAATAAAGAAAGAGAAATGAGACTAGTCATATTAAACGGGCGTTATACAGTCTTCATATTGCAGTCATCGTGTTGCTTTTCGTACATTATAAGATTGCTTTCTGTAATGATAAAATAAGCGTCATATTTGATTTATTGAAGGCTTCTTTTGTATTACCTGACCTCGGAGCAAATTTCAGGTGTAGGGTGGTAGATAATCAATTATGAGGACCCACTACTTTAATTATTTCCTATCCGAGGGACAGTCATTTAAAAATGGCAGCGCATCGACTTGGTTTTCAAACCCGGGACTCCCGGGGGACTCCCCTGTTACGAGGCCACTGCTCACCCATTGTTGAAATCATCACCGTGATAGCAATAAAATTCCTTCTCAATACAGTTTAGACCCCCGGGAGTTTCGATTCCGCTTCAAAAGTAATAAAAGCGATATGATAAATGAAATGTCAAATCACTATACTGAAATTTCATTGTAATTCTTTTCCTGATCTTAGAGAGAAATACAAAATGATGCTGTGCTTGCTACTGTATTTGTTTCGTTTTATGTTAATGATGATCAAAGGACATACTGGATTTAAGATCAATGTCGTCTGTCTCATATGAAAATTTGATTCGAGAAAATAAATTTGCCTTTGAGTTTATTACTCGAAAGTCTTTTAGATTCTGTTTGATTATGCTCTTGACTTCAATGCAAAAGAATTTTTTAATTATTCAAATTACATTTGAATATAGTATGGTGAGGCATCAGTATAAAGAAAGGCCCTGTGTTAATGTGATAACGTTTCACTTCTTTGCATTCAAGAGCCGATGCTTCGTATCCTCTGTATTCCGTCGGTAAATAGAAAGTTTTTCTCTACCCTAATGGAGTTCAAACATTCCTTTTACTTTCTCTGTTCTCCTTCACTAAGTTTACTCCCAATTAATAACCTGCCATTGCTACAATGGCTGTTTGTCAAGAAAAGAGAAAGGGTCAGGCCAATTCACAGAACCATTGAACAGGTCCAACGTATACATACATGTACGCACGCTTCACTTAATATCGCCACGCCACAATTTCCTCGTTTAATTGCTGAAAAGGCTTTCGATCGAGTTAGAAGTAGAAGAACGGCGTATACATATGCAACTCGCATTCATCTATGAAGAAAGGATACTGGATTAGTTGGGAAGACAGTTTATACGCTCCTTTCAAATTTTGACAAAGACTTCAAGCTGTTTAAACTAAGTAGGTGGGAAGGACATTCAAACTAAACTATGGAATGAAATCGAAGCCCAAATATACATGCAGGTGTTTTCTTCTGCATCCGCTTGGTGTATGTGTATGGTATATGTACAACAACTATGACCAAGCAACCAACACCTACAAAATACATTTGTTTATTTCATCATGATTTAAGTAATTAAGGCGACCAGTCTTTCTCGGTTGGTTTCCAAGATTTATACCAGCCAAAAACTTGGGAGAAGATTGTTTTGACATCATTCGGAAAGGATGCGTTTACTCAACGAAACTTTAACGAAACATATTTTGTTGTCTGTACTATTGCTAATTGTATTTCTCTATCTCTCTGTCTCTCTCTCTCTCTCTCTCTCTCTCTCCCATTCAATCCATTTCTCTTTATTTTATATATTCTTAATTCCATTCTTCCACCTTCTCTTTCTAGCTATTCTTAAATTATTCCATATTTTTGTCGGTTTAGTGGGCTGTTAAGAGTATCGTTTGCTCTCGACCTCATGAACCATTTTAAATGTCGGTCCCATGGATTGTAGATTTGCTGGGATTACACCAGGGAGATCTCCCTGATTACCGTCGAATAGGCCATTTTCGTAATGTAACAAAAATGTAATGCATACGTCTTTGCAAAGTGTCCCGATACAAATGATTTCATTCACCTGCTATTAATTGTTGTTAGAGAGGACAATGTCATAATATTTACTAACAACTAATGCATGCATGCAATTTGCATTGTGACTATTTAAATACATTTATTCATAACAGAGGAATGAAATCATTCATATCGAGGCGCTTCACAAAGACAGATATGCATCAAATGTGCTTACATTATGAAAATAGCCTATTGCAAGGGAACTCACAATTTCACAATACCACCCACGTTTTCCAATGAATGGGTCGCACAAAATCGGATATAATACCATACTCGACCCCTCATTCACTGTATTTGATCTTGGAATGATTGAAGGAGTGCCAGGACATGGTTTAATTCACAATCCTAAAAATACTCTGGGACTATTTGTTGTAACCCAGTGGCATGGTTACGCCATGTCAGCCTAAACGAAAAGAAAAGGAAAACGAGAGAAGAAAAAAAAATGTGCGGGAGATTTTTGGTAAGCACAGTGGCAATGCGCGGCTTCAATTGGCCATTTTCGTAATGTAACCAGATTTATTCCATACGTCTTTGTGAAGTGCATTGATACGAACTATTTCATTCACCTGCTACAAGTAATTGTATTTCAATACTCAGTATGAAAATTGCATTATTACATGTTGTTAGGTAGGACAAGCCATAATGTTGCCCTACCTAGCAACAATTGATGTATGTAATTCGCATTCTGACCATCGTGATTATGTCTTCAGGAAAAAAAAGAAAAAGAAAACAGACCTGTGGAAATTACTAAAATACAATACACGTGGAAGTTTTTGAGGCGTTGTAAGACAAGAAAACAAGCAAATAAACGAAAAAATAAATTAGGGATCTTTCTTTCAAATCATCGCTTGTCAAATCACGAGAGTATGACATTCATTCAGTTAAACCATGAATAAAAAGAAATAAATGGATAAGAAACTACTACCGATCCTGAGGACATTAGGACACCTCTCTCTCCCCAATTACTAATTATTAGAATTGTATCTTGCCTCGATTCGTTTTGTTTGTTTTTCTTAGTATTCTCTAGCTTTTGTATTCTCCAGCTCATTACAAGAGAAATGGGAGTCGAAGAAGACAATTCATCACAAGGTTGTTTCTAAATATAACCGTTCTCCTTCTGGCATTTAGCGGAACAAAATGTTAAGTCCTTTTTAATGTATGCATCTGGAGGATTCGTACTATTTACTCTCGATCTGTTTTTAGCATTCCTAAGGCTTCTTGGCCGATGTAGGAGTGGAAACCGTGAAGCGCCAGGACCAACAATTCTTTGTCTATTTCTATGTTTAGCTCGATATTCTAAAGGGCTTACAACTACTCTTAGTCTGAATTTTAAAAAGGGCTGAGATCTACTAAGGGCACTTCAGAGAATTCTGCCTTTTGGCACATTTGTCGCTTCAAGTGTTGGGTTTTATCATCCAGATTCGTTGTGGTTTCTGTTATTCCAGTATTTTTGTGTGGAATTTGTATTTCTCATAATTGTTATTGTTTAAATGTGCATTATGATTAGAAATTGTACATTCTTGAGGTTTATTCAGCTTTCTTGTCTAAATTGTCATTCTCTCTTTTACTTTAGTTTTTCACTAACGGTCAATAATGACGGGTCGAAATAGACTCTTGGGGCATGTTGATTTAATAATTGTGTTGTGGTCTAGTAGATAAGTTTCCGGACTGTGATCCACAAGGTATACCGGGTTCGAATCCCTTTCGCATGCACTAATGTCCTTTGGAAAGACATTGAACTTTATATTTGCCACACTCCACCCAGGTGATGTAAATAGGAACCTGACATGAATTAGTTTCTTGAAATTGAAATGCTCGAACACTGTAATGGCAGCCATGCTAATAAAATCCAGTGTAATGATAAGCAAGCGCCAGGAGTGGCAATATGCTAGACATGAGCGCTAAGTGTATACAAGTTTCCATTATTATTATCATTATCATTATCTTTATCATTATTATTATCAAAAATCTGATTCCTCTTCTACTTCTTCTTCTTCTTATTATCATTATCATTATTAATTTCAAATATTCACTGAATGGTGACATTTGAAGCTAAAAAAGCTATAAGTATCATTATTCTCCCATTTTCGTTCTAAAATTTTAAAATCTACGTGTTGTATTGCTATTTATTGTGAGAGCCGATTCCAACTGGTTACCATATTTCACAGCAAGCAAGTATTTTCATCGATCATAATGTTCATCTTATTGATTTTTTGCGATAGTTATGCCAAATTGCATTTAATGACCACCTAGACAGTGCAATAATTATAGTTTATATATGTTTTTATCGACTTATCGAGCTTTTATTTTCACTCCGATTTCTTTCTTTACTTATCGTCCTTTTTATCTCTCTCTCTTTCTCCCTTTAATGTGTCAATATAATTAGCTTATTGAGCTGTTTATAGATATGCCTCCACTGACAGAAATTGAACAACCGACATCGCAAATGAATATACAATGTATCTATTGACTTTCATTTCGAGAGGCGACGAAGAAAACACAAAGTTTTACCCGACATTGGACCATTAGAAGAAAGAAAAAACTCCTGAAGTACGTCATTAATTTTTTTTTTCTATGTTTCTGCAATAGGTTACGAAAATTGTTTTAGCCCATTTTTCGAAATAGTGATCAATCTATTGAGACATGTTTTAAACTCTCTTTCTGTTGAATAATATCTTCATTTATAGAATCTATTGTAAAACTTTTAAAAGAAACATTTCTATAAAGAATCGGTCATTCAGAGTTTACTCGCGATTACATTTTTCTTTTCATTTCGATAGGCAATAAGCATTTTGTTAAATGTACACTAAAATTATTGCAATCTTTGAATTTGAAATAAATTGATTATTCGCGATTTAAAGATATGTTGAGAAACATACATTCTTGGGGAGGGGTGTACATGTAGTTGAAGTAGTACTATTAGTAGTAGTTGCAGCAATAGAGTAGTAGTAGTAGTAGTAGTAGTAGTAGTAGTGGTAGTAGATGAGTAGTAGCAGTAGTAGAGTAGTAGTATAGTAGTAGTAGTGGTAGAAGTAGTAGCAGTAGTAGTAGTAGTAGTAGTAGTGGTAGTAGATGAGTAGTAGCAGTAGTAGAGTAGTAGTAGTAGTAGTAGTAGTAGTAGTAGTAGTAGTAGTACTAATAGTGCATATAGTAGCAATAGGCTGTATAGTAACAGTAATAGTCTTGTTTAGTATATTACCTTGGAAGATGCATTATTTGTATTCTCGGCGAGATGGGGATGCCTTCCTCCCTTCCCGAGTCTTTGTCGTCTGCTACCATTCGGGAAATAGTTTTCACTAACCCATTCAAATTATTCCTCACGTGAACAACTCCAAATCAAAACCAAGGCAAAGTCTTCGGATGGTGCAATATCATTCACCAATAATATCACTTATGTTTCGAAGAGAATTGATACTTTAACACAATCTTAGTTTGGTCCAAGCAGCCATTGTCCAACAACAAACAGTAGTGATATTCTTTTATTGGTTATCCATAAGCTAAAAGGAAATGCACCTTCCCCTCGTTAATATTTTAGCATGATCAAGCCGAAGTGTGCGTGTGCGTGCGGTCTTTCGTTCCTTCTGCCACTCAAATGCCCTGTATACCTAGCAACGGAGGTTTATTACAGCGTCGCGGGAGAATTAAAGCTGACACGAAGAACGTCGCGAAATATATTATATTCCAAAGTTTCTTTTAATAATTAATATGATAACTAACACGAATATCTCCAATGAAACTGCAGCTTACAGCATCCCATCGCCCACCGTTGACGGGAACAAAAAAGTATGTTATTGAGAAGCGTTGTCAAACATCCTGCTTATAATCTCCGCATAAAGGAAAGGGGGATCGAAAACTGCCCTAGGGGAACGTTGAAGTACCCCTTGGGTCCTCAATGAACATCAATACCCCTATTCAAGCGTGATTTTCAAGTTCGTTGCATCCATCTATAACATGAACAAAAATAATCAATTTATAGTCGCTCGCTGTAAGACTTAAGTAATGGGATCGTAATAGGAGACAATGGCGATGAAGAATTGATAATCATTAACAAAGAAGATTATTCTCTGCAAAGAATATCCAAAGTATTTGAATGCTTTCCAGGAAGACGAAGGTCACATATAGATTTCCTTATTCCACAGGTGCAAAGGAATAAAATCTTTAACATTATGTAGAACCATCCTGTCAATGTATTTTTGTTTCTATATTAAAAGTTAGAACCCAAAATAGGAATGATAGTACTATGAGGCATCAGCACGTCTTTTTTGCTCAGGTATAATGTTGAAGCAAGATCCGTCCAAACTGCAACTGCTGACCAAGAATGGGCCAAAGAAATGTCAAATTAAAGATTGAAAGAAATCCATGACAAGTGAGATTACGCTGTCAGCACTTTGCTGTATCAAAATAAGTTCTTAATAAGCGTTGATAATGCAGCAATGAACTACTATTCCAATACTGACGGCAAAGTGGCGGCAAAGTCACAAATCATTTCCGGTGGCTATAGATTTCACATGCGCCCCTCGAAGAAATATCATCACTTTTGAAAGAACGGTCTTTGAAGATATACTTTGTATCACTACTCCTTGCACCTCAAATTTCAGGGAACATGCTTGTCAACTTCTACTTTCTTTCAAACCAGAAGCAGAAAACACCGTTCAAACTTTAGACAGCTTTGAATACAATTCCACAGACATCGATCGGTGATCTATCGCATTACAAGTGTACATATATTTGTAAACCACAAGTATTCCCGATCAATACGCAAGTGTAATAGCACACAATGTACCCATGCAGTCAGATCGACTTCGCATTTTTGCAAAGTGGGTAAACTTTGAAGAAAAGGACTCCGCGCGTGTGCTCGAGCATCACTGTTTATAGTCTATGGCAACGAAAACCATTGTGTTCACGTCGACTCCGAATTTTTTGTCTAGTGTTGGTTCTCGAGTATTATTAATTGTTCACCCGCTTAACTGTCCTTTTTGTGGCCATTTTCTTTCTTTCTATCTTTCTTTGTACCCCCTTTATTTCTTTCTCACTCTGTTTTGGGTATACTCTTGGTTTTCCCCCTTTTAATTTACACGGAACACCAATATTTAAAATCTACAATTTTAAAGGTTTTTAAGACTTTAGGTTCTACTATTTTTGTTGGTTTTCCCCTTTTAATTTACACGGAACACCAATACTTAAAATCTACAATTTTAAAGGTTTTTAAGACTTTAGGTTCTACTATTTTTGTTATATTTTGATTGATTCATTATTATTTCATAAAGTCCGACTCCTTTTCACACATAAGTTAAAGGGGAAGTCCACCCTGAAATTAAGTTAGTTTTAATAGGAGTAGAAAAATGAGAGAAAAAAGTCAGTGAAAGTTTGAGCAAATTCCGATTAAAAATAAGGAAGTTAGGATTTTTGAAGTTGTGATCAATCAAACACAAATTGGCAACTCTATGACGTATCATGCGAGCTCAACTTCCATTTGCTCAGTACTAAAAAAATCTAAAATTTTCATTTTCCCTCAAGAAAAATTTCAACCATACATGCACCCTAAATATAATAATTGCAAATATGTTTCTATACTCCCCCTGCAAGGAACAAATATATATTCCGTCATCAATAACGAAGAAAACATGATTTTATGGAATATTATGCACAAAGCAAATGAAGGAGAGCTCGTATGATAAGTCACAGAGTTGCCAATTTGTATTTGATTGATCACAACTTCAATAATTCATAACTTTCTTATTTTCATTCAGAATTTGCTCAAACTTTCACTCACTTGATTTTCTTATTATTCTGCCTCTATCGAAACAAACTTATTTTGTGGGTGGACTTTCCCTTTAAGATCAAGCAATAATTTTCAAGCAATGTATAGCTTTAAATGCAATTTCCCGACTTGTTATTCAGTTGCGCCGCGCCGCTCCAAAGCTTTGGAATAATCTTCAACTAGAAAAAGCCTCATCTGTTGCTGTCTTAAATTTTTTTTTTGAAGACGCACTTGTTCTCAGAAGCTTTTGAACAGTTTTTGTATTATGTGTCTGTTAAATAGCACTGTTAGGAGTTGTGTTTGCATCATGATAACAGCACAGTAGAGTATAATGTATATAGTAGCTGTGCTATACAATCATAGCTATACAAATTGATCGAATCAATTGACACGTTAACGTAATGCGAAGTACATTTTCCATTATCCAATACAATTCTTTAAGAAAAACACCATTTTCTTGATTAAATTCTTTTCCGAAAGTAAAGTACTAAAAACTATACCGAACAATAATTCCTTCAATGTACCAGCGATGTAGCTATAATATAGACCATGCATCGTTTAACAATGTTAAATCTGAGATGCATGGCCCTACCAGTGATTATGGTGTAATATCAAAGCCCTAAAACGAATTGCGCTTCCAAATGATCATGAAGTGCCTCAAAAAAGTAAAAAATCTTTGATTGACCTAAATGTTTGTAATTATGATTGCAGCATGAGCTAAATTCGGGATTTCGTTTCAGAATCGGAGGCAATGTTACCGAGTCAATTTAATTTCACGGTTTTCATGGGTCGCTCTCTATCAAGATTCCTCCTCTCCTATATGGTCCTCTTTGGTCTCGGACCCATATCGACAAGGCTCCAGAGGGGTCAGCCTATACTCTCTGAAAAGAAATCGAGTGATCACGGACGTCACTCCTCTGGAGAGTGAAAATGTAGTGAAAATCGAGTGAACATTCACTCTTTTCTTCTTAGAGAGCACTCGAATATCAATCGATATTCACTCCTTAACAAGTGATCCCTGACGTCACTCCCAAGAAAGTGAAAATAGAGTAAAAATTCAATCTTTTTTTAGAAAGAGTAGCGAAGAAAGTAATTGTCTTTCATATACCCTGAGCAGGGATCCATGAACAAAACCATAAGCATTCCCAAGGATGTTTAGAAAACTACATGGGGTATGGACTATGTTGCGTGTTAACTAGTAATCCCACATAATTCCCTTTTTTAATTAAACTACTAAAAAGCAGTATCCCTCCAGACAAGAAAACACTTAATAAAAGATCACATCCAGACAAATTGATTATGGTTAAAAACTGGTTCTATATTCTATAATTTCACATAAGATACAATGATTACAGAATTATCAGAAACCTCTTCTGTCTATCTCAACAGTGACAGACAATTAAACTATCACTAGGCCCTTGGTAGTTACTATTAATAATCAAACATAGATAACTTCCAACAGCACATTAATGTAAAGGAGACTCAACTTAGTCACTATGGTATTAATGATTACCGCTGAATACAAGTCTCGAAATATCAGGAGTCTAGCTGTTCAGTACCACTTAAAACAGTACTAAAACAAGTCAGTTAAATATCATTCACACTGCATGAATAATAACAGTCAAGAAAATACTACTCAAATCTAAGCTAGACAGCGTTTAGATTTACGTACATAGGCACGAAATATTGTGGTTCAAGAAACCGCTAAACAAATCTCTACTTGTGTATGTGTACGGAATGCACAACACGAGAATACAACAATATATGGGTGGATCTAGACTATAGCAGATCTAGATCAGTAGACCAGGCATAGGCCTAGAACTAGTGCAATTATAAACATGTAAAATATGTGTTAGTAAGCGTACGCACTCAACAACAGGCACTCAGTCAGTCAAAATAAGGCCTCACAATGATAAACAATGCAAAGCATAAATCACAATATAATTAACGTTACGTGAGTCATTGGAGTTGAATTCAAAGTAGATCTTCTTCAAGTTCTAGGTAGATGTAGAAACTAGCTAGTCGAGAACAGTGGTCGACGAGCTGGTTGTCGATCGCGTAGGATATGCAGACGATGATCGACGCTAGGTGAATACCACGATGATGAAGACGATGTTGAAGACAACGATGATGACAACAATGATGAAGACGACGCTGGTGAAGACAGCGATGATGAAGTCGACGATGAAGACGACACTGGTGAAGACAGCGATGATGAAGACAACGGTGATGAATCAGTTAACAGATGAATACAATGATGATGCAGTCAATGTCAATAGATCAACTTCAGTGACTTGCGAGGCAGGTCGAAGAATCAAATGTCGAGACAATATATATGAAGTCGATGATAAAAGGTTGTCAAACAATAATGCAGGTGAGAAAAACGTTAGATCATATTAAATGTTCTATTCTCACTGCTGGTGAATTAAAGTGTCGTCAATGTTGAACATCGAGAGAGTCAAAATATATCTTGCAAAACGTACAAGATGTAAATAGGTGAGCACGTCCACCGGGAATGGTCCGGGGACGTAGCAGTTCAATCCTCGTTGGATACAATTTTCTAGGTACAAATATCAACACAATAACAGCATGTGTGTATACCAATATTAAAACAGCTCACTGATTCCCGCACAGGAAAATCAGAAGAGCGCCAATCAACTACAGCGCGATTGGTTCAAAACAAGCGCACATGTATGTTAATAAGGCACGTGATCTAAATACTTATGAATAAATACGCGTACATCTATGTTAATTGGTCATGTGATCAAAATACTAATGAATAAACATCGTTATATAATAAATCGAGTTAAAACCAGTTCTGAGGACATGGCGTAATACCAAATCCTCGAACTCTCAATGACTTCTAAAGCGGCCATTTTGGATTAAAAACACAATATGTATACCAGTGAATTATAAATGAATGCACTGTAACATTTGTCGCTACATTAACCCCCCTACTAGACCCGAGCTTGCGTAAGCTCCGAGGGGCGAAAATACACAATTAAAAATATAAAGGAAACATATGTACAAAATACATTAATATACATGAAAATAACCACTATTTATGCGACACGTTCAATGTAGTGAACCTGAACGTACCTTTGCGGCCAGTGGACGTGGCGGCCTGAACGTGTGACACGCGCAGCAGGTTGCGATTTCACCAGAGCAGGAGCAGGCGTAGGAGCAGGTGCAGGAGCAGGCGCAGAGGTTGCGCGAAGTGCTGTGCGCAGAGGGGAGGAGACGGTAGGCTCTCCCTCTAGAGGCACGTCAGCCGCGGTAGTCCTAGCCGAAACGCTTTCCAAAAATGCGGGTTTCAGTCGATCAATGCTTACAGAAACATGCTTGCCCTTTTGCTCAATAACGAAAAACTTCGGGTTTCGTTTGAGAACCTTGAACGGACCCAAATACGGAGGCTGTAATGGCTTACGGACAGCATCGATACGCAAGAAAATATGCGTACAAGTATCGAGAGACCTATGTACAAAACTGGTCTGTGGTGACCTACGTGTCGCTGTAGGCGCTAAAACAGACATATGGTCCTTCAAGCGTTGGACGTAGTCCGCGGGGTCAACAGTATCGTGTCGCGTAGGCACTATCAGCTGGCCTGGAAGACGCAACGCCGTCCCGTAGACTAGTTCGGCAGCGGAAGCTCCGATGTCTTCCTTAATAGCTGCGCGGATACCCAACATGACCAAAGGAAGGTATTCTTGCCAACGGTTCGGCTCGGGTTGAGATTTGAGAGAGGCTTTAAGTTGCCGATGGAACCGTTCCACCATACCGTTGGCCTGCGGGTGGTAGGCCGTGGTGGCTATGGTCCGACAACCTAGCAAATTAGCTAATGCAGTGAAAAGCGCAGATTGAAACTGACGACCTCGATCATGCGTAATCGTGGCTGGAGCTCCAAAGCGAGCTACCCAGTTCTCCACTAGAGCTGTGGCTACTGTCTCGGCAGTGGCATCCGCTATCGGGATCGCTTCGGGCCAACGGGTGAACCTGTCGATACAAGTCAGCAGATAAATGTGCCCTTTCGAGGGCGGTAGTGGCCCAACAAGA